TTTCTCTCTCTCTCTCTCTCTCTCTCTCTCTCTCTCTCTCTCTCTCAATGGTCACGCTATCAGAAGATCAAACACATAACTGTCATTGTTCTCCAGTTGTATATATACTGTAAGCAAAGGCATCCATTTCTTGTTTCTACCTCTGCAGGTTCATGACAGTGCTTCTATACCTGAATAAAGTGGATGGCGGAGGCGCTACTGCCTTTCCGATCGCAAACAATGAAACTTTCGACGAACACGTGAGGATATTTCTTCTTATTAACGTTAGAACTTCAAGAGTCGTAGTTTCTTGGGCTAAACCATCGTGTATTTGCAAAGGTTACTTTCTAGTTCGTAATGTTTTGATTCTCTCATACCTTGTTCTGTCCGGTAGAATTATCTTTTTGAAATTATGTTGGCCCTGAATTGTTTAATTTTCTTTCCTACTTTTGATTCAGTCATTCCGAATGAGCGGCAAGATTAACCTCCATCAGCACTGTGAGGACGCCAACTTAGTGGTACCTGCGGAAAAGGGGAAAGCCATCATCTGGTACAACCACCACCTGGACCCTACTACAGGTAAAGACTTTGAACTTTTCCTTCGTTTCCTTCCAAAACCATAATGCAAGGAACGGTCCAGGAGGGCAGAACAAGGGACAGGCCACGGAAAAATGGAAGTATAATATAAGAGAATGGACTAGCAAGTCACTAAGTGAAACGTGAAGAAGAACAGAAAATCAAGAAAGGTGGAGAAGATTGTCAGAAATTGTCTGTAGTGTACTCGTACCACATGTTAATAATGGTGCTGTCCTTGGTGCTGAACACTGTGTTTATCGCCAGCAACGTGCATCTTCAGCATGTCGTCGTCTTCGTTCAGGTAGATGCCAATGCATTGGATGAGACGATAGATGTTATATTAAACGTTTCCATGCCTTCTTGTTCCAGGGTGGGTAGGAGAGCTGGACAGTTTCACCCTGCATGGTGGCTGCGGGGTCACCAGAGGTCAGAAGTGGATCGCCAACAAGTGGATCCTGGTCAGCGACGAGAGAGAAAAGGACATGGACCCGAACTACAGACCGAACAGGGCGTGAACTATGGCGTATGGACGGGATTGAAATCCTTTTCTGCATACCTGTTTTGTTGGAAATTACTTGCACTAGACACTCAGGTTTTTACCTGGACCGCTCAGACTTTAGGAACTATGGATCATACTAGAAACTGTTCAGAAAGCTTTGTCATTACTTTTTTAATACTTTACTAGTAACTGTCAATGAAGCAAATAAACCCAGTGCAGGTTAAGTGCAGTGAAATACCTGCTGCACAGCTCGAATTGTACGTGCACTAACCTGGATATGCAGCCGGTATTTCAAACCCTTAATGGGGTGCAGTATTACCTACCATCTATATATCTACACTTTCTAGAGGTGCCAAAACTTTTTCTCAAAATGAGGTTAGACTTTTATACGATTTCTACATGTTTATGGGACGGAGGTGTTGTTTTTAGGTGGAGCTGGTTTAGGGAGCTTGTTAAGTAAAAAGTAAGTAAAAGTAAGTCATACAAGCATATGCAAGTGAGAGGGCAGAGATTTGAATTCAGTTGATTGACAGTGTTGTGGTCCTAGGTTGTGGTCACCAGGAATGTGTACTGTGTAATCATGGTATGAAACATAAACCATTGTTTAATAGGGGAATAGTTTCAGTTCTGCTTCTGTACTTGTTTTGTTAGTTTTGGTGCTGTGAGGTGGTGGTATGTTTGTGCAATACTTTTGTAGAGGTAGTTTGCTATTTACTTTTTAGTTGTTGGTTGCGCAAAATAGAGAAATTAAAATCATGAAAAGGTAAATGTTGGGCTTCATACACTGATCTGTACAATGTCTCACAAATAAAAGGCATTCTGCACAAACTTTACAATGTCTTTGGTCCTTTATTCGATACTTCTATCAAAGATACATGTACTAAAATGGGCAACAATATAAGACTTGGTATTGGGTTCACTGGTTTACTCAAAGTTAAATGGTGTATACCCTAGAGAAGTTGTTGAAAAACATAGCACAAAACAGAAAAGACTAATATATGAAATGACACAAAGGCAGCTCCTAACATGAAACCGACATTCTTCAAGTATTCTAGAATATACTTAACTACTCATCTGCATAATATACATGTATATATACACCTCTGCTCTTGACTACAAAACAGAAAAACTACTATCAACCAACAAAATATATATACACATTTCCACATGCAACACAAGAGACAAACAGTAAAGTATTATAACTACAACTTAGTACAGGGTACGAGTTCCAAGCCTCTAGGCTGGGTGCACTTAACAGTACATAACCATAGACCAAAAAAGCCCTTTTGTTCATTCTTCACAGTTACTAGTCCGTATATACCTATGCTTGTTCCCAACAAGCACTAATGTACCATCAATAACAAAATTTATACAATTGATATTGTGCATTTCATTTCAGGCACTTCAAAATTTAAATCTCTAAGTTCAAACACTATGAAATCCTAAACTTTGGCAGATAAGTTGTATAACTGTCTACTAGTATGGCACAATTTTTTATAAAGGAAAGTCCTTTATACTGGCTGGTTAAATGAGAATCAGTTACATGAGCTATATCTTCATAAACCTATATATTACTGTGATTTCTTGGCAAATGTTTGAAACTATCTCTTGTTTATCAATTATGGCACTTCAATGTCATTACATTATGATCTAGTCTGTACAAATATACACCAACAATAATAGAATAGGATTGCTTTGTAACAAACAAACTTACCAGCAATACTGATCACATTCACTGATTCACTGTGTGCTTTTAAAAGCAACATATTTCAAAAGTTCATTTCATTCATTCATATTTCTACAGCAACATTATGTATATACACATAAGGGATGCAGCATTGCATGAATACTGTACTGTTTGTAGCTTGGAATGTTTCTCAACACTCGTACTATGACAATAATCTAATATTTTACAAAAAAAAGTCCAGAATATACCTACTGGTACCCACATCCTTCCATGGGTATTGTTCAGGCTGCTATACCTGTAACCATGCTGATCATTTCTGCACTAAACTTAGAGAAGATTACTAACTGTTTAACTGATTAAACAAAAACTTTAAACAAAGTTGCAAATTGCACAGAAAATAGGCACTGATATCTCACACTGTCCATCACCAACTTTCTTACCTTCAGCATCCTATTGCGTACGGAAAAAAATGTTGTGCTTCCGTTTACCCAACCAAACATAGCAAAAAACCTGACCCTATATTGTAAGGGCCTAATAGGAAACACAACATTAATTTTCCTGGCCTAAGTCTCAGAAGTCCAGCAGAAATCTGATGCTGTATAGTTAATCCGTGGAATACTGATGGTAACTTCGTACCACCTACAATATTCTACCTCTGCAGCACGAATGCAAGAGTAGCCAGGATGCTGAACCCGACGGTGAGACACAGAACCTTCAGGAGTCTGTCCCCGTCCTTTTCTAGCTCTCGCCCGAGGATCTCGAAGAACGTGACGTGAAGGAACGTCCCGGCGGCCAGACCCTGTAGGATTGCGCTGATTACCGCTGTTACAAACCCTGGCTGGGTCTGCAGAGAGAGTCAAACATTTCAGTTCATTAACAAGAGTCTCACAATCTCATACCATCTGCCATGGTGAATGTATAGTTCCCCGAACATGTCCAGTTTTCTCAGACTGCAAACTTTTGCTACTGCAAACATAAGTGATTTACAGTATTTTAACCATCATACTTTAAATTATTGTGTCTTTTAGATACTGATATGTTAAAACAATGTAGCACTATACACTGTATGTAGTCTTAAAGATCTGAATGTAACTTCTTTTCTCCTCTTTTTCTCTCAATATAAATGTACACATCTTTGAATGAAAACTCATCTGTGTTCAACTTGGTAGAATCCATAGTTGAGCTCCTTTCTTGTGTTGGTAACAAAACTTAAACTCTACAACTATGTACACAATATTGTTTTCCAACATTTTTACCTACAGTAGAATAAGTGATATCTACAACATAGTATAAGCTAAAAAATTGTTGAGGCTATCATATCACAACATACTTTTTTGTTTGTTTGTTTGTTTGTTTGTTTGTTTAAAACTCACCTGGATGCCCATCCCTGCGCCCATGCCAGCCGGGACCATCACACAGAACAGCAGAGCCAGTTTCACCACGGTGGGAGTCTTCATGTTAGATTTGTTTGTTTGTTTGTTTGTTTGTTTGTTTGTTTACAACTCACCTGGATGCCCATGCCTGCGCCCATGCCTGCCGGGACCATCACACAGAACAGCAGGGCCAGTTTCACCACAGTGGGAGTCTTCATGTTAGCTGACACTAGATTCACTCCCAGCGCAAACGCAGCCAGACACTCGTGTATCATCACTCCGATGTACAGGTTTATAAACACACCCATGTCCTCCTGGAGACCTATAGAGAAGGAAACAACACAATATTGTGTAAATGTATAGCCAGTATAACTGCCTTTAACTTCCCAGTATAACTGCCCAATATTTTGTATCTGTTATTGTACAACTAGCGTTCAGGCAGCCAGACACTCGTGTATCATGACTCCAATGTACAGGTTTATAAACACACCTGGAGTCCTCCTGGAGACCTACAGAGGGGTACATCGGTAAAGGTTAGATATCCAAGTAATGAGATATGGCAAAAACAGTTACTCAAGCAATGATATGATTTTGGGAATGGTCAGACATTTCAGGTAGCATCCACTACCTATCCTTTTGGCCTAAGGAGGGATACCCAACAAAATATTGTGTAAATGTATAGCCAGTAGAACTGCCCTTTGGTGTGTTACAAACACACAAACACAATATTGTGTATCTGTCATTGTACACCTAGTGCGAAGGCAGCCAGACACTCGGACACTCGTGTATCATTACTCCGAAGTAAAGGTTTATAAACACACCCATATCCTCCTGGAGACCTACAGAGGAGAAAATAACACAATATTGTATAAATGTATAGCCGGTATCACTGCCTTTAACTGCCCAGTATAACTGCCCAATATTTTGTATCTGTTATTGTACAACTAGCGTTAAGGCAGCCAGACACTCGTGTATCATGACTCCGATGTACAGGTTTATAAACACACCCATGTCCTCCTGGAGACCTACAGAGGAGAAAATAACACAATATTGTATAAATGTATAGCCAGTATAACTGCCTTTAACTTCCCAGTACAACTGCCCAATATTTTGTATCTGTTATTGTACAACTAGCGTTAAGGCAGCCAGACACTCGTGTATCATGACTCCGATGTACAGGTTTATAAACACACCCATATCCTCTTGGAGACCTACAGAGGAGCAAACAACACAATATTGGGTAAATGTATAGCCGGTATCACTGCCCTTTGATTTGATTTGATTTATTGCAATTGCAACAGTGCAATACATGTAGGAAACAGGTAGCTGTTGCTGGTGTTGTGTCCTACACATAGAAACAAATACTGGACAGACAATACTCATTTTCACTTGAGTTTAGTGGGGAAAGTCGTGTTAAGTGCCTTTTCCAAAAGGGAATGTCCTGGCATGTCAAGACTCGAACCCAGGACCTCTTGGTTCCGAGTCGAGCACTGCTGTTGCATCACACAATCCCAGCATTGGTGTATTACAAACATACAAACACTAAGGTAGTCTGGACATTTATTTTCCTTCTATCTTTGATGTCATTGATGAAGTTTAGACATCCTGGTATAATGCAACGTGACACAAAACCAATCAATCCACTGAGATAAAATCTCTGAAAAGTCGTTTCAGATATAATCTGCTGTCTTTCATCAGTGGCTGAATAAGTCTAAAGAGAAGAATAACCTGTATATGAAACTATCTGAATGGATTCATTTATTGGTTTGGCTGTTCAACACACAGCCAGGGCAATCCAACTAGCCTGTGGCCTTTTAAGAAAGGGCTTTCACTACTGAAACGACAAGACAAAACATTACGTGACAGTAACATATGATGGATGATTATATGTAAACAAGGAAAATCTGGTAGCTACAGGTTGGACCACAGGAGAGTCTGGGGGTGCCAGTTGCTTGATTTATGTTGTGCAATGTATTATGTTTTAACCAAGAACGCAAAACACTCCTAATGCAATAAAAACCAGTGCAAGAGAACATGGCCATTATTATTATTACTTAGATGGCAAATGTTGGTGAGACTTTTTTGGAGTAGTTAGAAGTGATTGCAAATAGTAGTAGTAATGTAAGAGGACTCCAGGAAGAGTAGTGGTTGTATTGTCACTAGTTGGAGATTCCTTGATAAACAAACATTTGTACGTATGTTTGTTTTGTCCTGTAAGTACTCTCTGTATGTTTCACCATATTGTTTTGCTTCTTGTATTATCTGTATGTTTTGATGTGTTCAATCATTGAGTGGACTACCCTGGCTAAAGAAAACAGAAAAAAAATCAATAAATAATAACAAACAAACAAACCCACCCATGGCGAGTCCCTCGAACACAGAGTGTACAGACAGAGCCAGGAGCAGCACATAGGACCGGAACGAGCTCAGGTCCAACAATTGTTACATGTAGCTCCTCACAATTCAGCCCTTGGCTGGCCCACCCAATAACAATATGGTAACAACATAACAATACCACCAATTGGAGATTCCTTGATAAACAAACAAACAAATAAACAAACAAACCCACCCATGGCGAGTCCCTCGAACACAGAGTGCACAGACAGAGCCAGGAGCAGCACATAGGACCGGAACGAGCTCAGGTCCCTCGAATGGCAGCCGCTCCAGGCTCTTACGATTCAGCCCCACCGATTGTTACATGTACATGTAGCTCCTAACAATTCAGCCCTTGGCTGCAAGGCCAACTCAATAACAATAGCAACAAAAACCAGTGCAGAAGAACATTTGGACCACCCACCCATATTTATTCATTAAACAAACAAACAAACAAACCCACCCATGGCGAGTCCCTCAAACACCGAGTGCACAGACAGAGCCAGGAGCAGCACGTATGACCGAAACGAGCTCAGGTCCCCCACGCCCTCGAAGTGGTCGTGATGCAGGTGGCCGTTGTGCGTGCTGTACCGTAGACTCTGCTGCTCCGCGTCTGATGACGATTCGCTTTCCGAGTCAGACTCGCTACTTCTGCCCAGCCGACTCGTCTGTTTACTGGAGAGAAGTAAATTTAAGTGTTATGAGTGTTACAGTTAATGATCGACCCCCAACACTAGTACTTACCCCAGACACACACTGTTACCCTTGAAAAATAAACAGTTCATCGTACACCAGTGCTGAGTATGGACTCCAACTATACCACTTTCCTATCTTAAGCGTTTTAAAGGGTAAAAGACATAACAATGAGGTATACATTTAACCTGGACTGGGCCTTTCAAACATCACACAGTAGCAACAAACATTCTGCATTCTCCACATTTTTCTTTTTACCTTTATCCAGTTAGACAATTCAGAGAAGGCACATTGTGTCTTTTCATGGCAATGTACTGGTATGTTTGAATTGTAAAAAACAAACTGATTTGAGCTGTTCCACCTGCTGTCTAACCCCATAAACAATACAGCATTTGTCGTCAAACAGCTAAGTTTATAATACAGTAGGAAGAACAGTGCACATGGACCCTACCTGCTGCCTAGAGTCTCCATCTTCAGTAAACTTGTTCTCTGGGGTTTCTTCTGACAGGTGTGAACAACCTGCTCCACAAATACAGACAGAAGCAGACCAACCTGGGCAGAGGGGGGGGGGGTAGAGTACACAGAAAAGTCAGATTACTACTGATCTACTCAGTACCAAAGTACAAAAATGGTACCATAAATAATTTCATTGGGTTGGCAAGAGGCTGTGTAACTTAGAAGGTTCTTTATCAAACAACCAGTGGGTTTCACATCCAATAATTGTTTTGGTGATTGTCTGTCACCTTCTTCAAGGTAGCAATGCTTTTGGTTCATACTGCAGGCGTCACTGCTGCAATATTACAAATGCTGCAGCAAACATTAGAAATGCTGCAACACTCTAGGTTTGGGACAGCATTTGTAAAATATTGCAGCACGTGGGACATCATAACAGGCAAATGACATCAAGTCACACAAACTTACAATAGTGACCGTTTCGGCCAGCGGGTAGTTCACTTTAATGTCCTTCATTGTCAAGGCACTTTCCACCTTTTCCCTGACCGTCGGCAAAAGGCCCAGGAAACACGTGGCCAGGAAAACCCCGCCGGCGAAACACGACATCAGACCCAGCGCGCGTGACGTCCGCCGCTGCCTCTGTCCGAAGTCTGTCTGTGGCCGAGCGACGCATTTCAGCGGGATGATGGTCATGAGGAAGAGGCCGAAGATGGTTCCTCCCAGACACAGGCCCTTCACTAGTAACAGCTCCATTTGGTATCAGAGTCCTCCTGATCCTGTAAAAAAACAGTTTTGTAAATTTAATGGACTTACCAATAATTAAGGCCGCCTGAAAAAAGGCTAGGGTTGGCAGATTTTTGCTAGGGTCAGTCAGAAAACCAGAAACACTATCATTTTTTTCCTTGGCCTCAGCAGCATCATATCAACTGTACTGGTCTGGGTTATTATATCGTTACTGCCCCTAGGCCTAATAGGACATTACATGCTGGTAGGCCAACTAATGTTAAGACCGATTATGCCCTCTTGCATAGTACAATGTACAATGTATTGTACAAATATCCTGTTCCAAATATCACAAAGGCATCTCGGTACAATGAAAGTGTTCATTATGATATGACGCAATTGACTCCAACTATTATACACCCAGCCTGCTAAGGTAGCTTTTTGGCAACAAATCTGTAATGAGAAGGTTAAGAGTTGTGTAGAGTGTCGGCAATGACGTCACGGCTGCCATGCCTGTCCACTGCACCTGTAAAGAGTCAATTTATGCGTAGCGTGCATTATTATTCAAGTTCAGGCACGGTACGTAAGAAAACGTGAACAAGACTGTAAGGTTTGATCCACTCACACTGGGAAGGACCCTTACTCTTTTCAATATTAGTGTGGTGGGTTCTTTAGCATGCTCAAGGTGTGGTTCTCCTTAAAAAAAGGCTGGGTAGCGATCTTGCAAAGCGGATAAAGGCTGGACTCCAGGATACTTCTCAAACATGCATATGTGACCTCCACTTAACGTCCAATCTGACTGATGACCTTTAGGACATTTAATATTAATAGGGACTGAGGCTAGGAACTCACTTTCACCTGTCAAGTGAAGTGAGGACAGTCATGCAAAGTGCCTTTCCCAAGGGCACAAGATCTGAGTGACATGGCAGGATTTGAACCCGGGACCTCTTGGTTCTGAGCCAACTATCTGCCTTTATGGCACACGACCCAAAACATATATATGTAAATGAAAAATATAATATTTCTGGTGGTTTTTAACGTTAAAACTTATCCTTGCAATTTGTTGCAAATCTTGTGTTGACTTAATGACTTATAATGTTGTTGTCGTGACTCTTTTGTTTAAAGTTATTGACTAACTGACTCTGGACAATACTGCTCCCATAAATAACCTACAGAGATAACAGCAGTCATAACATAACTGTTTTGGCAATACCATGACAATCAACAAGTTACCAGCTCTAACCAAAACACAAACCCAAATTCTACAAGGCAAATTGCATGGAAGTTGCAACAGAACAGTTCTGACAAACACCTAGTCACTCCGCCCTCGCTGTCTGCCCGGCTGCGCCTGAAACAGTCCACCTCACAGCCACACACCGGAAAATCATCCACCACAACAAAGCTTTTATACAGTTCAGCTGGACACCGCTGCGGTTGGTACACCTGAAAGGAAAGAAAATGGCCGTCTAATGTCCTAAATACCGTGGCCCGTTCCTTAGATTTGCAACGTTGTCGTTTTCCTCTGTGTCCTAGGTTTACCGCAAAGGTCCGGGTTCACTAAATACGTCTTCGCACTTCGCTCTCAAGTACTCCATATGTTGGCACAAGTCCTCGTGCTAGACAAGCGGTCAATTCTGCCCCATATGTACGTGTCCCAATAATCCACACTACTACATCGACCTGCAGCCGGATTTCACTGACGTAACCCGGAAGTTTACGGTGTTGTCGACGAGCAAACCGTGCAGAAGCGCCCCTAGCGATGCAGTGGTGTAGTGCAGGTTGGTAGTTCTGGAGCCTGGACGGTGGTGCGTTCTGGTGATTAACCGCTAAACGTATCCTTGGTGACGGTCTGAGCTGTCTCGTATAACAGTTATATGATCCTAATTTGTACGCTTCTTTCACCCTCTACTTTGCAAGCTATAATTTTACTCTTCTAAATACGTTTATTGCCTAAAAATTGTAAAAAGGAAGACACCGTGCAGAAGCGCCATTTTTAGGCGGATTTTGTGAGAACTGCAGTTGCCGAACTCGCGCGAGACTCCGCGAGACGCGTAACCAAGACGAGGCTGGGCGGCATTCCTCACCTGGTAACAGACCAGACTTCAGGTAGAAAATGTTCTCCTCAGAAACGTCGGAGTTTCAAGGATAACTACAGCGATTTGAGTGAAGTTATTCGATCAGACAGAGGCTTGAGACATCAGGGAAGACCTAGAAGCGAAAGGAATTTTTCTCTGTGCAATAGAACGACAGAAAACCACCTGCCAAGATGGTGAGTTACCGTATGATCTGTTTCAACTATCAACCCTATACTATCTTTGCAAGTTTGATACCGTTGACTTTTGTGTCTTAAACTTGGTTTCTTTGAACATTACCAATCCTGTTAGTGGATTCAAAGGTTTGCTGATACATGTACTTCGCAGTTCCTCAGTTTTTCACCAGATCTCTTAAACAGAACTTGAAATTTGAGAGGACAAATATATTTTTATTTCATACAGTACCTGCAAAATAAACTGGTTTATTATGGGACTCTTATGGGAATAAGAGCAATTCTTAGCAGCCCAAGGGCAGAATTTGACAAATTTTACACAATGTCATTGCATTGAAACTGATTGTAATTGTTATTGCCATCATCTTAATGTTTCGGAAATAGATTAACAGTTTATGTAACGTTAGAGAGAAATATGACAAAAGCTTGTATGTTATGCTGAAGGGCAGTTATACTGGCTATACTAATACAGATACAAATGATCAATAATTTCTCAAATTCCTATCCCTTACCAAACCTCCTTGTGCATTTGTTCCAGATGCTCTCACGAGCCAAGCCGGCCACGGGCCCGGCGGCCTCCAGTCCTGCCAAGGAGTCGGGCAAGAAGAAGAAGAAACTGCCCAAGTTGGAGGATTACCTGACCAACAGGGACTACACGGGGGCTATCACACTTCTCGAGGTAGATGGATGAAGAAATGTCCTTTGAAAACCAATGATGATTTAAACTTTTACTTAACATCAATGAAGGTTAGACATTCAGGTAAAGAATACCATGATTGTACTCTAAATAACAGTTACTTGAGCAACTGGATAGATTTTGAAAAATGGTTAAAGATGTTTCAGCTAGGTTGCAACCACTACCTTTCTTCAGCGACTGAAATGTATTTTGACTGAAAGATCTTGTCATTTACAATCAATTCATTGACAAAAAGTAGAGGATGCTACCTGAAACGTCAGCCATTTTCAATGATGTGTTTTCACATTCATGTATAAATGACTAATGTTGTTTTTCTTGTCCCCACCAGTTTAACCGTTCCAGTGGTAAAGGTAGTGAAGAGGTGGACATGTGGATCGCCTACTGTGCCTTTCACCTGGGCGAGTACAAGCGAGCCATGGAGGTAAAACACACAACAGGATTCATCTAGCTACTTTTCTAGACTGTTTCGTAGACATGAAATCCTCTGGGCACTTAGACAAAAAAAGTTGTCATTTGTTGAAGAATGACTGAACACACTGGGCATGATACTAGCATGACCAAACAGTGAATTCTTTCTTTTTGTTCTTTGAAATCCTCTTTGACTTTGGAAAACTTGATAAGTTGAGTCATGCTTCCCTTCCTCAGACATCTTCTTCTTTTCTTTTCGTTCCATCGGTATGGTTGCAAACTTTTTTTTGGATATGAACATGGGTGCAGATGTCCTCCATATAAGTGTGTATATATTACATACTTAATTACTTGTGAAATGGGTCTTAAAGCATCATATTATCCTTCAGGAGTACCAGTCTATGACGAAGCGAGACGGCTGCCACCCTGACGTCTGGGTGAACCTGGCCTGCTGTGACTTCTTCCTGGGCATGTACAAGGAGGCGGACGAGGCGGCTCAGAAATGTGAGTTTGGATATCTCTGTGGAGACAGGAATCATCTGAATTCTTTTCTTTACCGGAAAGCTTATAAGTGTTTTGTCATTGACCTATTGGATTGGTCAATAGATTCAAGTTGCTCAAGAGAAAAGATATATTATTCAGTCACTGTAATGATATTCTCATGATGAACAATGAAGATTGAAATACAATGTCCACTAGCTATAGGTAGTTTATTTACAATGTATAATAGGCTCCTCAGACCAATTTTGGTTTGTGGTGACATGTAATGCTCATTTGTAGTAGATGAAAGGTATTCAATAAAGAATGTATAATATAAAAAAGAATGTATAAAATATACAGTCAAACCTGTACAAGATGCAACTCTACATAATGACTACTTGGCTAATGTGACCCCTTTTTGTTTCGTCATTTCGAAAATTTTTCCCCATTGACACAAGCATTGAGACCAAATTTTATCAGTCCCCCAAGTAGTCTTCTTGTGCAGGTTTGACGGACCGTATTTAAAAAGAGTGCACCACCTACTAACCACCTGTTTCCACCACCAGCCCCAAAAAGCCGCCTGCAGAACCGCCTTCTGTTCCACCTCTCACACAAGGTGAGCCAGAATTCCGACGTAAGCCAAACATTTGTTTTTGCCGGTCCCTCTCCCGACTGGCTCGTACCTGATGCACACTTCTGCATGGCTGAAGTATAAAATAAAGGCTCGGGCTACAAGATCTGTCTGACTCCCTCTGTGAGCATGCGTCTTTTAGCATGAGACTTCATGTGACTTTAAAAACTGCCTGTGCAAAGCTTGCATGGGGGTTTTAAGTGATTTACCATCACCAATTTTTTGGGTGAGGAACAGATTTGATTGATGTGCTAGAGAATTTTATTTCCAAATAAAACTGTCAATTGTTGTTTTAAGGCATGATGAAAATGAAAAATTGAGAAGCATTTGGAGAAGGGAAAACTTGTACATGTACTACTACTTAGAATTTGTTACACTGAGCTAGTGAGAGGGATGTACTACAAACAATAAGAGCTCTCAATTACATTGTACAAAATGATTTTTGTGTAACATCACTATGTTCATGTGTGCATCTGTCCTGTCATCACGCAACTTTTCAGTCTTTGCAACAAGCATGTGTACATTATTGTACAGCTGTGTAGAGCACACACCTCTCAACAAAGCATGATATTCCTCTGAGTGATGATTGTCATATGATTGCACATGATCCCAGGTAATGCCAATACAACATGATATTTCATATGTGTATGAATCAGTCAAGACCTGCATTGCAATAAAATAGCTTAAAGTTGTTTAGAATTTTTTTAAAAACTTGATGTGGAAACCAGGACCAGACCAGAGTAGACCAAAGTAGTTAATGGTGTGCTATCAGAAAAACATTTTGTGGAGGACCCAGGTAACCCCATGTTTTGTGCACATCAGACTTTTATTACAGTTTGGTAATATCTCAGATGCATGCTGGGTTTCTTGATGTTTTTTATTTCAAACTTGTAAGAAATTGGACTAGAAAAATGTCCATATTTGAACAAGTATATGTGGTTATTTTGTTAAACATTGTAAAAAATGTTTCTAACTCATGTCAGGCTTCTTATAATTGCGTAGCCAAGGGCTTCATGTAAGACATTCAGACTGTAAACATGTCTGTTCTTGTATGAGTCTATATGTGATGCTTGTGTTCCAGTTTAATAACAAAGAAGAGGCTGATGAATGTAGTCTATACGTGTGGCTTGTTTTACAGTTTAAACATGTCCATGTTATTAGAGTCTATACGTGTTGCTTGTGTTCCAGTTTAATGATGAGAAGCGACTGATGCACTACCACCAGAACCTACAGGACATCATAGAGGACCAGCTGAGTCTGGCCTCCATACACTACCTCCGCTCACACTACCAGGAGGCCATCGATATATACAAGAGGATCCTGCTAGATAACAGGTCAGGATAGTCCCATACCATCTGTATCTGCATCAGATTCTGTATAGCTGGTATATAACCGTCCCTGGGAATAACACACTTCACAGGCTCTTGGTGTGGTGGCAGCAGGCTATATTACAGTATATATTACACTGAACAACCTGCTACATCCAATCTTTGCACATTTAATTGCAGGAGGTGTTTATAGCTTTCTAGTGATGATGCCCCAACCCCAGATTTTTCACAGTTTTTGCTGGATGCTTGGTCAGCATTAAATCAGATTTTTGTCCATTGCAGACTATATCTTTTCCAATGCAACATTTGAGAAGTATAGACAGGATGTCATCCTTGAATGCGGTAATACAATATAGGATCTTAAATGAGTCATTCTGCCAAAGTACATTACGGGTTTTGTGCAGACACAGTACGTTCTTCCAACATGCTATCCCATATTATCAAAACATCACAAGAGATACTTATTTCATAGAGACTTACCCTGAGTGTGTACTCTCCCTTCCAGAGACTACCTGGCCCTGAACGTGTACGTGGCTCTGTGTTACTACAAGTTGGATTACTACGATGTTTCCCAGGAGGTGTTAGCTGTGTACCTACAACACTACCCTGACAGTGCCATCGCTATCAACCTCAAAGCCTGCAACCACTTCAGACTCTACAACGGAAAGGCTGCAGAGGTACATTGTTTGTTTGTTTGTTTGTGTGAAATACTTAAATCAGTGTCCTGGCTTCTTTTAATTTTAGTTATAATCTATAGACATAATTTTCTTTGTATATCCTTAAACTTTTACGGCATGAGAAAAACATTTTTACTGCTAGAAAAAGTTAGAATGTACTGACTAACTGTCACCCTCTTCAGGGCAGGAATGACTGTTTCACTGAAGCAGTGACACCGAGCTGCAGTAAGAATCAAAACCAGTCATTGTTGCCCTGAAGAAGGTTACAGATGGTCTCCAAAATATCAGATATGAAAACCCACTAATTGTTGAATATAAAGAACCTTCTTATAGTACACAATGTCATGCTCTTGCTGTCCTGATGAAATGACTCACAGATAACCCTAAGACATTTTTCTGTCCCTCAGCAAGAACTAAAGACCCTCCAGGAGATGGCCTCTCCCTCCTTCACCTTTGCTAAGGAGCTGATCAAACAAATATTGACTAAAGGAGCCCGTATACATGTTGGACAAAGAACCTTCTTATTCAGTCACTAGCCATCCTGATGGCATTACTCATAAGTAACCCTAAGTTGTTATTTTCTTCACAGCAAGAGCTGAAGACCCTCCAGGAGATGGCCTCTCCCTCCTTCACGTTTGCTAAGGAGCTGATCAAACATAACCTGGTGGTGTTCCGGGGAGGGGAGGGCGCCCTGCAGGTCCTGCCTCCGCTCATAGATGTCATCCCTGAAGCACGACTCAACCTCGTCATCTACTATCTCAGACAAGGTGAGGCTTCATCTGTATCTGTGTAGCCGGTATAACTGCCTTTCGGCATAACACACCTGCTTCTGTATATGTATAACTGCCTTTCGGCATAACACACCAGCTTAATGACTTCATAAGTACTGTAAATCACTTTATTTTTGCGGTAGAAAAAGTTGTTATCTACTATCTCAGACAAGGCAAAGGCTTCATCAGTACTGAAGTTGTTGTCATGTAGGACTAGACTGTGGAAGATTCATCTAAGGGGTTGGAATACTTTTTTCTGCATTTTTTTTACATTGAAAATTACCTGCATTCAGAATAGAAGAGTGGAAAAATCAAATTATGCTCTGACTGAATATGCCAAAGTCATTAATACAGCTTCTTTGTATGGTGTCATTGTTTTGTCCACTGCGATATTGGTGTAACTTATTGCATTTCTGTGAATCGTAACTTAACTGTTTTCATACATTTCAAGAACTCTTGAAATTGGCACTTGTACATTGTAAAAGGTTAAAACTAAAGGTTAAAAAAGTAAGTGAAAACTATAATATTAGTGTGCTTTGAAACAATGTTTCTAATGTCAGTCTAACTTTCTTTCCCCCAGACGATGTATCTGAAGCCTATAACCTGATAAAGGACCTTGAGCCGACCACTCCGCAGGAGTACATCCTGAAGGGCGTGGTGAACGCCGCGCTGGGACAGGAGACAGGCTCACGGGAACACCTCAAGATCGCACAGCAGTACTTCCAACTGGTGGGGGGGTCCGCCAGCGAGTGTGGTACGTCTTACAGGGATAACAAAATATCAGAAATAATAATCAGTTCAATCTGTCAGGAAGTAGACAGGGTTGGAAATACCCACTCTTGCAATCTCATTTTCACTTCATTTAGTCACTTATTGGAGATGTTAAGCTGCCTGGCGTGCAAGTTATCTTTTTTTTGCATACAAAGCGACCCTTTTAAAGTTCACAGTGGCCCAACTCACAGCAATGTGTGAGCAATGCCCTTGGGTTACAGCTTGCCTTCTAAAATAAATACTTAGTAGATAGTGTAGATGGCAACCCGAAATTTTGATGGGCAACCTACCGTGGTGAAATAAGTTTGTGTTATAATGAATTCCCTTTACTTAAACCAGCACAATGCAGGTGGCATTTTGAGCCTTAACCTGAATGACTGTTCCTTTTTCCACAGACACCATCCCAGGCAGACAGTGCATGGCTTCATGTTTCTTCCTACTCAAACAGTTTGAGGATGTGCTCATCTACTTTAACTCTATCAAGGTAGGTCATCACGTCATGTTTGTTCCTTGTTAGTGTCAGACTTCTTTCCACCATTTCAATCTGACCAAACTCAAATCTGCCTGGTTACCAAACCTATTTTAGCTCCCGAGTCTCTTTTGTCCTCTCCATCCGTAAATAGACAAAAGAGACTCAGGAGCTAAAATACGTCTGGTTATCAGGCTTGCTCTTGACACCTTATGAGCTATATCTGAATACTTGTCCCTGTATGTGAATACATGTAGTCGTTTTAGAAGCAACAGTAGGAATGTCATATAAATACTACATTTATGGCTTATCTAGTTCCATGCAAGGGATATGAATTTCTCCCTATTTAAATATTTTATCTTGTATATAATCAAAGAGGACACATGTCTTTCTCTCATTGTCTTACATTCAAGAATAATTAATTAACCTTTGCCTTTATTCCAGAGTTATTTCTACAACGACGACACGTTCAACTTCAACTACACGCAGGCGAAGGCCGCCGTGGGAAACTTCAAGGAGGCGGAGGAGGTGGCACTGCTGGTGCAGAACGAGAAACTCAAGAATGACTACACCTATCTCAGCTGGCTCGCCCGCATCTGTGAGTAATGTACTGGGTCATCGTTTTTGTTAAGGTTGGCAAGACACTGTATATTAAGAAGGGTTTTTATTTGACAACTATTGGGTTTTCACATCCACATTTCTGTGGCCATTGATTACTTTCTCCTCGGCAGCAATGACTGGTTCTGATTCATACTACAGCTAGGTGTCACTGCTGCAATATTACACATGTGGTACCAAATGTACAGTGTTGTCACATAATATTTTCCACATATTGTCAAGTACAGACAATAGACAAGTTTGAGTTTAACTTACTACATTGTAGCTGCAGTACAAATTCAGAACAATTCATTTTCGCCCTGAAGAAAGTGACAGATGGTCACTCAAACATTGGATGTGGAAACCCCTGGTTGTTGAATAAAGAACCAAATTGTACCTGTAATTTAATTGTGCTGTTGTTTTCCTGTAGACATCATGAACAACAAGGCACGGCTTGCCTGGGAGTTGTACCTGAAGATGGAGACATCAGGAGAATCCTTCAGCCTGCTGCAGCTGATCGCTAACGACTGCTACAAGGTACATACAGGCTCTCTACAAGATGTCTTAAGAGTTACATATTTAAAGACTGTATATTACCTCCTGTACTTGACTTAACAGTCTTCATGCTGGATATTTGTTCACTGTTTTATCATTAAAACAGATCTCTGAAAGAGCTGTATCAAACATTTTTTGAAATAGCTCTATAGTTTTAAATAAAACAGGTTGGCACGCTGTTTTCTGTAGATTGGTTAGGCCTGCGTTTACTAGCACTGAAAAAAAAAAGCAATTCCTGCAACAAACCCTATTTTTGTAGTCCTATAACCAGAAAAGTAACTTTTATTTTTCTTGTGCTTTGTACCATTCTCCCCACAGATGGGGCAGTTCTATTATGCAGCCAAGGCGTTTGATGTTCTGGAGCGACTAGACCCAAACCCTGAGTACTGGGAGGGCAAACGTGGTGCCTGTGTCGGCGTCTTTCAACAGATCATCGCCGGACGGGAACCAAGGTAAGCCAGACTTCAAACCACAGCTTTCCAGCTTTATATGAATCAGCTTCTATAGTATAGAGCTTTCTCATAGGCCACACCAATCTAATTTGTTGGTTCTTAGATATTTCCAAGAAATCTATAGAGTGGGAGGTAAAAAAAAATGTTCATAAGAATAGGCCTAGGCATCCTTACAATCCACAAAGTCCACATACTAGGCTGGTTTATCATCCAATGAATTTTGAACTTTGAATCAACCACTCAGTTTCTGCATTAACAAGTATTTTGGGGTGAATCCAGAAACTGAATTTTTTTGGAAGATAGTACAAATCATGTAAAATAAAAGAAAGAAAACCTGAAGCAGGCAAATCCGAGAGCCAACAACTCAATGGTGTGGCCTTCATTTACAAATCGCTTGAAGTGTTTTTTTCTAAAGACATGTGCAATGGCCAGAGACACTGCTGAAGACTGGAGTGTGTTTGCTGCTTCACTGCATCAGAAGAAAAGCCTTGCAGCTGGTGGAATTATTTTATCATATGTATCAACAAGAAGAAGCAAAGACAGAGACATGTGCAATAAAGTTTGCCTTGCGTTTTTAGGGAAACCTTGCGGGACATCATCCAATTGCTCCACAATACGTCTAATATGCAAGTGGAGTATATAGTGCGGACTATGAAGAAATGGGCAAAGGACAACCGACTGGGCATTCCATGATGGTTAGCACAACTTGAACGTTTCCACAGCAGTGGTGCTTTCTCCTGTCATGTTGTAGGGTTAGAGTAAGCTGAGTGGTTTGTACAACAAGCTGTGTGCTCTCACGGGTCACTTATGTTTAGCACTTCGGCATAACATACTGTGCCTGCGCAAAACCTGGGTTTCTTTAAGTTGGACATTTGTCTAACGTTGCATCAAAATTTGGTCCTTTTTTACTTTTTCTACACATTATTTATACAGACAGGGTATCATCCTTAAACATAAGCAAACACAACCTTTAACGATATATTCGGTAAGGTGCCATATGCATTTTACCATCCAGTTTTCGCACAGGCACAGTATGTTCTTCCAACGTGCTCTTATATTTGTGGACCAAGAGCAGTGGTGTGTGGCCTACTGTATTTGTCCCAATAAACGCACTTACTCAATAACACCATTGATAATTTTTTTTCTAACTGCATCAGCATGCACACAGTTGATTGAGAAAAAAAAGGATAATATCGGGTGCATAATTCTAAGCATAACTTGATAACCATGTGTGCAATATCGGAGTAGGTGTGATAGACTTAATACGGGATTTTAACTCTGTCTTCTTGTTTTAAAACACCTGTCAAAATGAATGCTACTGTCAAATATTGCAGCATTTCTGCAGCATACGGTAGATGAAAGGTGTTGGCCGATCAACCTTGATCCTGTACATGGAAGAACAGTCTGGTTTCAATCCTCCTGTTTCCAGCAGAACTTCAGTCTTCCTTTAGCTAACTTCTCCTAGTTTGGTGTCTGTGTCCCCCTGTGTCATTCTATCTGCCCACACAGGTTCAGCACAGCATGGCACACTGGGACTACCTGATCTTGGAACAGCTTCTCTTACTTAGTTTACCATCATGTCTCAGTCTTAAACTTCTCTCTCCTTCTTTTCTAGCACACTTCTTCTGGAAAAAAATTAATGCTGTCGAAAGACTCCACTAGTGAATACTAGTACCTGCTACTGACTTTACATAATTTTTGTTTTGAGAGTAGATCTAAATCTTATTTTGATAACTGGAAGAAAACATGCAAGAGAGCCACACTGTCATTTCTGTTGAACAGATTGCTTACTTGCACTTGTATAATCATGGCATCTTTTTTGATTGTGCCTTGCTTCAAAAGTGGTGGCCAGGTATGCAGGTTTTTTGAGCTTTAATCTGCTTTCAAAGAGTTGCTTCACCTGCCATGTACACACATGTAACTGTTGGGAAGCAGATCAAGGCTAGATGCCAGGCTACAGTGTGGTCCTTACATGCTAAATACATGTACAATAAAAATATTGTGCTTCTGGTTTGATTTGATCCCAGTTTGACCTGTAGTATGTGTTGTTCTGCCCCTGCTACAGGGACACAGTGAGAGAGATAGTACAGCTACTGAGGAACACCAGCAACCCACAGGTGGAGTACATCACCAGAACTATCAAGAAATGGGCCAAGGACAACAGGATCACAGTCAGCTAGGGCACACACTATCACATGCTTCTACTGCTCAATTAGTAAGATATGTTGAAGGGAAGGGGAGATAGATTTTATATCTTACATGTATCAGAATGAAAAAGTATGGGGAATTTTTGGCTCATTTTAGAATGATATATCCTGAAATCTCTATAGGGATCTGAGAACCACAAGTCAATTTTGGAATAGCGCAATTTCTTGTTTAGGTTTACATATTTGAGAACGATTCAAGACTTGTATATATTTGCTATAAAGTATTGTTATCATGTATGGATGGTCATACATGTAGCTTGCCATGCTCACTTGTCATGTCCAATACTGGCTTGATAAAAAGTATTCCTGTGGCTTGACATACAAATAGTGTTCTTTTCTCTTCAGGTAGAAAAATAGTTAATTTTCTGTAGTATAAATTCATGGTTGAATCCGATTTTCAAATGATTGTTCATAAATCAATTGATATCTAAAACAAAAGGACAGAGTTTAGGTCCATGTTTGTGTGAATATACTGTTCATAAGGCTTTGATGATGTCACTGTTTGGCTGTAAATAAGATGGTATGTATAGCAGTTTGAAACTTTGTAATAAAGATAGAACAAACTTCTTTGGTTGTCTTGAGTCTTGATTTATAGGCAAATGAGCCTTGATCTTTAGCTAAGTAAAATAACGATACTGTACAGTACTCTAAAACTTTGAATATCTAATTATATTCTGTTCATTAGCTCTTCATCATCATCATGAAAAATTCTACTCCAGATATTTGTGAGTTGAGATAGTTTGTAAAATTAACTTGTATTCTATGCTTAAAATCTATCCACTCTCACAGAACATGATGAATATAAAATGCTCTGTGATATTAATTGTCCAATAAATAAATCTGGTAAGAGCTTTCTGATTAATTTGATTCATTAAAATAGCACCAAAGCATTCGATTTATATTTAAAAGTTCAATGTAACCAGTATAAGACAATCATGATACGTGAACAGGCAATTCACAAAATCATCAAGTGCATAGATGTCTAGAATATTGGCCCAACATATGATGTAATAGTCGGTTCCTTCTCCCAATCTTGTTGACCAATCAGTGACAGGAGACACTGGGAAGGAGACCTGTCTGTTTCCTTGCCCCAATGTTGTTGGCCAATCAGAGACAGGGTACCTCGGGAAGAAGAGCAGCAACTGTAGTGTCTCTTACACTCTTCAAGAAAGAAAGGAGACCTGTAGGATACAGAAATCATCTTAGTTTTTTTGTTTTACAAAATTTCGAGATTTCCATGAAGGATATATGGTTTAAAGTGATGAATTACTTAATAGAATCATTATCACTTATGTATGGCATACCAGTAACTTATTCCGATATTACACCATGGTTTCTGTATCATACCACCATTACACAGTGACAGTACACATTGCTGGCGACCACAACCTAACCTAAGACACGGCATACTAAAAATACAATTTAACGGTTTGAGAAAAGAATGTTTCGTACCTGTTCCACCTGTACCTTTACTCGATAGACCTTCTGCCTTGTGCCCCTTGGCCTTCTTGGAAGGAATGACGATAAAGCTATTGGGCAACACAATTAAGTGTCAACATTCTAGTGGGAAGGAATTTCACAAGCTACACAATATTTCACATTTACAGTCTTTATTGTCTACAAATTTAGTTCACCATCATGAATCTTAAAGACAGTATAGATTTGGTCCCAAAAGAAAAAATCAAAACAGAATTACCTTGTGACGACCTTTATATGCATAGAGCGGAAGTCCCTGAGTAATGACACACAGATATTATACACTGTCCTCAACCCTTGGTCATTGGAGTTTGACACAAAGTTGCGTACAGACGGACCCTTGCCCACAGCAACGATAAAGTTCCTGTGATCCCTCAGCATGTAGTCCCTCATCCTCATAAGAAAGGCAGCTGCAGCATAAATGGTTAGTTTAATAAGTTAATTAGTCAAAGATCATATTGTAGCTGAAGAGTTAAATTTTGTGGCTGCAATCATTAAAACATTGGGACAATTGTTACAATATTCTCAAATAGAAGAATACATTAAGTAGAAGTCATTCTGAAATAGATTTGAACTGCGATTTCCAACACAGAGGTGGTGGATTGCTTTTTATTCCTTGACAAAGACTCAGATATTTGACAGTAGAAAATTTAGGGACTAGTAAGTCCCATTTTTTGTGTTGGAAAAAACAGATCAAACCTGTTTCAGAAAAAGTCATACCTTCTGAGCTATTGTGTTTGATTCCCAGTAACTCATCTAAGCACTGAAGCGTTGCAACTTGTGCTGCACTCCCTCCGGAGAACTGGAATGGTTCCTCCCTAACGCCCTGGTAGATCAGACCACGAGGGAGGGCAGCGTTGTCCTTCCAGCCAGACAGGAAGTACCTGAACCCGTTATAGAACACTTCTGGGTCACACTGCTCCCTCGTTCTGCCCAACGTCTGGTTAATTTTCTTTAGAACCGGTATCATGGCGGTGAGGGCATCTTTGGTTAACTTGGGGTTGTCTTCAGCTACCCCTTTCTGTGCCTAAGGTGAAACACAGGGAAATACATTGTACTTTGATCATCATCATCATCATCATCATTCATCCTCCGTAGAGGTGGAGCATACAAAGTTAGTTCGCCACAACTGTCTGTCATACATCACTGAGAAAAGTTTATGTCCCTCCAAGCCAGTTTCAGTTTCAATAAGTTTCTTAACTGTTATGTTTGGGCGTCCAACTCTTCTCTTACAGGTATCAGGGTTCCAGAGTAGAAGCCTACTGGCTGGTTCTTCACTACGTATTACATGACCGGCCAAGCTTAGTCGTCGACATTTGACTACTGAAGTTACATTTGGTAGCGAACCGTATAACTGTTCATTAGTAGTATGTTTCCACCATGGTGTATTGAAAACCACTCGCAACATCTTCGTGTATGTTCCATTTAGTTACTTTGATAATATTATAGTAGAATATACATACACTCAGATAAAGTACATACAATAGCAGTCAACAATATACCATACCACAGGGCTTGAAATACCTACCTGCAAACTGAAAATATCTTGTCAATTTGATACTTAAAACTAATAAGAGGTTCACTGCAAAGAATTGAAATGCCCAATTCACACAAAAAACAGAATGTTGAGGCTAATTCTGATTGTCTATGTATTAGCCTCAACATTAACATTTACAGCTCACAGAAAGAAGAAATCTTATACCTGTACGATCAGAGGTAGACCTGGGATGAAGTCCATCTCCACTGCCAGGGGAATGATGGCAAACCACGCAAAGTCCCTGGGACAGGTGATGTGGTACATGATCTGAAGATTGTCCAGCTCCAGCGGTCCTTTTGGGTCCTTTCTCTTCCAGTTAGCCAGGCTGACACAGTGGTGGGAGATGATAGGGGTGACTCCCAGGTGTTCAGACACGTGGTACCAGGGGACGGCAATACAGCAAGGCAGGAGGGCTGGGACATCTAGATTATATACAATGTATATTTAATTATTCTTTTTTAAAAATTCTGTTCATCTTTAAGAATATTGCCTTCAATAATAATTTAACTGCAGGTACATTTGGTTGTTTGATTTATCCACTTTGTATACTTTTTGTTGATACCAACTGTTGAATAACTTGTTACACTATAATTCTAATTACTCACTCACTCACTCACTTACTAACTAAGTTAGTAACTATCCAGTTTAGCATTTGTTGTTCCCTGACTTCCGAGGGTTAGACATGCTTACACAACACTACTGCGGCTTGATGGCAGTCTGCCACTTACCTATATCCTGTAAGTTGATGTTTTGTAGGTTCAAGAATTAAATTAGAATGATCTAAAAAGAAAAGGTCTGGTCCACCTGTCTCCCCGTCCTGCCACACGTAGGCCTGTCCCAGGATGCTCAGCACCAGGTGGGCCAGCCGCCACTCCAGGTGTCCCCGTAACCGGGTGTGGTCCAGGAGCGGCAACTGGAACAGAACAGAGACAATGTTGGGTACGTGTATATTTGTGACACAGAAGATAATTTGATGAGGCTACCCAGGGGCCCTAACTTTAAGTAAAACTATTAAGCAGGAAGAAAAGTGCCAAGCTTCTGACCTTTTGTAGCCTGGATGCCAGGACTTTTAAGCTTTAGTTTGCTCTCTCAGTCACTTTTTGGCAGGGTGGTAATACTAGAAAAGGCTGGCATCCAGGCTAGATGTTTTGGCTCTCCCGCATTGACCTGAAGAGCGGTCTCATTACCCCAGTAGTGGTACCTATTGACCGACTACAGGTGAGAAATACAGGTGAGAAATTTGAGACAGAGAAGCTTATTGGACCCTCTCTGGCCGGATACTGTCTTTTGCCAACCTAGGATCTCCTCGGAGATTATTTCGACAGCATTTTTAGAATATGTTGGTAATTCTCCTTTATATCATACTCACCTTGTGTACACATTCTCTCAGCTGCTGGGTTTCCAGTAACTTGGGAGTATCTCTGGCTAGGTCCACCCAGGCACTGAAATAGGGCGGAAGCACTTCCTAGAATCAGAGCAGTAAAAATGCAAACTGTTCTGGTGATCATTGGAGGCGTAAAATGCAAATTGTCATGGTGATCAGAAATGGTTTACATAAATTATTAAGGAATGAATCACACATCTAGAGTTTGGCAAAAGCAAAATGATTGTCTGACAATAATGCTTTAAAGCTAATATTAAGGGGCCTAGGACATGTAATCTTGTGGGCTGAGAACAAGATTGCTTAACATTTACAACGGCAATAATCTCTGAGTTAGAAATATTCAAGATCACGACTTACCAGAGGATCCTCTTCTGTTAAGAACCCCCGGTCCTCGGACAGGTTGAAATCTGACAGTCTGGGAACCCTCTCCATGCGATCACATAAATGTCAGCACTGTTATGTAGAATGATTAAAACTTCCTATAAAACTTCTTATAACTTTGTGCTTCTTTATGTAACGTTAGCAACCTGCCCTTGTCTCCAAGAGAGCTACAAAGTCATCAGTAGCTCATGTGTAACAGTAGGGTTCATGCGCCACTACTGACTTGAACTTTAAGTTGCCGTTTCATGACAGTTCATAAGTTTATACCTGAGTTTTTCACGCCCACATATGGGAGGTTGACCCCAGATTGACCTTTAGACAGAGGATGACGGGATAGAAGAAACCATTCTATTCTAGGTCATGATTTCTGTGAGCTAAATACATTCTTAGCTTTTGGAGATTCAAATCGTGACTCATTTGTGATTTAAATGTAATTTTCTTTTAGCTGATAACTATTGTGTTCCTTTGTGGGTATACATGAAGTTTTCATGTTAAAGTAACGTTTGTTAGTATCAAACTTGGACCCCACTAATTAAGAATGGACTATTCGGGGAACCCTCTAGTCTCTTTCGATGGGAACACTTCCTGATTCGATGTGAGAACAATACCTCGGGCGCATTTCACCCGATTTCTCTCCAGATTTTGGCTATATTTCCTCAAAAGGTGCAATAGCAGAGGCGTCGGGCACATGGCTCGGCACCGGAGAAGTATCGAGACGCTGTTGTTCGTCCTCTCGGCGCTGGTCGTGCTGACCCACCGAGGGACTGAGGTGACAGCGCACGGTCCTCTGGATGGGCCCGATAGACTGCCCACCAAATGCGAAGGTAAGAAAGACTTTCACAATGTTTTAGGTGGAATCCGTAATCCTAATTTTTATGTCTCCATGTTATGAACAATATCTAATACAACTAAGAAGACAAGTGAAGGCGTAGTTGTATTTTTGTGTGGGCATCAACATATTTCTTTGATCGCGACCTTGCAGCTGATATGCTTTGTTTCGTCGTCCTTGGTTTCGTTTCGTTTTATTTTGCTCGAAATATGCTACAATATGCTACTTTCTACCTCCTTTTAGTCCTATGAAAAAGGTTAAGGGGAAAATGGCTTGTAGACCGATATTAAGTAGACCGGTAGTAATACAGTATAGCGGTGCCCATGTTTGTGATCTGCCCCTAGTCTCAAATTCTCAATGTCTTGAGGTGGAGAGTCGTGATTGGTTGATTCCTTAGGCGGGCGGTGCTACCAAACTGCACGTGTTTTTACCCTATGGTGGATGGGAATTTAAAGAGGCGTATAGTTTCACCGCCAGACGGCAAATCCAGAGCTAGACAAGGAATGTCAGCCAGGTCATTCCCAAAAACGTTGCCAAAAAGCTTCTAGTGCGATGAAATTACCACTTTCACTTCTCTATTTGTAAGATATAAATTATTTTTCAAAGTAAGTTTTTGGGTTTGTTGTCATTTAAAGTTGTATGTAATTCTGTTGAATTTAAGGCTATGATACAAGGGAATGATCATTTCAGTTAATTCCATTTGTCCCTAAGCTGTCAGTTTGAAATTGAATGTTTACTTATTGTACAGTGGCCAAGACATTATCCAACTTGTATTGGTTCAAGACTTTACATGGATAAAGTACTGCAGGCCTGAGGTAGTTGCAGCTGTGGCCCTAGCTGATTGGTCTACCTTCTAATGTTTAAAACATCCAACACTAGACTGTAGACAAATCATAGTATTCATACAAAGCAACATGGCTGCCCAATGGTTTCATTTCAACGATTTAACGTTATAATATACATGTATCATAATTTCTCTTATTGTGTTTCTGTAATGCTTCTGTTATCTAAAATCTGTTTTTGTTTGTAAGTTCCAAACATTATTTTATAATAATCAATGTTTTCATGCTTGGTACCAGGGCCAGACTAATTATTATCAGGTGCTTCAATGTATAAACATTAGGACCACATTGTGAAAACATTAAAAAAAGTTACTCTTTAAACATGTAGGTTTCCCATGTAGACAGTTTCAGGTTACTATGTATGATAAAATTTATATAACGTTAAATTGAAAATTGCCCTGAAGAAGGTGACAGGTGGTCACCCAAACGTACGTAGGATACCAGTATGAAAACCTACTGGTTGTTGAATAAAAACCTTACACAGTCTCTTGCCAACCTGATGAAATTATTCACAAAATTATGTCTCCTCCCAGTTTGCAAGTACCTGACGGTTGAGTTGGAACACCGACTGGATGAGACAGGCAGGTCTAAAGAACAGATTGAGCTGGGCCAGATACTGGACAGGGGAGAGAGGAAGAAGAAGATCAACTACCACACCTCGTATGTCTCAGCTTTTTTTACCTTGTGAAAACTGGACCAGGTGTATTTCTTTGCGTGTTTGCTTGTGTGTTTAGCTGCCTGTACAGCTGAGTGACAAGAGAGACTGAGATAATTTTCAAAGTACAGACGATTAGTACAAAAGGTCAGACACAGGAAATTAGATGCCAACAGCTACTGGCTTGATTTTTTTTACCTTGTGAGTCAGTGAAAGTTGTGTGTTGTGCCTTTCCCAAGTACACAAAGTCCAGCCAGGAATGCCAGGGATTGACCCCTTGACTTCTTTATCTTGAGTTCGCCAGCCTATAGCCACTTAAGCTTGGCCATTCAATGCTACACCATGCTGTATACCTATTGGTCGACAAGATCTCTTCTCAATGGTTATGGTTCTGCCTACAGTGAGCTGCGTCTGGTAGAGGCCATGGATGATATTTGTGAGCGGATCCTGGAGTACAACGTGCACGCCGAGCGAGACGGGAGCAACCGTTACGCCAAGGGCATGAGCGAAACTTTCCAAACACTGCATGGGCTAGTCAACAAAGGGGTCAAGGTCTGTTTTAGATTTTATTATACAGTATACGTTTCCATTGTTGTCACTGGTATAGTGGTGTGTATATAAGTATAACTCCTTTACTCTTGCTAAGCAGAGAAAGCAGTATGTACATTAATATTGTATGGATAATGTTTTATTTTCTTTGCCCAGGTTGAACTTGGAATTCCCTATGACATGTGGGACACGCCTTCAGCTGAGGTGACAGTCATGAAAAAACAGGTGAGGATTTGATGATCCTAGCAGTTAGGATGTTACATTTTTTTGTAAGCTGGCTTCCTGGGTTCAATACAGGTTCAATTCCCATTGTCCTGGTACACAGGGTAGACTGTACTACTTGCCTCTTGTTTTGAATTAAGTTGTTGAATAAAGAACCTTTTTATACTGTCTCTTGCTAGCCTGATGAAACTATTCACAGCATCTGAAAGATTGTTTCTGCCTTTGTTCTTCAGTGTGAGTCGATGCTTGAGAGTCATGAAGAGGAGATTGAGAACTGGTACTACAACCTGCAGGGGGAGAAGTCCCTCCTAAAACACTTCTGTGAGGACACTGTTCTCGGGAGGAAGGAAACTGGTATGTCTGGCTTTGTAGAGAGCATTCTTTCGAAAAGAAACAAGAAATCACACTTCCCTTAAGTGTTGTGAAATTCTTGTTTTATTCATATCCTCACAGCCTGTTGGGAGACCATTTTAACCTCCAATTTGACCTTCCTGTCAGTCTGTGGTTACACCATTCCCCCTCACTTCTGCCACTTTTACTAAGTTTTTCTCAGCTAGCAGGGAGAGACCAATTTGACCTTCATGTCAGTCTAACCATGCAAAATTTTCCCCTAATTCCTTTGACTCTACAGACTGTTTCTTGAGTAACATCAGACTGAGGATTTTCTAGAAATTGAGATTGTTGTGTCATTGATTATCATACAACACTTTCCTCCTTCCCAGAATGCCTGGCTGAAACTTGGAAAGGGAGGAAGGGGGACACAGGAGACCCAGAGGACCCGGATGGGACCAAGAAGAAAAAGAAGAAGAAGAAGGGCAAGAAGAAGAACAAGAAAAATGAAGAGTCTGAGACACAAAATGCCACTGCTGAGTCTGAAGACGACAAACCAGAGACAAGTGAAACAAAACCACCAATGGAGGGAGGTCTGAAACATGATTCAGGAGAGTTATGAAAGCTGTAGAAGATTCAAAATGAGATCAACTAGAGTCTAAAGCTGTATTAAACAGGTCACTGAAAGCAAAGAAATACCAAAGACATGACTTTTTTTTTCTTTTTGCAAATCAGAAAAAAATGGAGCAGGCAAATCTGAAAACAAAGAAATTAGCCTGAAATTGAGCTGTAGATGTCTGTATATAGAAGAGCAGAGGTAGCAGTAGATTTATTGTCTTGAAGTAATTCTTGTCCTCCTTGGGAAGTGGAATACGTTGAGAAATATTTTAACTGTAAGTTACTCTTTACTGTTTAAGTACTTAGAGTAATGGCCAAGAAGACCAGTGAATCAAGTCTAAGTTGTGGAAAGTACAATGTATGTGTACAGAAAAGAGCCATTGATTGTTTTATGTTGCTGACATAGTATTTATACAGCCTACCCATACAGAGAGCAATTTCAGACTTGAATGTGTGTATGGCAAAATAGAATTTACATGTACAGACTTCACCAGCAATTAACACTTTGCTTATTTTGTTTTCTTTGCAAATGAATGTTTGGGATAAACACAGGCATATGCAGGTTATTAGTGCAGTTGTCAACCTGTGCCTAACACTGGTTCATGGCCTTTACAGAACACAAAGTTCTGCTTATAATACATGCAAAAATCATGATTTTAAATCTTGTGATATAGTAAACATGATGAAAGGCAGCCTCTTTTAATCCCCAATAATTTATTGCAATATGAAGTTGTCTTTGGTACAAGGCAATCTATACATCTTCAGTAAATGATTTTATACAATTTTAATTTACTTTAATCATGTATACCATAATTTGTAACAACATAACCTTCTAGGCAAAGGTAAAAATGCACTGAAGAAAATACTATTCATTTTGACATAGCTTGCATTGTGTTAAGTAGATTGTGAAAGTGCTTGCACATAATTAGATTGGTCAGTAAGTATCTGTATCATCATTCTATTTCATCTCCTGCTGGTAACTTGAAAAAACCCTCCTCTTCTTGCCAGTTCTCTCAGAATTCTTGCAATATTCTGGCAGTCATCTGAAAAATAAAACAGCATTATGTAATTTTATCACACTTTGTAGATTTTCTGTATCTATAGGCTTTTGGCAATAGCTTGAAATCTCAAAAATCACTCAGAAGATTATATGTATGTCTCCCATTTCATCTATTTCTTAGAGTCTAATAATTTGACTGTTGGGGCACCACAGATGATCTACCAACGAGTTTTCTTTACCCTTCTCGGGTTTCTGTTCTTAATTTTTCACTTAGTACCGTACCTGTCCATTCTCTGATATTATCTTCCCATCTTTTCCATATCCTACCCCTAATCCAGATCTCTTCCTTCCTCCCTGAACTGTTCCTTGCGTGATGGTTTTGGGTAGTCCTGATGACCGTGGCACATGCCCATACCACTTCAGTTTCCACTTCTTTACTTGGCCCCTTTCACTCCCCTGTTACAGATAGAGTTCCTTACCTATCCCACTATGGTGTCTGCCTTGATGCTGTAACTCCAGATTTCTCAACATTCCCATCATGCCCTTCCCCCAGTGGCCTGTCACCTGACTGTAGGACTGGAGAAGTAAAAAAAAAAAAACATCATTAAGTTAGAATCTGTAAATCATACAGTAATGCCAACACTGTTTTCAACACTTCCTAATATTTACTAGTCTCACTTACGCGTCTCATTCATTGAAAGAACAGAGCACTCATGACAAAGTCGATCATACAAGATATTTCTTAAAATATAGGTGCAATTCAGTCGGTCCATTCAGTTTCAAGTACCAAGGAGCTTGAAAATTAAAGCAAATATGGACACAAAATGCTGCACATGGAAGCAATTTCTCTATCATTCAGAAAAGCATCATTATACATAACTTACCTTCTTTATGTTGATCCATTGTCTGAAGTAGGAAGGGACAGGGGTGTTGAGATAACTGCACTGTGACGGAAGCCTGGGGAAGGAAAGTCAACATACATGTACCGTCATTTGTTTGACACTATAATCTGGGGAAGACTGAAAAGCAATTTTGAACCAATTAAGCTCAGACAAACTCAATTACTATATATAAAAAGAAATGTTTTTCAAAGCAGCAGAATAATGTAACCTGGCCAGTAAATGGTTACACTTCAGCCTACATTGTTCTGAGGTCCCAGTCACCACAGGTGACAAACACAGAGGAGACTCCAGGTGTCAGCAGACCTTGTTCACACATCCAGATGTCAAAGTCCTGCAGTGGACAGGTAAAGAATACTAGTAAGTCAAGTTTCAGTAGTAGTTTTTCATGGTGCCGGTCACTGTCATATACTTAACTATAAAGTTAATTCATTCACATTTGTGGGGTATAATTTTGTGATAGAATGGAAAAGAGTGTCTTTGCCAGGAATGTTGAAACAACCATAGTAACACATGTACAATGCAACTCCAAGACAACACATATTTGTGTCGTCATGACTTTGCAATGTAGAGGTCACTGTGAAGACTAGGAAAATAGAAACACAGCAAGCATTTTCAGATGTACCGTCAGCCTGGGTGCCAGTGCACACTGTATATCGTTCTAGTGTGCCGTGAGTCTGGCACCCAGGCTATTTTTGTACAGTATGTTACTCTCACACCTTAAGTGTCTGTGTGAGAGTTGGCTGTCCGTCCACCATGTCCTGTATGATGCCGGTCAGCTCGGTACAGAAGGGGGTCAGCTGGGGGTGGGCCTCAGGCTGGACATAGGTGTGAAACGTCGCTTCTGTCTCAAACGTTTTCCCAGAAACCTTCAGCACTGGGAACTCTATAATTTCCTGTAAAGCAAAAAATATCAAATTGTCCTAATATAATATCATATAAAACATGACATCACAAATGATCTTTGACTGTAATATCTAATTACACAATGGATCAGTTCCCATTGTTCCCAAAGAACTCATTGTTCCCTGTGATGACATTGCTGATGTCCACGTTCAAGGTTCAATGTTCAAGGATCAGTCCATGCACGTTCTATCATGTTGTTGAAGCTCCTTGATATGAGTCTTACCCAAATTTATAACATATATGTAACAACTATAACTATTGGTTTCACGTCACTACTATACGACAATGGAGTTGGTAATTACAAATGAAATTCTTTTTTTTTAGCAATATTGATTTAGTTGATTTAGTATTTCAACCTCCTTGTTTCTACCAACACTGATAATGATATTTAACCTCCTTGATATAATTTAATTTTTTCCCATCTTCATTATTTTAATATTCGTCAAAAATCAAGAGTTTGACTCACCTGTGGTTTGGGTGTTGTTTTGTTATCGCATGTTGCCTCGAAATCTAAAACCAGGAAGTAGTCAAATCCCTGAGGTTGGATCCCCGTCCCTTTGCCACTTGGGATGGGGGTACTGGCACTGGCACTAGGTGAGTTTTTATACGCCATGAAACGACGAATACAAAGAGTTCTCAATACTGTGGGCAGGAGAAATTGTCTTGTCACCGCAAGGAAAGACGTTTCCATGTGTTGTCTTGTTCAGTTGCGTGATGTTTACTCAATGTTACGCAATTTTATGTTCGCCAATCATGGGACACATACTAGTACTTGTCACAGTAAACTTCAAAGCAAGCACTGGGACTTTGATATTGGATGCAACCATTATGAAATAGGTACGTAAAATTCTACAGGCTTTTCAAAATATTTGTTTTGAGCAGAAAATCGACGAAATATTCTCTACCCAGACTTGAATATATAGAAATATTTGATAATTGCTGCTTAGAATATTTTCAAGACATACAGATATAGGTATAAAATTCAAGGTTATTTTATTTTACCTGGTTTGTAAATGAGCTAATTTGTCGGGTCAAAGGCCGCGGTGCCTGGTACACGTTCCGCGCATGCTCCGTTCAATACGGCTAAGATGGCGACGACTATTTCCGGAGAGGACAGTTTCTTCCTGGTTTGACAAAATTGGCGACAGAAAACAAGAAATCAGGTGAGATTCACCGCTTGTGATAGTATTATCAGATCTACCAGAACCCACTGCAGTAGATTCGTGGCTAGAATCGGAGAAATTCAGGAAATAAACGATTTATAGGGAAGGCTACAAAAATTGAACAGGTGAAAAATTATGTTGGTTTCATGTTCAGGTCGTTTTTCCATTTAGATGATTCATCTTCACATGATTGTAGGAATAACTTTGTGTTATTTTCCTCGAGTATTTGACGCCAACAATTTTCATACCGCGATCAACAACGTGTAGCTTGTAAGTGAAGTCCCTTTGATATAGATTTGTGAATTGTAATACGTGACCAATTCGGCGTACGGTTTGCAATAATTTTTTTGTGGACCAATAAAATTAGTTACAACGCAGGCCAGTTATGGTTCTTTGACGTGAAAGAGAAATTCAGAAATCGCCATAGAAGAAAGTGTTCTTGTGGTTATGGTCTGAAGGTTCTGGGTTCGAATCCCAAGCCTGCAGGCCCCAGTGTTGTGTCCTTGAGAAAGACTCTTTGTAAGTAACCGTTTAATTTTCTCCTCACTGGACTCAGGTGAAAATTAGTACAGAACTAGTACCTAGCTTAGGTTAGGACCGTCCTGTCGGATGAGATATAAAGCTGGTTTAAGGAGAGTCACATTTCGAGCACGTTAAAGATCCCACCACACTTATGGAAAAGAGTAGAGGTCCTTCCTGACCAGCGTGAGTGGTAAATACACAGCTTGTACAAAACGGTTGTGTTACGCGTAATCTGTAAAGGCGATTTGTCGGTTATGCATTTTGGAAGAACTAGAAATGGATATGGCTTTCTGACTGAATATGATATCATTTACCAGAGCACTAAAAAATATTTAATGAACAGAACAATTCAGGAGGTTTTTTATTACTATCAGGTCCATAGGTCAGTCGTGCCTGATACAAAATGAAATGTACATAAGTCAGCCACCACAAAATCAATATGGTGGCATTTCTATTATGCCTACTGTTTATGGATTTACTATGGACTATGGTGGGTGACTTGCAGATGAAAGACAGAAAGGTCTGGTTTGGTGATTATGCACATGTTTTTGCCGGTGTTTCTAGTGGTCGGTGTTTTTAGCTCTTACCCAGTAATGCGTTTTCCTCAAGTTAAAACATGGGACCCAAGAAAAAATACCACAAAAACATAATACTACTAGTATGTAAATCACATTTAGTATGCGGGAAAAAATTATTTCAAGCCCCGAGCCTTACACAAGAATAACTAACTAGTAATTTAACACTAAGCATTGCTGGCCTTTCTGGAATCAGGATTTACCATCAAGTGTTGTTTGCCCTCCTAGATTAACATGTACATTGCCAGGGTCCCCCATGCAGACCCTCTTTTATATTTTTGTATACATTTACCATGCACATGTGCTGTTGGTTTACAGTGTTTTTTCCTTCACACATTTCATGCATTTGGCATACGGTAACCCCTTTTGCTGATTGTTTCCAGATTTCCCACTACAGCCAAGTGATTGAAAGGGGAGCCACCAAAGACCTTCAAAATGGAGCAGTCCTTCTTTGCTGCAGCAAACGATTTGGACAATGTCCTAGACGAGTTTGAAAGAAATGAAGGTATGGGGAATAATTTTACCAACAGGTATTTTTGGTTTAAGACTGGAACTTGTATATATATCGGGTATTGTGCATATTTGATACAAATATCATTATTTTATATTTATGTGTATAATATAGTTGTACTGTTGAAAACCTCCCTTTCACTCCTACTATAAAATAAAATAACTGCAGTGAAAAGATAAATGCATTTACTAAAATTACAGTATGAGTTACGTGAAAGATTGTACCTACTAACCTGTATCTCTACAGATTTCCAGCTCGGGCAAGGTGTAGACTTTACTACAGCCAAGCCAACTCCACAAACCTCAGTCCCCAGCCAACCTGACACCAGTCTAGCAGGCTTCTACCCTGTCACTACAGGAGCTAGCCCCCATTACCACCCTGCTGCAGTACCGCAGCAGCCCACCGGGGGCGCTGTGTACAATGGTGGGAACTATAGTGGTGGTAGGGACAATACAATGGCAAGCTATGGTGCTCAAGTAAAGGGATATCCAAGACAGCCAGATGTGAATGGCCCAACAGGCCAGCATTTGGGACCATCTATTAATGCAGGCAATTACCAATCACAGACAGGGATTGCAACAAACTATCAGACAACCATAGCAGGCACTTTCCATGGATATCAAGAACAGCCAGGTCAAGGTCAAATATCGTTGAATAAACTTCAGGAACAGCAAGCTCTGAGCAGCTACCAAACAGTCGCAGGACAGCAGAACAGCTATCCTGTGAACAGCTTTCCAACACAGCCACCGATGGGCAGTTACCAACCACATGGAGCAGACAGCAGTTTCCACCATCAGGCAGGGTTGAACAGCTATCCAGCAGCCGGAGGTCCAACCCCCCACCCTCTCCCAGTTGTGTCACAAGGTGTCAGACAACCTGATGCCCACCTTCTTGGGTCAATACCAGACAGCCAGATCCAGCCTTCAGTGTCACACAACACTCTACCACCCATGTCCCTTCATGGAGGGGCCTACCCCAGTGTTGGGAGAATGTCATCGCCACCAGTGAACCTAACAACAACTCCAGAAGCTCAGGTCCCAAAGAGCACAGCTATGGCTAAACCTGACCAATATCCTATATCAACAGGACTGACGCAAGGTGTCAGTAGTGCTAGCACTGGCACAGTTGTAGGTGGAGCAACAGGGATGTATCCTTCTGTTCCAGCTTCTACTACTAGCCTGTATCCAACAACAGACCTGACACAACATAACGTAGAGTCAAACGTTGGTGGACTCAGAGATGGGTTATACCCACAAACTGCAGCGTTAGCCCAAATGGCCAATATTACCACCGAAGGCACTGCTGGAATTAACAGTAGTGTGAAGAGTTTGTATCCAACAACTACAGGGCTACAAATGGCTGTAGGAACTGGTGGTGTAGCTTCAATGTCGTCTGAGATTGGTGGCACAGAGGCAAGCATGTATCCCAACATAGGACTTGCAAAGCCTGTAACAGCGAACATCCAGGCACAGGCGACTGCCGACGAGTTAGTCAAATATATGATGACTTCCCAGATTCTTAAAAAGGATAAGGAGACACCTCCGAATGCAAGCACTGAATCTGCACCTATCACTGTCAACACAGTAGGAGAGGGGGGTCCTCAGTTGGCAGTTTCTTTTAGAGGCAACCTTGAAGTGAATTCTGCTCTCCAAACACAAAGCGTTGACACTGCCAACTCTAAAAGTGGTCAGACAGATGAGATGAAAAATAGCAATCTGATAGCAGGTCTAAACAGTCTAGAAGCAAATGAAAAGGGAAACAAATCTGACTCTGAAAAATTGCATGAACAAGGACGGGAAAACAGCATGACTGAAACAAGTGTACCCAAGGAGGACATGGGTAGAACAGTTGAGGATAGTCAGCCAACAGTCACAGCCACTGATACAAGTGATAGCCTTCTCTGTTTGGAACCGACTGCAGTGTTACCTGACAGTAAGGTGATGGTAGTACCTGTAAGACATCAAGAAACTGGAGAAACTGTTGTATTGGAAGATAAGAAATCATGTGAGCCAGTTCATTCCAATGGTGCACTGAGAAGTGTTGGCGATAGCAATACTGCAGATTTAAGTCAGAACTCAGAAATGGCATCCACGTCCATGCAGAGCAACAAAAACCTGCAAGAGGAAGCTGCTGTAACAGGAAATGTTTTTGAACAGAAGGAAGAAGTTTTAAGTTCTTCTGAGTTGGAACAGGCTGGGAGCAAGGAATTGAAAAATGTAGAGAATGCAAGTTATGTAGAACAAAGTCAGGTCAGCACAGGATTTGGAGGGGCTGGAAATAAAATGATAGGCTTTTCTCCAGAGGTAGAAGTAGAGGGTGAATTTGACGACGCAGAAATAGATGCATACCTCGGGTTGGATGGTGTCGGTCTGGGGAACTCTGGGAACGAGAGCATGATGGAGGCAGGCAGAGAGGAAGCTGGGATTGTTGAATCTGGTACAGTCTTGGAACAAGTCTTGGAAAAGTCCAGCCAAGAAGGGTCCATAACCAAGACTGGTGTTTCACAGCTACCTGTTACTCTATTTCTACCAACTTCTGGTGGTGAAAGCACGGAACAAAAATTTGACAAACCTTCAGGAGACCAAACGCTTCAAAATGACAACGAACGCAATACCCAGCCAGAAAGTGGCGGCCCAGCAGGTGGTGAACTCTCAGATGCAGACCCTTTTTTCAGTGCACAGACGAGTACAAGCCCGACCGATACGTTAACCTCACTAGAGGAAGAAGAGGAGGAAAGCTGTAGAGTGCCAGAGACACAGGCTGTTACTGCACCTGCATCGGTTGATGTAAACAGTATGCCTGACAACAGGACTAATGAAAATAATGGAAGCAAAACAGGGGTTTCAGAGTCTCTCAGAAAACTCTCCGATGTCAGAACAAACAACCACATTGAGGAAAGCATTGCAGGTACAATGGTGACAGGTAGAATAGACCATGGTGATGGTCTAAGAACTGTTCAGCAAGGTTTTTCAGCGTCAGGTTCTGTAGAGGCGCAGAGCAAAAGGAATCCTGCAAATATGATTAATCCAGCAACAGAGACAGAGAGGATGTTGGGGCTGCCCGTGGACATAAAGGCAGCGGTACGAGAACAGGCGGTTGGAGGGAATTCAGGAGGGCAGGAGAGTTCTGCATCACAGAGCCTGAGCTCAGCAGGATCCCATAACAGTGAGGATGGGACAAACGAATCATTACAGCCAACTTTCTCACTTGGAGACAACCCTGGTCACACCCAGCAACCATCTGGTAACACCCAGCAACCACCCAGCCACACCCAGCAACCACCCGGTCACACCCAGCAACCACCCAGTCACGCCCAGCAACCACCCAGTCACGCCCAGCAACCATCTGGTCACACCCAGCAACCAAGCCAGACTGACTCAGCTACGGAAGGAAACAGAAGTAGTATAGAATCAGCAGTGGCAAACATTTCAATCAGGGGGCAAATGGAACAGGATGAACAACAGCAGCCAATCAGAGACGAGGGATTCTGGGACACGAGGCAGGCGCCGTACCAGGACATGCCCCAGGACGGCGTGCGGATGCCCCCCCACCCCCCGCTGGGCGTGGCGTCCCCGGAGGACGTTGGTTTCCCCCCCAATGTGGAGATGTTCAGGGATGACCTCAGTTCAGGTGAGATGGCAGTCGACTTTCTGTTCCTTTTCTTTGTGTCCGGTCCAATCAAACTCAAATTAAAAACAAATCAATCATTAATTTGGCCCTTTGGTGTCCACGGTGCTATCTGTGCTGTTCTCATAATTTTTCTGTGATTCATTTCAATTGGCTTCACTATTAATTAAACATTACAATCATGACTGCCTCTTACCAGTAACGTGATCATAAGTTCTGCATCTCAATTATTCTTATACAAGCTTTTACGTTCAATAATCGGTATTACACCTGAACTGAGGGTCAGTCTATGAACCCTCCACATGATTTTTCCACCGAACTGTGAAAAAATCTTCTCCTTTATGCCATATACAGATGAACATATTTCAATCTCCCAACATTCTGAAGTCTTTGTAGATACGTTCCGTTCCCTGTTTTTCCTTATCATGGTCTGATTTCTTCCTTGTCCAGTTATACCGTCGGATATCGGCTGGGAGGCACCCGTGTGGGTCCCAGACGAAGACGCTCCCAACTGTATGAAGTGTGAGGCCAAGTTCACGTTCACGAAGCGGCGTCACCACTGCAGAGCCTGTGGGAAGGTGCTTTGTTCAGCCTGCTGTGGACAGAAGGCACGGCTGGCATACATGGACAACAAGTCTGCCCGCGTCTGCTCAACATGCTACAACATCCTACAGAGAGGTACCGAGATACGTACTTATTATAATTTAAGTGTAAAGTGTAAACCTATTTGTCAAAAAAATTAGTTTTCTCTCCTGGCATTATGCAATGTCCTGCACTAATAGCTGGCTGAAAGACTATGACTCAATACAGTGTATGTTGACACTGATTTTTTTTACAGAATAAAGAGGCTCTCTTTTCACAACCAAGTGTTTTATTCAGGACACCTTCCTCAGGACAATTCTAATTGGTTCACACAGCCCAACACATCTATAGCACCTGTGCTGCAGTGCAATGTGAACCAGTCAGAATTTTCCTGAAGAAGGTGACAGGCGGTCACTAAACCATTGGCTGAATAAAATACTTTGTTCTATAAAAACAGTCACTTTATTCAATGACTTACCTACCCGATGAAATTATTGACGGATTTTTTTTACAATTTTGTTTTTTTGCTTCTTGTTCTTGCAGCCCAGGCCAGAGGTCAGATAGCAGGGATCAGCCAGGTGACCCCGTCCTCAGGTCAGGCCTCCCCCAACCCTAACAACCCGATGGAGTACTGCTCCACCCTCCCTCCCATCCAGCAGGCACAGGAAGCACTGCAGAGGCCACCCCCCAGTGTGCTGGTGCCTGTGGGGGGAAGGCCCCAGGGTGCACTGGGTAGGTACATGTAGAAACTACTGTAAATTATGAAATGTTAAGTACCTAATACCAGCTCAAAAAATAGCCATGCCTTCAAGTACTTAGTACGTTTAACTTATCAACCAAGGATTGGAGAAAAAAATCATTCTTTCCTAGAAGTATCGTAGAGTTGAACTCGCTTCCACCAAGTACAGTTGGGGCATCATCACTAGATAGCTTTAAATGATGTTTGAGTCTAATGTCCAAAGGTTAGGTGCTATAGACAAGTCTTTGAAGACAAAAGAGTTGAAGAAACTTGTAACAATTTACAGTATTATTTACCTGCACAAACCTACAATCATAATAATGTTATGTACTTGGTATTTCCTGCCCCCACAGTTTAAAAACAGTCTTTTTCTTCTTGCAATTTTTGATGTTCCACTTCAAGTTGTCCATAATGAAATCCCCCACAGGTGTTTCCCAGAGAGAGGGACGGCACGTGAGGTTCTCAGACGGGAGTATCCCCGGCGGGGACGGGACCTCGGACTCCTCTACCCCCTCCACCCCCTCCCACCCCATCACTACCCCCCAGGGGGCGGCCGCAGTCAGACCCAGGGGACCTGCACCCAACACGTCCCCTCAACACAAGGGGTCGCCTAGTAAAACAACCGAGACAAGGGCCAGACTTAGTCCATCTAAGAACAGGGAGGTAAGAATCATCAAACATCACATTTGTTTATTTATTGTTCAAGTCATACCAAAGACTTTAAAAAATGGTGAGGCCACCAGCATCTGTATTTCTCATCAAAGAGAAACCATCTCTCGCTCATGAAAAAGAATGGTAGTTAAACACACACCACTGCCAGTGGACTAGTCCCCTGCTGTAGTGATTGCACAACTGTGTGGCCCAAGGGATACTGAACGAGAAGTGTGCTGCTCTATGCACCATCTCATGCGGGAAGGACAAACTAACATGAGCTTAGGTGACAGGTTAATTTTGTTCTAACCGTTACTCTGATTGTCGCCTGCAGAGACAGTCAGGAAGTCCCCGCCAGGGAGGAAGCCCACGGAAGTCTGGGAGTCAAAGGTCACCCCCAAGGTCACGGCAGTCGTCAAGGACAAAGAGTCTAATTCCTGAGGAGGAGGACAGACTTCCTCCTGTCATTCTGTCTGTGGGAGACAAAGGAGGTGAGTCCTGACTAATCGAATTTCAAGAGAGTGTAATTCTACAGTTAATTAAATAAAAACAGAGTGTAATTCTACAGTTCAAGTGTAATATATTTATTGCTGGAAAATGTCACAAGTCAGGAGGTACAGGTTTTATCAAAAGGTCTTGTGATCTGGACATGCTAGAGTATCAAAGATAGAGATCAGATTGGCTAGTGCAGTCTAAACTAACTTTTGGATTTGATATCTTTTTCTGTGACAGTGGAAGACAAAAGATACCACTTTTTCTGTAACGTGGGTTTTGTGATGTTAAGAGGAGAGTAGTTTTCTTTTTGTCTATTGAAAGTTGTACTGTTAGCTGTTTTAATTGTTATATTTAGGTTAGCACAAGTAGTTCTGTTAACCCTAATCTGCCCTGTTCTCCCTGGTGCTACAGACTATGAGGTTGACTCAGAGCCAGACCCTGACAGAACCCTGGCAGAGATAAAGAGAGAGGAGACAGACCCTGTCATGTTTCTGGCCAACCCTAACCTGGTGGTGCTGGTCAAAGTCATCAACTGTGAGTCAAAATCTTTCAGAGCTTTAGTCTATATGTTAGAGCTGCAAGGCTCAAAATCCCTTTTACTGTATACCTGCACTGTCTGGCAACATTCAAACTTATCTTCACAAGACACAAGACAAGTTTTACCTGCACTACTCAGACTTTGAGAAGTATGGATCAAACTAAAAACTGTTCAGAAACCATTATTTTCCTTAATATTACTTCATAGGTGGTTGAACAGCTAATGCAGCAAATAGAAACTTACATTGTATATAAACCCAATACATGGTTCATTGGAGGTTATTTATAAAATAGACACAGATATTTACACATTGCTACATTCAACGAATCGATCAGTTAGTAGTCCTATACAACACTTAGCCTTACATTGTACCTGTTACTGTACGCACAGTTGTTGTGCAGTAAATGACCACATATTGTCTCCCCCAGTGTCTTGCTGTGTGAACAGGCTGTGCTGGTGTTTCTCCACGCGAGGCATGCACACAGTCAGTCAGGATGAGGTGGTCATCCTACATGGGTACAACACTTAGCCTTACACTATACCTGTTACAGTACTTTAACTAGCCCATATTGTCCCCCCTAGTGTCCTGCTGTGTAAACAGGCTGTGCTGGTGTTTCTCCACACGAGGCATGCACACAGTCAGTCAGGATGAGGTGGTCATCCTACTGGAGGCCATGCCTGACGATGATGTCATCCCACGAGACATCTTTGCCCACCTGCAAATGGTGTATGAGGAGGCAGGCAAAGGTAGGACTAGAAAAAATTAAACCATTTTTGTTTTAAAGCTGACTGTGAAACTTAATTGTAACCTGTAATTAACTATGCTCAAGATATGCAGAATTCGTACTGTTTTTATCCAGTGTAAGAAGGTTTTTATTCAACAACCAGTGGATTTTCATGTCTGACAGTTTGGTCCTGGGTTTGAGTCCTGACATCCCACCGATCTTGTGCCCTTGGGAAAGTCACTTTACTTGACTTTCCTCACTTAACTCAAGTGAAAATGAGTATTGTCTGTCTTCTATTTGTTCCATGTGTGGGACATAAGACCAGCAACAGCTGCCTTTGCTCCACGTGTACTGTATTGTTACAATTTCAATAAATCAAATCAAATCAAATATCTCCAGGTAACACAGTGGGAGACCTGGGCCACACCATCTTTAACCAGCCGTTCCTGGGCAGCCGTGAGCATGGCGGGTTCCTGTACATCCAGCCGACCTTCCAGTGCACCCAGCGCCTGATCCTGCCCGACCCCCCCTACGTGGTGGGGGTGCTGCTGCAGAAGTGGGAGACCCCCTGGGCGAAGGTGTTCCCCATACGCCTCATGCTCAGGCTGGGCGCCGAGTTCAGATGTGAGTTATTCCTTCATAGAGCAAGTAGGCAGAGCGTACTGCACCTACATAAAAGCCGTAATGTACTGGTATTGCGCTTGGCATTTTGACAGAATTGTCTCCTTTATGATCATACTTGCATGTTTAAGGATTGATATCTAAACTATAGTTTTCCAATGTTGTGTTGGAAAAGACACTCTTTGTAACAGGCAAAATGCTGATGCAAAAAAAAAACCCTGAAAAATCCAGGTTTTGCATGGGCATAGAGTCATAAACATTGATCTTTTTTTCAATGCACATGTAACTCTATTGACATTGTCATATTTTTTTGGCCCCAGACTATCCCTGTCCCCTTTTCAGCGTGCGGTTCCGTAAGCCTGTGTACTGTGAGATCGGACACACCATCATGAACCTGTTGGCTGTGAGTCGCACACTTTCAATCAAAGTAGTACTCTTCATGTTATCGTAACATGCAACTTGACAATAGTGTCCATAGTGACATAGAACTGATCCTCAAGAAGCCAGGCAACAGTCCTGATTCCCATACAGCTTTATACGGCATCTATACGGGGTCTGATAAAACTTTGATAAAGACATTTTTTTCATTGGTTATAAAGCATGACCTGATCAAGTATAAGTATGAAGCAAGAGTAAAATTTAATGTACGTGTACTTCTAACAGTATCTCTGTTCACAGTCTATGTCTCTGGAAGTTAACTTTTTTATCTGTCCAGGATTTCCGTAACTACCAGTACATGCTGGGCCAGGTGAGGGGAGTGGTTATACTGCTGGAGGACAAGAGAACACTCGTCAGGATACCCAGTAACAGATATGATGATGTAAGATCCTTGTTTGTACCAAAACTATTTATTTTGTCTGTTTTGTAAATTTCTCTTTTTATTAGCCAATATTTCCTTGCTTTGGACATACTGTAACTGTAAAATATTCCGTTTTGTATTGATTATTTTTACTTCAGGGTACAGAAGTATTGTTTTGGGTGGCAGTGTTTGTTGGTTTATAACCCAACACATTTATTGAGAAAAATATGGGTTTTTTTATTGAGAAGAATATGGCTGACTCGTTGTGCTTGCCTAACAAACAAGCCATAGTAAAGCTGCATCGCACAACTAGCTAACAATAAAAAGCATCAGGCATTGCCTCTTAGTGTGAGTTTGACTGCTTTATCTTTTTGTAACTATTTCCAGATGATGAAGGTACTGAACAACTGTAACGAACACGTCCTGTCCTGGGGCTCCAACTTCAGCGAGGAGGCGGACTCCCACCTGGTGTGTATCCAGAACGACGAGGGGGCGTACCAGACGCAGGCCATCAGCATCCAGAACCGACAACGCAAGGTCACCGGGGCCAGCTTCATCGTGTTCAACGGGTCACTCAAGACAACAGCCGGGCTGAGGGGGAAGTCCAGTATTGTGGAGGGTAAGCTGAATGGGCCAAAAAATGGTTACTGGATATCAAGCAATTGGATCTGGTTTTGGAAACGGTAAAATGTTTCAGGTAGCTTCCAATACCTTTCATTAGAGGGGCCAGCTTCATCGTGTTCAACGGGTCGCTCCAGACAACAGCCGGGCTGAGGGGGAAGTCCAGTATTGTAGAGGGTAAGCTGAAGGGGTTTTGAAAGGTTCCATTCAAGATGTTGAAATCTAGCTATCATGCATTGTCAAGTACAATGAACAATGGCTCAATGTCCTGTCCATAGGACTGCAATCCTTTTCAGTAGCATGCATGTTGGGTGAGCAACAACAGCCAGGATTCAAATTTATAGTCTTATAGTGTAGCATAGTCTGGTGGTAAGTGACACTAAGTGACTCTGGACATAGAGGTTGAGAATTTGAATCTTGGCTGTTGTCGCTCACCCAAAATGTATGCTCTTTGGTGAGCTAAACTGGTTGGAGATCATTTTTGCAATGCACATGACCTCTCACGTTTACCCTTGTTGTACCCTATAGATGGAGTGATGGTACAGATCCTAAGTTTTCCCATGTTGTACCCTTTAGATGGAGTGATGGTACAGATCCTGCCTGAGACCATGTCAGAGCTGCGGCAGGCCCTGAGGAACATGAAGGACTACACCATCGGCTGTGGCAGCACGGGGACCGAGGAGCCTGATGAGACTGTCGAGGTGCGATGGGTGGAGGACGACCGCAAAATGAACATTGGGTATGTTAAAACTAACATTGTACAACATTGCTTTCAGTTGAATTATAATCTTTGTGATTACTTGTCTTACTTTTTGTTTCCTATAGACTGTCAAAAGAGTGTACCTCATTTATATATCAATTCAGTTCTATTTCAAATTATAGTACCTTATGAAAAGTATGCGACTTAAAACGTCTGACAGTCTTCAAAATCTATCCAGTTGCTTTAGTAACACTTTTCTTGTGAATCTTTGTGATTATATACATGAGAGCTTTTAGATAGTTGAACTATAACAACACAAAAATCTGATATACATTTTGTTACTTCCGTTACTATATACAGAGTCACAAGTCCGATTGATGGGCAGTCCATGGAAGGCCTGACCAACATCCATGTGCACAGTGGCATGGACTTCGCCGGTGAGCAGAGGACCATTCGCTGGACCGAAGTCTTCTTCCTACAAACTGAGGTATGTGGGAGTGGGATAGACACCAGGTGTTTGCTTTTCAGGCACTCCCAATGTTTGTCTAATCGTTATTCTAAACTAGAATACGATGAGTAGAAGATGATGGAAGACATCTGTGACTGCCTGCTTCAACTGTGTTCTCAGATGTTGTGATCTGAGTCCTCTATTGAGGTGTAATGTTACAGGTGTGTTCTGTGTGGTGATAATGTTAACTTCCTGTCACAGGAGAGAGTCTCCTAAAACACATTGCTACACGTCCTCCCCAGGACTCCATGCCGCATTGTGAGCCCATGGAGATCTGCAAAGTTAGATGTAATGACTAAACAGATGCAATAGGAATTATATCTAACCCCATGTTTTTTGCCCCCCCCCCTCCGCAGGAGTCCATGCCCCAGTGTGAGCCGATGGAGCTGAGCAGGCTGGCTGAGTCCATCGCCACGGCGACCTGTGTGGCCCTGGTGCAGCACCTGGACTCCCTCAGGGAGGCGGGGATGTGCAAACTGGGACTCAGGGTCAACATAGACAGGGACGAGGTGAGGGGTCTGAAATGTCTAGTTGCTCATATGTTTAACTAGTACATGTACATGTATAAGCATGACATTGTAGTACCTGGTGCAGCACCTGGACTCCCTCAAGGAGGCAGGGATGATGAACAAACTGGGCCTCAGGGTCAACATAGACAGGGACGAGGTGAGGTGGCCAATGTGTTTTGGTTTTTCTTTTAATGCCCACAATCATGATCATTATGGCACACTCATTAACACCTGAGGGCACAAGGTTGGTGACATGGTAGGATTCGAACCCGGAACCTCTTGGTTCTGAGCCAAATGCTCTGTCGTTATGTCACACGGCCCCAGGGTGGGTAGTCATACCAGTGTTCTAGCCAGCCTGAAATTTTTTCCATCCTCTTAATTTTCTTTGACGTAGCATCACTAGAAAATTTATAAATCTTTATCCTCTGAAATTTGCCCTTCTTACTTGCTTGTGTAGAAGGTAACATTAGGTAATGCTGTGTATCACTGTGTGTTGCCATTCACCATGTTTTTTCCTGTTTCCAGGTTGGGTATGTAGCAGGTTCCAAGGGCCAGTTCCTGCCACCCCTGTACATGACTGACCTTGACAATGAACTCATCCCTGTCATCCACAACGCAGCAGCGTCCAATCAGGACACTCCAATTCGACTGGAACTCATCTTCCACATTCTCCACAACGTGGACTGAGTCTGTCTTGAAAGTTCATTCTGTTGGTGTTGGTAGTAAGTTTAAGCTGTAATTTCCAATGCAAAGAGTTGGACTTACACGAATTTTTGACTGTACAACTCCAGTCTTTGTCAAGGAACGAGCAATCCACCACTTCCGTGACGTGACATTATGCAGATGACACACGTGACTCGGTGAGCAGTGGATCTTAAGTTGCAGAAAGTCTGTGGCGCCCCCCGTCTTTGTTGTCACAGAAGCGGTGGATTGCTTATTCCTTGACAAAGACTGGAGTTGTATAGTCGAAAATTTGGGTAAGCTCAATTCTTTGTGTTGGAAATTACAGTTTTGACTTACTACATAGTAAGATCCTGTACATAATCCAACTTACACTAAGTCTCCAAATATAACATCATTGTTATAAATACATTATCCCACCATCTCTCTATCTACATAAGGTCAAAATCAACTTAACGTAAGATGTAAATTATGTTATATAATAATAATAATATAAACATGTCAATAACAAATTTGTAGTCATGAGAAGGATGTACTTTGAATAATTAAAAACCCAATGTTGTTAAATGTCTGAATATTGTAACTTTTCATATATGGTCTAAAGTAGTGCTATTAAAAGTAGGAAAGATACATGTATATTGCTGAACTTTGTCATAATTCTGGCAAAAGGAGTGTTGGCTTCACAAAAGACGTAAGATTATGAGAGAACTTTCACCTTGAATAGAATCATCAGTGTAATAGATTTTTTCTTCTTCCCTAAAATGAGATGTACATAAACATTGGACAATGTAGCACCATGTACAAACTCTTGCTTGGTTTAATTTGTACTTCAAAGAAAGTATTACATTCTGTAATATGAAAAATATATTATAAAGTCTCTCAATGCATGATGAGTAAGTTAGCAGGGCTATTAGCGACTTGGTTGTTTATTTGTTCCTGTTGACTTGCTTGAAGAATCAGTGACAGCTTTTCTAATCATTTAAACAAGACTTACTACTTTAAAAGTGTCATGGAAGGGCCATTTGACTGTCTTTACCGGTGAAAATTACAGCAAATTTAGCAAATAACTTTTTGTCTAGCTGTATATTTTCAGCTATGTGTATTATGTAGATGATACAGTGATAGCAGTCATGTCAACAGTAATGTATTAGTATCATACTTATGTTTAGTGCTAAGATTTAAGGTAAAGAACAGATGCACTGCCATATGTCATATTGACACTACAAAATGTAAGCAGAAAGTCGGGCAGATTAAATTGAAGCTAAATCGTCCTGCCTTATCCAATACCAATGATGTGTTCTAATTTGATTGTTTTTGTTGTTTTGATCATCTTCTTTGGACAGATAGTGAGAACTATTAACGCTCAAAAACAACAAAAAGATAAAAGACTGTACAATGATGTTTTGAATCCCCACCCCTGCAACTTTTCATAGTCTTTGGGCTGTATACTATATTTATCTGGCTATGCAACATAGATGTATATTGAATACCACCGATGTTACTAATAACATTGTTTGCTGAATGAAACTTCATCTGTGTTGGTAGAAGTCATTCTGAAACAGGTTAGAACTGTAATTCCAACTGACACAACAAGTTGTTCTGTACCCTGACTCCAGTCTTTGTCAAGGAAAGAGAAATCCGCTTCTGTGACATCACGTTATGCAGATAGATTCTCACAATGAGCGCTGCATTATTTTATCCTTAGGCTGCACCAATTTATTCAATTGGTATTTGGATTTGCCTGTACATACATGTAATATGTCACTTCATCACCTCAGTGATGTCAGGTTTGTAAATTACAGTTCAAATCTGTTTCAGAATAACACAAGAGTTTCAGATTTGGCTTGATATTCATCAAATGACTAGAACCTCCACTCTGTTTAGCTCCAAAGAAATTTATTCCAATGCCCAAATGAAACAGTTATATTTTTTTTCAACCGATGGCTCTATATTTCTATGCACATAACTGTACCAGGTCTTTTTTTCAAATTGTTTTCTTGTAAAAATTATGAAAAGAGCTATTCCCCTTTGTAAGGCATTCTTCTGTATTGTACAATGTGTACCTTGAAATATGTTCATAAAGGCTTTGAGGAGCTTTGCTTGTATCAGTATTATATATACATGTATCCCACCTTGCCTGAAAGTAGTCTGGCAATAATCGCTGCATTATTTTGTCATTATGTGTATGTAACTGATCATAGTATAGTACTTAACTATACAGGGCAATGGGTGCTTGATCGTTTGTTCAAATGTTAGGAAATACTGTACTAATCAGATGTCACTGTGAAATTAGGGACCCTATCCAAGTTGAGCAACTTCATACATTAACAAGGAATGGCTGCTCATTCATGTACTACAATGTACAATATAATGTTTTACGAATCATATTTTTTCCCATCATTTGAGTTGACTATTATTTCTCTTGAATTGCGGAAGATTTTGTTTGTTATGTGTAATACATGTATTATTATTAGTCCAGTATATTGTGCTCCAAAAGTTGAGCTTGGCTTGGATAGCTGTTTTAGGTGTCAACTCATGGTGCAACGCATACTTCAAGTTGTGAAAGCATTGCTTTTTCAGTTATTGTGCTAATATATATTGATGTAATAGCAAAGAAGATTTTTCTGTTCTTTGATGTTGATACATATCTGTCCAGGGGTAAGGATGATGATATAGAATGTAGGAAATGCAAACAGAATCACAATGTGTGAGGTTTACTAAAATAAAGCAAAATTTATGCAGTACATACATATGTAGTAGTGACGTGAAATTAGCCAAAGTATCATTGAACTAGCAACATTGTGTGCTCATTAGCCCAGTGATTTGTTGTTTTCTTTTGTGAATTTTAATGTAGTTTCCACTTCTTTCGTTCTAACTAATGGCAAAGTTTTAACTTGAGAGTACTAGGCAAAAGGAGCAACCTACTTGAATTGATGTTACAGAAGCTGCAATGGGATATGCATATATTGTAACTATTATAGTTGGATGTGTGATTCAAACATGCTTCAAAGGTGTCATCTTTAGACATATCGGAATTATTAGAGAGAGTGATAATGATGCTGAAGATGTACAGACAATAAAATTTTTACTCCAATAACGTCATACTTTATTGCAGTGTCTTTCTCTGATCTGTGTTCAAACTCTAATACTTATCACTCTATTTATGTGCGGCACCTACCGATTTGCCATAGTACTGACCATTAATGACGTTATACATGTAGTCTTCGTCCTCGGTAAAAGTTTAAATTTCCAAGCGGCAGTATCTTTGACCACAGATTCCAGGATATCGTAGAGTTCTAAAATTGTCAACATGACCCCCGTCCTGACAGATTTGGAACTCATTTTACGGTCGATTAATAAGGCCCGATTCACACGATGAAAAATAAAAGTGTCGGGCGTCGTTCGACGCGCACGCGCGCCAAGTCACCTACGACACTTTCCCGTTTACACACAGTGACCGCAGCTCCCGCTTCGCGTCGCAGCTGTGGCGGTCTGCGTCGCGCTGTATCACATGTGGTGAACTGCCGCTACGACTGTTCGAATCCCTGATTCTCCGGTACGAGTACTTGAGGTCTCTTATCTTCTGGACTTGTTTGGAGGTCCTATTGTATCCCTCCTGCTTCATGCCCTCGGCAATGTCTCCGAAGACCTCCTTCTTTCTGAAAGTTTCCATTTTGCTCTGAATTCTGTCACCGTTCCCCAGCCCGATCAAACAGCGCGTTTCAGCGCTGGTCCAGTTGACTTCTGCCATGCTCAGCAAACAAGCAGTAATGCTTTAATAGCAAACAATCCGTACAAAATATTCCGAAGAAACAACTAACAACAAGTAGAAATTGATACAGAAATGGAATGAATAGATACAAACAGAGGAGCGTGGCGTGGGTTTCAGGCTAGCGCGGGAATGAAGAAATTTGACCTTCTGTGATGCGGAAATGGGCTGCGCGAGCTGCGCGCGACGCAGATCTGTTTACATGATGTTTTTCCTCGCCGCAGACATCCCGCTGTGTGCCGCGACGCACTTGTGGCACCTCCTGAAGGTGCCACAGAAAAAACGACACAAGGCGCCGCGCGGCGGTGGCGGGCCTGTTTATACCATTGAAAAATGTGTCGTACAGCTTGCGCGCGCGGCGCCGCGCGCGCGCGCGCGTCGAACGACGCCCGACACATAAAAACGACGCACGTGTGAATCGGGCCTAAGTTTTGGGACGGTCAGTGGCTGAGGTAATCCCTACCCCACAGGAGGTAAGAGTGTTTTGAGGCAGGGCGCTGTTGGGGACTATTAAAAAGTGATTAGTGGGATTTGTCTCTTGCTGTGTGCTCATCCTTGTCTATTTGGCCAAATTCCAGGAACCTAGAGAGTATGGTCTTTGGATGGAAGCGGCTGGAAAGAGTAGAAATCGGCCAGAGATAACATTCCACTTTTTGTTTTGTCTTGTGTCTTGTCTGGTCTGGTCTGGTCCGAGAAAGAGAGTATATTTGTCGCACATGTACAACATTTGGCCGATTTCTACTCATTCCAGCCGCTTCCCAAAGAATGATACAGGCTGCTCATCCCCGCATCCGAATAGATAACGGTCCTCCCCTCCCCGCAAAATGTACTGTCCCTCGCGAGGGCTGACGGGAAGCAAAATGGCCGGGAAATTTGATTTTGAAGCTGAATCTGCGATGAAATCTTCTCTACACTGCAAAAGGAGCTGTAAACTACGTCTATGCTACAACACCATGGAGCCAGTTTGCTGAATTTGCAGGACAACATGAGCTGGTGATGCCTAGAGCCGTGTCAGGAGAGGGCTAGTTGATACCGAGTGGCGTTTCTGAGAGTGGGAGGGGGGCGGTGCCGTAAACGTAGTCTGCTAAAATTAAAGTACCGATTTATACGGAATTTACGGATACGTACAGCATGTAGCTATACTTGTTGTGTTTACACATATGTTAGGAGGGTGGATAACTTCTTCGATTTTCTTGTTTCAGATAAGCCAAAGGAGACTGGTGGAGACTATAATATAATATTGACCGCGCTTCGTAACGTTAACACTTATAAGTTATAGAAGATAGACCGGGGACCAGGACGGATCTTTACGTGTGGGCGTGTCAGTCTGTCTGTATGTCTATCTGAAAACATGATACATGTATTTGACTTTTGTCAGTCTTGAGATTAACAGAACAGAGACGGACCGTCCTTGCCCAGATAGCCCACATACAAATAGTGAAATAAAGGAGCTTTCATCACAGTAGAACGTCCTTGTACATGTAGGTAGTCCAGGTGTCATCTTGTAACATTGAGGGGCTACACCGTGCATGGCTTTATGTCCCGACCTTTATCAGTGCCGACCTTTAACTGGAACCTAAGCTCCTACGTGGCCGAAGACATCTACTCTACTCTACTCTACTCTAGTGCCGCGCATTACTCCGATAATGGACCTAACGGTACTGGTGAATCGTTATGAGTCCCTCAGCCTTTTCTTTTGACTTTCCTTCAATTATATCGCGTGCACCTGGATCCAGAACTTTCCCACCATGTCCCGACTTTTGTTTGCCACCTCTTTGCTTCCTCACCCTGACCCTTTTCCCCATTTATTACAACAAACCGACCGGCGGTCCGCTACTTCTGTTTGCAGCCTCTTTGCTTCCCCACGTACCTTTTCCCCCATTTATTACAACAAACGCATTCCCCGCGCCACGCTCCAAGCAATGAAAATATTTGCTTTGTTGAGACCAAAGGGCGGCTGGACTGTACTGACGTGACAACCCCCGCCCCTGGTTACCGCCTTGGTGATACTGCAACACTACCATGGCGCCGCCTTCAGGCAATGACGTTTCTCATAGCTAGATCAGAGTTCGTTTTCAGTGTCCAAAAATCACTTTCTCTCCACCCTGCTTTCAGATGCTAATAGTTTAGCTTTATACGCTTTGGTGCGAGACCGTTTTTTGGGTGCGTGGGCCTCCAGAGGTCCGTTACCCGGCAGAATCGTACGCTTCACGCAAACACTCAGCAGCCAAGAGCCGGGATTAGCGAACCAGAGTCGGCCCGAGGCCAAAACGTCACGTCACGATCTACTTTTGCTGTCCCCTCAGGAAATATGAGCACGTTTTGAGTCTTGGGAGGACCCGAGGGAGCGAACCTTAAGGATTATCTCTGAAGGCGATCTCAAGAAGGGACCCGGCGCCTGGATTTTTGAGGGTAACCTAGAAACGTGTTCTTCACCGATTATAAGCTTGTTAGTCGGAGCTAAAAATCCTTTGAACTGTCAACCCGATTTCTTGTGGAAAGCTTGCATAATTTCTCTCGATCACGTAGTTGTTCTGAAACAGTGCACCTAGAGCTTATAGCACAGCACGTTGTTTAAGGTTGTAACAAGAGGAGGGTGCCAATAATAACACAGCTCATTCAATTATCCCTTTAATAATAACATTCATGTCCCTACTTCATTCTGCGACGAAAGGTATTCACGGCACGAGACTAGGGGTTACCGGAGTTTCTACAAACATCGTTCGACCCGGTTAGGGTGCCCGGCCATGGCTACCCTAGCCGCCAGCCCTCTGCTGACATGTAGCGACTGTAAAATGACGTTCAAGTCGCCAGCGCTGTTGCAGAAACACAAGGAGAAGTTCTGTGTGGGAAGCGGGATTGGAGACCCGAACCGGCTAGCCAGGGATGCGGAGAGACTGAGACAGGCAGCCTACAAGCCGGCAGAACCAGCGGTAAGATTTTCGAATTCCCTGGTAGCAGGAAAAACCACCTGTTCATTTACGCTCCGTCGACACAGTGCAAAGCGCACAGGCTGCCCCCAAAAATAAAATATTCATCAGTATTGAATAAATCATAGACGACAGTGCAGCAGCTTGAAATGAACAATTATTTTGTGCAGCCCCTGAAAATGTTTAGGAAAGCATATATTGTGAAAAATTGAGAGGTCTATTTTGGCAATAATTAGTTGTTTGTCCTATATGTGACCTCAATAAGATGTGCAGTTTTTGAATTGGAATAGATCTCACTGTTCAATTTTACTGCTTAATTTCTTGCATCTTTTAGCAAGGCTAACAGTTCAATTTTCTAATCAAGTCTTTGTCTGAGCTTTAAAAGGAACTAAACCTGACTTGATCTGTCTTAACTTGTTAGTACATGGATGCACCCATAGCAGGTCAAAGGTTGAATCACTTTCACACCTATACAATTACAGTACATTCCCATAATTGCATCTTGAAGAAAAGACTTAAAGTTTCCATTTCGCAAACTCTTCAAATGAAATTACGTCTTAAGAGGGTCTTACAAGCAATCCAGAGTGTATAAGATGTTGACTCAGTAAGTTATAGCAGCCCTATAGTTCAGGGGAAGGGTCCAGCTGGTTCTAAGCACCGCTGAAGTGGCAGGTGGAACTGTGGAATCAATATCCTGCTTCCTCCATGGTTACTGACTACCAGGGGTTCTCTGTGACCTGTGGCACACAGACACAAGCACGTCGGCAGAACGTACTGCGCCTGCACAGAACCCTGCATTTTCGCGTTTTTCGTTGGATTTTTGGTCAACGTTGCATTAGAATTTTGACTGTTGCAGAAGATATCTTTTCCGACACACCATTTGGTGACCACTATCGAAATGCTGACCTTATATGAGCGAATACAACCTTATATGAGACATTCTGCCGATTCGGAAGTGCTATGTACAATCATCATCATTGGCAGTGGCTCGTTTCCGAGTATAATTGTTCAGTGCAGTACGTTCTGCTGACGTGCTACCTACACAACTGTGTTGTTCAGGGACTGGCAGTCATAGTCATTTCACATACAGAGAAGGCTATTGTTAAAGCAAGGTTTAGGCCAAACATGATCTATTCTGTTTTACAAGTAAAATGTCCTTGATATAAAGTAATAGCATGTGGGAACTTTTTTGTGAAAGAAGGGGGACTCTGAGGCAATTTTTTTCAGTGTTTTAAGTTCCTAGTTGAAACACTATAAAAACCACTATTAAGTTTCAAGGTTTACACTACTGGTATTTTTGGTTTGTAGACTACTAGTACCATGAGATCATAAATATGTAGGACACAGAAGTCATTTAGCCAGCAAAACCAAAAAAAAAGGAAGTTGATAAAAATATAGCATAACATATTATGATTTAGACTGATATGGTGGCTTACATAGCAACTATTTTGATTGGCTAGGCACCTATAGGTCAATTAAGTGTTCTGTCAAGAGCTTGTTATAAATTTGTTGTCATCAAACATAATTATGCAGTTTTGCCCTTCCCTATGTATGTTCTTAAGCACCCATATCACCATCTAATTATAGACATACATGTAAGGGGGCCAACTGTAAGACGATACAGTTACCATTAAAAAATTCCCTTTGAGTGAGGTCGTGTACAATGGCACTTTCCGCATACAGAAACACACCCTGCCCTTTCAGTAGACAGGCCAGTTTAAGTGACCCTATTGTGAGATGAAACTTTACCCCATGTAAAAACATGGTAGAACATGTGTAACCACTACTAACATGTGGCTGGTTTGTGTTAGAAATCTGCCACAGGTGTTTCAGCTGTCATTGCAGATTATAGGGATTTTCTCTTAGCAGGTGGTAACATATACATGTAGTCTCCACCAGACTCCTTTGTAGGCTGAATAAATAGTAGAAAAATTATTGGCCTAAAATTAAAAAGAATGTTTAAGTCAAAGGAGTCTGGTAAAGACTAGGCACAATAGCTAAGGCCACACCAACATGATTTCTTGTTTCCCAGATTTGCCCACTTCATGGATGAAATTTTATAGTCACTGTGTTAATTCAAAGTACGCTGGGTGCCATCCTATTTGTATGCCAGGGCTGTAGGGAGCAAGTAAATGTATGGGAGCTCCGACATGCCGATAGGATAGCACCCAGGCAAAGTCTAAGGTAGAAAGACGACAATATATTATTTGTGTTTCCTTCACAGAAAATTCTAGTTCCCAGTGTTTTGACTAGTTTCCCCCCACCATTAGGCCATTCTTTGTAGCCCTAGGAAAACAGATTAAATGGTGCATAAACAGGTGTCCCCTTCCGGAGTGACACCTGTTTTAGGTGAATTCTGTACTCAGTATCTGTATCTGTCTAGCCAGTAAACCGCCCTTCGGCATGACACACCTGCTTCACAGGCATGACACCAAACGACCTGTTACACTCAATCTTTGCACATTTAACTGCAGGAGTTGTTCAAGCATTCTAGTGATAATGCCCAACTCTACGATTCATAGTTCTTACTTCAGAAGTCACTTTTTTATATGAAAATTAGAATTCACTTGCTAAATTATGAATTCAACCCAGACAGACCTTCATTATCTCACCAAATGACTTGACAATATTCAGTGGGAATGATATGCGTAAATAATGTTACTAAGGGATGGCAGAATTGTGTTGATGCCTGTACCAACAGTGCAGAGGTCCCGTCACCCTAATGGTGAAATAAGTAGCTCTTATGTCAGCAGGTCAGGACAGTTAGGCCAATAAATTTTACATGTTTTGAAATGCTCCATCACCTAGATAAATATTTGGTCATTTTTTCAACAGTAGAGCTCTTTATGCTTCAGCAATTTAATTTGTTTGTTCTCAGATTTTTTCAGAAAATATGTGAAGTGATGGAAAAACATTCCTAGGCATCCTATGATAGGAGCCATGAACTTAATGATGAAGTGCTTCAACATGTTGCTTAACAGCTTTGTAATCACATATTACCTATTAGCTTTGTATTCAATCAATGTATTCTGAACTTTTTGTCAAATGCCTGCATTGATAGATGGAAAAACTACTAAGAAGTAGGAAGATAATGACTTTTTGAATTGTTGGGGCCAAATTTTGGAGTTGATTCAGAACCTGAGTATTGTTTTTTTTTTAAATTCCCCCCAAAAAAGTAAGCAAATCCAAGAACCAATTGATAATTGGCCTGTGGTCAGTGCTGACCAAATGATTGATTATATCTTTACCTTTGTTCCAAATTCCTATTAAAAACTGCTGAGGTCTACAATTTTTAACATCAGATTTAGAAAGGGAGCTGTCCAAATCTTTGTATCGTCTAGGCAAGTTATATCTGGGCAATTTGTTACTTACATTCCAATCATTGCATTGTTTAGATCATTTAGCCAACTTTAAAGTTTCATATCTATAGACACCTTAAAATGTTTTATCAGACTTGCACCTTGCAACTGTATTTAATTAGGTCAGTTTAATTGACTTTTAATGCATTAGTTTTTACCACCTTATCATCACTTTTGAATAATTAACTCCATTATCTAGTTAATGGGTTTAGTTAATTGATAACCTTCATAAGTAGACACCATTGCCTAATGTCTTTACGAATATCGGTGCCTTAAATCTCAGAATCGATTAAGTCGTGTTGCCACGAGTAAACCTGTTTGTTGCTATGGCAACAGCGCTGATGTCACAGGGGTCGCCGACCTTATCAGATGAGCGTGTTTTCCCGCCGGCACGGTCTCCTAGCGAATGTAATTAAACACTCCGACATGCTGCTTAACAGCTTTGGAATTGTTGACTGCTCGCCTGAATATATTTGATCACGGGTCATATTTGCCATAGCGGGCAGACAATCAATTATGGCTGAAATAATGTACATCTTACTGTAAATTCACTTAGATTTGAGGGGACATAATTGCTTTATACGGGTAAAAAGTAGACTTTTGAGGTGTTAAAAGTCCACTGTGGGTATACGGAGTGCATTTCTGCAAAAAAAATCAGTATAGTTTGCAGTGTGCTGATTTTGTGGTGTAGAGGTCAATGACTGCAAACATAAAACCAATGCAAATATTCCAACATTTACAGTAGAGTTGTATTTAATCTTTGTCCTAGGCAGAATACCGGTCTTATTTATTCTATAGGTTTGTCAGGTAGTTTTTTTATAGAGCTAAATCCTGAGCACACAAATCTATTACAGGCGTTCTTTTGAACCCTAACAAATTCATTTAAAGTCTGAAGTTGTGTTTGCAATTTCAAGTCAGGATTTTCGATCAACAAAAGAAGGTTCCAGGTGGAACAAACGTAACAATGGAACTCTTTATCAAACATTAAAACCAGGTGGCAACTAATGTGAAGTCAAGTATTACAATTACATGAAGCAGTATCCTATAAATTATTCATGATTCAACATGTGAAAGGCAAAAGTTTGTGATGATGTTTGTTCAATTTCTGAAGGAGCAAAATTCAAAGTTTAACAGTTTCAACTGCAGCTACAGTAGCCAAAAACATATGCATCATAATATTATGAATTCACCAATTTTCTTCTTTTTTTATGTCTGCAGGAAAATTAAAAAAACACTCCCAAATGCTTAACCACAAGAGTGACAAATTTCTTACAATAAATTTTTCTTATCATGAAAAGTGCAAAGACAAGCCCGGCCTTTCCTCAACTGTTTGTGCAATAACTTGATGTTCATATCCATCTGTCAATTTTTTTTCAAATCTTCAGAAAAAAACGTAGCAACAAATCCAAGAACCAATAATTTAAATTGGCACAGCCTACATTTATTGCAAACAGTGCAAATTCCTTCAAACAATTGCTTCTTCAGAAAGCAGTTGTGTGTTTTCTGACTTCCAGACAGCCGGTCATGTTAAAAGAGCCACATGCCTGTAATGATTAATTCAAACCCTCCCACAAAATTACCACCTGTCAGATCCTGACAGTGATGCATGTCACCTCTGAGAAACACGACATTTATTTGCGACGTTTCTCGCCTATTCGTGCTCCATTTCAACCGCACGGCAGGAATGCAAAATGGAAACATTAGCACAGGGTGACAAATATTTTTGCACTTAGCTCAGCCTTTTGTAAGACAAAGTTCTGTTGTAGTAAAGGGCCAATCAGCATGTGTGTCCATTTAACCTTCCTGAACTATACCCACTGGGTTATCTAATAGAATCTGATATATGGGATCATTTATTAACTTCTAAGAGGGTAGGATCATACTCATGATGTTTAAGATTAAAAGCTGTTATCTTAAAAAGAGACCCTGAATGGCAATTAAAGTAGAAAACACTGCTTGTCAATGGTTGATGGTGTGTTTACATGCCACACCTGTTGTTTGAAGAGTAAACAGATGATGTGGGGGGACGGGGTCGACACACATCCTGAATAAATTTCTTCTTTTCTACTTTTGCAGCCACCGTCACCTGACCCCAACCTGACATCCAAGGTAAGGAATCATGGGAAGGTTCCGTTACTACGGCAACACAAAAACACTCCTCTTTTTGGTCGGGTTGTTCTCCGAATTTCTGTCCTGTGATGCTCCGACATGTCACTGCCTGGCCAATTAAGTACTTGTGAGTGTTACCACCTGTGTACGATATCGTCTTTTGAAAGGCAAATTCAAATCTTTTTCTGTCGTCTTGCTTCTGGTTTCATGTTCTGTTATGCCTCATTTTGCTTAATTGATGAATGCATCACACTTGTCTTTGCATGACCACCGCACTTGCATGTGTATACAAGTATTTGGTTTCAATAATATGATAGTGATAATATTACTTTGTGAGTTTCACTTATACCTGTTGTTAAGTATCTGGATTAGTATCTTTGTAATATAGACATTTAAGACTTGTATGTCGTTTTTGTTACTTAAGGGTGTTTTGTGTGCACTGGACCGTGACTTAAAGCTGGTGGCTAAGTCTTCAGGATAAACCTACAGATTGTAAAGTTTAACTTCCAAAGAGAGTAAAGCAGTGCTTTTGTCCATGCTCAACATTATATATCAAAAGTTGTCCTTATCTATGATCTACATTTGGCTGTCAAATTCTGTTATTGTTTGATTGAAAGCAACCAAGACAACAGAGTAGCTAGGTGTAATTTTGTAACCATAAAAGAGACATTCAAGTTGATGGCAAAAGTTTATGAATAATTGAAGGGAACAAATTTACAGAAGCCAACAACATTAATCTTCTGTCAGAAAAGTTCTAAAATACTTAAAAGCCTGTAATAGCCAAACCCTTTCACATCTTTCTTTATTCACAATTATTATATCCAAAATTGATACTTCTCACATGTAACTATTTGAGTGTGTAGTTGAACAATCAGCAGAATTATTTTTTTAATGAATGAAGATTTCATTATATAACTGTTCACAGTCATTACACATGTTTGTTGAAAGCTGTACTTTAGCTCTATTTGAGACTCTACTTATTCTTTACATGATAACAAGTGTGAGTGAATATAAGCAATGTACTTGATAACTTAATTGCTGCCTGGATGCCACTTCCTTAAGGCTATAGACCAGTTAAGGCAGCTGAAGGACCGTAAGTCCAAGTTACGCCAGGAGAGAGAAGACGAGGAGAGGAAGTTACTGAGAGACATCCAGGACAAGGAGCGGGCCATACAGCGGGAACGCTCGCGACTCAGCGTAAGAGAAACCGAGGCCAAGAAAGCAACGGAATTCAAGGATCTCACTCAGGAGGTAAGGAGTCTTACTTTATCTTCAAGTTGGCTTCTTTGAGACCCATTCTTTAGTTTTACTTGCACCAAAAAGTATCAATCAAAAGATTATACCTTTTATGTCAAGAAAGTGCAATTTTCCAATGGTTGGACTTATTTGCAAAAATCTAAATCAGAAGGTAAGTAGTCTCACTTTGTCTTCAAGTTGGCTTCTTTGAGACCTATTCTTCAGTTTTATTTCTACCATAAAGTATCAATAAAGAAGTCCTTCGTTTTTTTTAAAAGTGCAGTTTTCCAATGGTTAGACTTAACGCTTGCATTTTGCCACATTAGGGCAGTGCCGTGTATTTACTGAAATCCAAAACCAAGTTGAACAAAATTCTTCTTTTGCAAGCCACCATGTCAGACTGAAATCTTATCCTTGTTACTACATGCAGATCATTGTACAAGCAATACAAGCAAAATATGTTGTACAAGCAATACAAGCAAAATATGTTTCCATGTTTGGTTGCCACAGGACAAGTATTTGACTTGTGACATTTTGGGGGAAAAGCGCACGAAGGGCAAATAAAATAGGTTGACGGTGGCCTTTCTATCAACAGTAAGCCATTATCCTAAGTAGGACCCACCATTGGACCTGAACCAGAATGTGTAACATGTATCACATTTCTAAGCCAATGTACAACCCTTGCAAGTGTTGTATACTTGTGTTATGGTACAATTAAAACAGTAAAAATGTCTTCTCAATACTCAGTAATTGTGACAAAGTTTCTTGATTTACGTTAATTTGTTGTGACTGACTGTTAGAATCAGGTTCTACTACCAGCTAGCTCTCAGTCTGCAGTGACAAAACCAGAGTTGGAGTTACTTTTAACTTCTCGACAGTTTCATGTAATTTCTTGTTTGTACTGTTTTCTGCAGTACCAGTCGAAAGTTTCATTAATGTTTAGGCTTTATTAGTTAATAGCTGTTTAGATTCAGATTTTACAACGAGCTAGCTTGCAGACAGGTGTCTGAAGTGACAAAATGTAGAGTTGGAGTCACTATTATCATTAAAATTTCAACAGTTTGGTGTAATTTTGTGTTTCTTTACCGTTTTCTGCAGTACCAGCGCATGTTGGAACGTGAGCAGCGAATAAGAGACGAGATAGACAACCTGGAACAGGACCTTGGACTTGAGAGTCGTGCGGGGGTGATATCCCGTAACACTGACAGCAGTATGAGCCTTCCCATATACACTGATGTAAGTTAAGACTGGAAAATGCACAATGATTGTAATGATGAACATTAGTCTGGTTACCAGACCTAGTATAGCTCCCTGTCTGCAAATATTGGTTGGAGTTGGGAGCTATAATAAGCCTGGTAACCAGGCTAGCTGGACGTGTGTTGGATTGAAGTTCTCAACTTTCATAAACACCTGTAAGGTGCAGATCATGTTGTTTGTGAGTCTACATTCAGATACATTTCATTTTGAGGTGTTTCATTATTCTCAATGTATAAGGGAAAAGCAGTTCCCCCTTTGGTTTTATATTGGTAGATGCTGTTGTTGTGTTCATAAGTGTTGTTGATACATTGTGTGGATAGTTCTGCACTCATCCTGATAGACTTTGTGCTGTCTACAGTTGTTTTATCATGTACCAGTAAATAAATGATAAAGGTGTGTTGCATACAAGAAGCATTAAAGCTAGGTAATAAAAACATAGGATATACTGGTTGCAGTGGTCATGCAAAGCGTTGTACAAATTCCAAAGAGTTAAAATCAAATCTCACAAGGAAAAAATATCAGACAGAAATTCTAAATTCTCAAGCAAATTAACAACATACAAACTCATTACCTCTGAACACAATCATGATAAATGACATCTCCATGGCAACAGTCAAAGAAATTCCCCCAAAACTAAAATATCTGCCCAAACATACACTCAATAGTACAGCCCACTTGAGCTGTATTGAGTGTCCCTAATGACCCTGTTGTTGGTTGCTAAGCGATCCCGCACTTATCACTTATTGATTACCTGTCATGGATGATTGATCACTTTATGATGGCCCAGTTTAGCATCACCACTGTAACCATGGTTACTGGGGCTACTATCAATGTTATCCTGGAGGGGGAATGAATCATAGTTAGAGGGCGAGTTTCTTTGCATTTATTTCTAAATCAGTATTTATAAGACAAAACAATCGCTTTGTAGCAGAAACAGAACTATCAAGATTAAAACAAGTAATTAAAAGGGACTTGTCTACCGGTATTCCCTTTTTAACACGGTTACTAAACGATTCATTCAGAAGGTAAAGGTAGGTAGAAAGTAAGATTCTACAGCTTACTAGTATCACATTGTAGTTTATAGATTTGGCATTTGAATTAACCAATGAACATGCCTGATATAGGATGAGCAGGCCAGCCGCAGGAAGATTCTACAGCCTATCAGATTGCAGTTTACAGATTTGGTGTATTAATTAACCAATAACTGTACCTGTTACAGGATGAGCAGGCCAGCCCCAGAAGTAAGAAACTACAGCCTATGAGATTGTAGTTTACAGATTTGGTCTATGAGTTAACCAATGACTGTGTCTGTTACAGGATGAGCAGGCCAGCCCCAGGAAGAACGACCACACGGAGCAGCTCAGGAGACTAGCAGAGCATCATGGGAAACAGCTGGGAGAGATCCAGAACAGGAACAGGGAACTGGAGCGGCAGAGAGAAGGTCTGGATAAATAGCACATTGGCAAAATGTAATGTGCCTAATAAAAGTCCAGAACATATGCCCTCCCCCTCCCGGTAATATGCTTAGCAGTTCAGCATAACGTATCATTTAAGGTCAAGTATTCAAGGATAATATCCCTTCTCTTCTTCTTAAACTCCAAAGAGAACTAAGTTTCCTGTCTAGTCACAAAATGGACAGACACAGGGCAGTCGTGCGCATGCCAAAAAATGTATTGGAAAAGATATTTATTGGCAGGTAAAAGCACATTTATGAACATGAGGAACCTTTTCACATTCTATGCATGCAAATACCATGTATGTAAAGATAACTGCTCATAGCCAAGCAGAGTTGTTTTAACTATCATTGATGTCACCTGTCAGAAATCCGTCGGCGGCTGCAGGACCTGGGTAACCAGCCGATCCCGCCGCAGCCTGCCAGTGACCAGCCCAGCGTGGAGGACATGGTGAAGGAACTCAGGGAGCAGGAGAAACGCAACCAGGAGACTCTGGAACAACTCAAGTCACATCTTAACAATCTGCAGGAGGAGGCAAGGTAGGAACCTGAATTTTTGTTGTGGACACCTTATCTGCAATTTTTTAGCAGCTGAGTAGTTTTTATCTTCAACTTCGCTTTTATCTTCAAATAATCCCTATTCATTCTTTTCTTCTTTTCGAAGTTCCTCTCTTATTCCTGCATTCACCTATTTTCATTTTGATATTCACAATCAAATTACAGCTACTGGTACATTTCAATATCCTTATATGTTCCCATGCAATCGGTAATGCAATCCAAGGCAGAAACCTCTAGGCTCTAGCACCAAACCTCTGAACATAAAAGAACCCAGCACACTTATTGAGTAGAGTACAGATGACCTGGTGTGGTTGGCTATGAACACAAGCTGTAGCAAAGCCGAATTGAGCTAGTAAGAACTTGCAATATGCTTCACCTCAGTTGAAGATGCTTGCTTTCCCATTACCTATTGCTACTGTCCTTGGTGCTGAAGTTGTGCTAGTTACTAGAGTGCTTTCAAACTCTTCACTCTAAATTCTCCCACATCTCTCTTACTGCATGTGTCACCCAGTGAGTACGTACACACAGTGCTGGAAGACACCTCTACAGATGTCAGCCATCTTAAAGCCGAGTCCTTAGACGATGAACAGCTAGAGATCATGACAAGTAGAGTAGATACGGACTTGCTAGCAAAGATGGACTCCATATCATTAGGCTCTGGTGACCTACAGGCCAAAAGCAAGGAAAAAGACATGGATGTTAAAGAAGAAAAAGAAGAAGTAGCAGAAGCATACTCAGAAGAAATGAAGGCATTTCTAAATCAGCTCAGAGGTCAAAGTCAGTTGAGGAAAGTTGAGGGAGCAGAAGCACAGGAAGAGGATGATGCAGACAGTGTAGAGACAGAAGACGAAGTGACATCATCAGAACTACTTTTTACTATAGAGGAGGAAGGAGAAAGAGACAGTGAGGGACAGAGAGATGAAGATAGCAAAGAATTAGAGAGGGATGAAACTGCTGAGCAAGGACAAGATGGAAGGATTAGAAAAAAGAAGTTAAAAAGACGTTGGAAGCATAGGAAAGGTCATGGTCCAAAAGACTTGCTAGATCAGTGGGTTCTAAGTATGAAGAACCGACTTGAGAAACACAGTCAGTGGAGGGATAGAGGCAGCAGTGGTGGATATAGTTATCTGCAGTACAGGTTTGTGGGGTCTGAGTTGGGATGAGTTGGTTTTCTTGTGTTCTATGTTGATAAAATGGTTTATATAGGGCCATTCACAGTCTTCTACTCCAGTCTTTCCTGTTTCCTGTTGTACCTGTTTATCTTTGGGGTACTAGAGATTCTTGTCATTACTAACCTTTCACTATTAGAAACTGTTTTAACCTAACATTATTCAATAGATGATTATCAATTTGAGTAATCTACAAGGTTCTGAATACAATCCTGTATAATTAATAATCCAGGGTAAGATAGTGATCGCAGGCATCTGTGTCATATTCTGATTTATGTGTATGAGTCATGTATTTCAAATGCTTGTTACAGAAAGTATTTGTAAGTAATATTGTTTTTTTTTCCACAGGAAAGCAGCAGAACACCGTCCTGACAGTGGGGTACAAACAGAGTTTGTTGGGATCCCTTTCCAGAATGGCTCCCTGGTCTCAGAAATAAGGTCAGTTTGGCTATTTGTAAAGCACATAACATCTCAGTACCTCAGTAACTGTTACAGTCATAACTAGAAAGGCCAATATTTGCTTTGGAGCAAATATAGCGATGGGTTCACCACATTTTACCACATGGCAGGGAAAGAATGAGAAACACAAGGGAAAACAATGCTTTACATTGATATAACTATAGTATGAAGTAACATACAACTAAGACTACAACAGTTGGATAGCTATTCCCTACATTATTGGTTAGGATTGCATAATGCAAACTGTTGATTTTCAAGATAAAAAGAAGCGTTCATAGCCCGCATTCCAATGCTGGAGCAGGAAAGCTTAAAATACCTACCAAAACACTTGAATACAGACATACTGTCAGTATGGCATGGCTCTGTGCAGGTGTAAATGAAGTTAAGCCAGTTAAATCCCAACAGCCAATCAGCAAGGAGAATAGAGGAAAGTATACTATTCACACTGCGTAATCACTGGATCATCCTTAATGAGTTATGGAGCAGTGCCGGAGTCGCGCGATGAAAACAAGTCCCTTCATATCCACTTATTATTATCAGGGTGGGGTGTGGGGGGAATCAAAAGTGCCTGCTGTGTTCAAGCTGGCTTCGACCTTCCTCCCGCTCACTGCTTCAGGGACCTGTCTCCACCGCACTCCCCGGAGGGCGGATGTTTCCAGTAAATGCACAGAGTGAATGGGCTATCAGCCCCTTATATGGGGTGTGATGACGTCATTGGCGGATTGATCCAATAATTAAGCAGTGAAGAAAAGTATACTATTCACACTGCGTAATCACTGGATCATCCTTAATGAGTTATGGAGCAGTGCCGGAGTCGCGCGATGAAAACAAGTCCCTTCATATCCACTTATTATTATCAGGGTGGGGTGTGGGGGGGAATCAAAAGTGCCTGCTGTGTTCAAGCTGGCTTCGACCTTCCTCCCGCTCACTGCTTCAGGGACCTGTCTCCACCGCACTCCCCGGAGGGCGGATGTTTCCAGTAAATGCACAGAGTGAATGGGCTATCAGCCCCTTATATGGGGTGTGATGACGTCATTGGCGGATTGATCCAATAATTAAGCAGTGAGAAAAGTATACTATTCACACTGCGTAATCACTGGATCATCCTTAATGAGTTATGGAGCAGTGCCTACGTCGCTCCTCTCTTCCGTCTATCCCATCTCATATCCACCTTTCCCTGTCACCTCTTTACTCAAAACCCCATACTCATTCCCACACTAATATCTCCTCTATACCACAAGGCGTATTCTCCTTTAAACAGACCGTCTCAAATATCCTATGTCAGACATGAGGCGATATATCCCATTGTACTGTTCATCTTTCTTTCGACCGGATGGACTGAGGCCAACCTCTTTCTTCAGGATCTTAAAATTCCCAAATGTTGTGCGCTGTCTGACAAAGATTCATTTGCTATGGGTTGGTTCCCATAATACTACTTCGCATGCCATCGGCCCGGCCTGAGTGTTCCTCGTAGTATCCATCGATCCCAGTACTTCTTATCCTTATCTTATCCGACCGCCCGTGGAGTCTCTATAAGAACCTGAGTTCCTCCCATGATTCTCCCGCACCACGTTCAGCGCTCTCCTTAACATTCGAGTACCTAAGCACTTTCGTGTGCTAATCTCGTGACCATACATCAGTACATACCCAACCATAGCTGTGAAAAATCTTCCCTTGAGTGTTGGAGTCGTATACCCTTGCCATTCTACGCAAAACTTTCCAGATATGCGTCCGTTCACAATGATATCTCGAGCTGCTGAAACCATTCACTTTCCTTCTTTAACTTACCCCAAACTGTGCACCCTCTAGAACAACTACCTCGTTGTCTTCCAAATCGGAAGGTATTGGTTTATCTTTACTGTGCGCTGCAGGTCAATCCTCTAACGCAGATGGAAGAGTAATACGAGTCCTTTCTGATGTGTCAGGAACCGGCTCTAGGCCACCCGCATAGTCTACCCCCACTCTTGTTGTTAACTCTCTTTGGAGCAATCCCAACTGCTCCCCTTTCCCGTTGATGATAATTTCAACACGATAACAGGAAGGTATCATCGTATCGCTCTGCGGCACACTTGCCGATATTTATGGGTTCGCCACACCACGAAGTGGTGTGGTGAAACCATATTGTCTTTGCTGATGATTCTCCTCCTTCTCCTCCTGCCATATCTTTAAATGGATTCAGCTTCTTCATTTTAGGGCCTAAGGTCCTGAAATTTGGTATGGAGGTACAATGGGCAAATACCCCTAGGCGTTTTTTAAATTATTGTGATACAGGCTTTTAGAATGGTTTTATTTGAGTTTTTTGGCTGTGTAATAGCTAATGTATTACTGTGTAAGTGTGCAGTGTTTACCACATTTGGACATGAGTCATCACAATGGCATGCAAGGCATCAACCAATAGGCATGCAGCTTTCCTCTATTCTCCTTGCTGATTGGCTGTTGGGATTTAACTGGCTTAACTTCATTTACACCTGCACAGAGCCATGCCATACTGACAGTATGTCTGTATTCAAGTGTTTTGGTAGGTATTTTAAGCTTTCCTGCTCCAGCATTGGAATGCGGGCTATGAACGCTTCTTTTTATCTTGAAAATCAACAGTTTGCATTATGCAATCCTAACCAATAATGTAGGGAATAGCTATCCAACTGTTGTAGTCTTAGTTGTATGTTACTTCATACTATAGTTATATCAATGTAAAGCATTGTTTTCCCTTGTGTTTCTCATTCTTTCCCTGCCATGTGGTAAAATGTGGTGAACCCATCGCTATATTTGCTCCAAAGCAAATATTGGCCTTTCTAGTTGAAATGACTTTTCCTGGGCCCTGACCCTGGTCTATGCCCACAAGGTGCTACGTATACCCTTGACGACACCTGCATATATACCTTCACCGCCTACCCCACATAGAAACCAAACTGCGGGTTTCCCTGACTACAATACTGGTTTGCTTTCGCAAGTAGTGTCGGGTTACAATCCTTACAAACCACCCTAACTTAATCATTCTTCTGCCCTCTGTTTCGGCCGCATGACTCGGAGAGATAGCACACCCCTTGAACATTTATTTCTTTCTTTAAGCTTCAGTTTCCACCGGAACTTCAGGAAAGCGTTACCCATTGCAAAGGGGTTGCCTGGGACCTTTGTCCCTCCCGTAACACATAGTTGGCCACCGAAACCTCCTCAAGATTGCTCGGGAATTGCTCCGTGAGGGAGACATGACCACTTAAAATCTTTCTCGTACAAGCCTTTCGTCCAACCTATTTTCCTAACCTAAAGTATCTATACCTCCCCATTCTTAATCTGCCCCACGTTCTTGATTCAAGCTTGGAGCTCTTGATCGCAATTTGAGTGCAACAGTCGCTTTTCCCTGCCTAAACCTGTGATTATCACCCCGAAAAGAAGACTACTTCGATTGAGTCCTTTCTGATCCTCTGCCCATGTACATATGTACACCTCTCTCGCCGATCTTTCCTTTGTCACGTGGAACTTGTACGAGTGATCACCGAGGCCAGGATTTCCGGTCTCACGGTACCAGACCCAAAGATTACCTTCTGAAAAGATTTTGCTTCAACCTCGTCCTTGTCCACACATCCTTTCACACGATGAATGACTCGTTCTTCAGCTGTTTGAGATGTTCTCACTTTATACTAGATTCGAGCGCCACCATTTTCTTCTCTACACTCCCTGGGTCTCGAATGCATGTTTTAACCTACTGACAGTAAACAAAAGTGACTGCGGGTCGTTCATTTCCACTTGAGCGCTTAATGACTCCTTGTTAGCTTTGGAACAATCCTCCAAGTCAATGATTGGCGACTTCTTCTTTGCTCTATTACCGTAGAGTCGCCGTTTGACCAATAGCCTTGTTACATTCCCCATGACCTCTGACACGGCTCGGCTTCCTTTAATAACGCCCTGTCCCGATCTGATAATTCTCTATCCGGTCGCCAGGAATATCACCAGTAAAATTCACTGAGAACTAGTTCACTGGGGACTTCAACCTTCCCAATCCGTCACAGTTTACAGATGTAGCATCGTTGCATACTCCCTTATCCAAACGTAGTTCCCGTACCTTGTTACCATGTATTATCCAAGACACTCGGTGCACTTTGTTCTCGAAATCAGCGGCTGCATGGGAAACCCACTGCACCAATTTATTCTGACACCTTTATTAAACCACCCTTTGGTCGTGCCATTTCCACCCTAAAACAATCCCCTCACTAATTCCCGTTAAAATACGGTGTGGGAGACGGGCGCATCTGAGAATGGCGTTGCTGGTCACTTAACTTGCCTCTCTATGAGTGCTTGGACTAGCATGTGTCAACCACTCCCTTGAGGAAATTCAGCAAAATTACACCTGCACCACTTAACTTCTATAAAGCTTGCCGTGTGCACGTGCCTTCATACTCGGTCACCCTTCGGTGTGTGCTCGCACTAACAGGTGCTAACGAAATTTCAATCATCTAGAGCTCGCTCGAACTACTACATAGTGGACATCGTCTAAGTGACTCTAACCAACATCGACCCGCCTTAAGATCTGCATGAAGTTCATATCCTGCGTGTTACCCCTCAAGTGGCCACATCTCCTACTACTTACACTGACGTGCACTATCCTGGGTTCTGAACCTCTCGTCAAGTGTGTTACCAATCTGTGTCCCCAGTCTATGTTCGTGCTGAACGTGTTAAAGAACACCAACTGGTCATGAGACAATGATGACCATTACGCACACAAACGTAATCTTTGTAATGGTCGAGAGATGCGTTGACGCTCATCTGTCCCCCAGTAAGCCTGTATGTTACACTGCCTCCACGTTACCCAACTACGCACACTGGCGAACACAACATGCCTGACACGTATTCTTTCAGGCTCGCCGTATGAACATCCCCGTTAACACGAGGTGCGGGTCACTTCACCTAACACTAAGATGAACACAACCTGTCCGACATAAAACACGCAGCGCTCGTCATGTACGCTACCGGCGAAAACGTGCGCAACGATGACACTTACACCACTCGTCATAAGCGTTGCCGCTCACCAACCCTAAATAAACAAGTGTCCACCCGAAACGTGCGAAAGACCGGTACCACTTCATCAATAACCTCGAGGACCACAACATGTCCAATGTCACACCATACCTATCATCTTGCGTGCTACTGTTCTGCCAGCCAGTGTTCTCCGACCACTACACTGCGCACATCATGTACGAGGTGGGACCTTCACTGCTCTTTGTGTGTTACCGCTCATCGACCGCTTATCCAGCGTTTGCATAACCACTGCCAAGGATCCTAACCCGGGGACAACGATGCACCCAGCGTGCCAAACGTATAGGTCCCACCGCTCGTCGTGTTGACGCTTGTCGTATCCACCACCCGTGTGTGTACACCCAAGCAACGTGCCAAAGCCCACTCGTGTAGGCACAACGCCGGATATCCCATGCACGACGTAAGTCTATGTGTGTTATCACTTGACTGTTCGCCCACGAGTGTACATCCAACACCGTGCCAGAGACCACTCAGACAGGGACAGTGATAAAACCGCGAGCACGACGTAAAGACTACAACGTAACGCTCGTCATGCGTGTTACTACTTGACCGTCCCTTCATGAAAATACGCACCAAGCCGCGCCAAAGACCACTCAAACAGGGACAGTGACACGCCACATGCACGACGTAAAGACCACAACGTAACGCTCGTCAAGCGTGTTATCACTTTACTGTCCATTCGTGAATGTACGCACCAATCCGTGTCAGAGACCCCTCAAACAGGGACAGTGACAAACACCACATATACGACTTAAAAGTCACACAGCTTGCCATGTGTGTTACCGCTCGACCATCCTCACCCGAGTGAACGCCCAAACCGGGCCAAAGAACACTCAAGCAGGGACGGTGACGAACACAACATGCACGACGAAAAGATCACACCGCTCGCCATGTGTGTTACCACTCGACTGCCCCTACCCGAGTGTACCAAAGAACACTCAAGTAGGGACAGTGACGAACACAACATGCACGACGAAATATCACACCGCTCGCCATGTGTGTTACCGCTCGACTGCCCCTACCCGAGTGTGCCAAAGAACACTCAAGCAGGGACAGTGACGAACACAACATGCACGACGAAAGATCACACCGCCCGCCATGTGTGTTTAACCGCTCGACTGCTCCCACCAAGTAGTACCAAAGAACACCCCAGTGAGAACAGTGACTAACACACCATGACGACGAAAAGATCACACCGCCCGCCATGTGTGTTTAACCGCTCGACTGCTCCCACCGAAGTGTACCAAAGAACACCCCAGTGAGAACAGTGACGAACACACCATGACGACGAAAAGATCACACCGCCCGTGATGTGTGTTTAACCGCTCGACTGCCACTACCCGAGTGTGCCAAAGAACACTCAAGCAGGGACAGTGACGAACACAACATGCACGACGTAAATGCTGAAGTGCTGGTCGTCCTGCCAAAGGTGTCCGCGAAGACGAAATGCCGGCACAGCGCTCTGTCGGGGATACTGAAAAATACGAAACAAACATAAAACTCCCGGCTGCCTTCCGCTCTGCCGATGTCGCGGAGCCGGTTGGCTGCTAGTGCTGTAGAGCCGGTTGCTGTGCGCTCTGCAGATGTTGTAGAGCTAGGTGCCGTATGTCCTGCTGATGTTGTTGCGGTAGAGGAGCTCGCTGTAGAGGCGGGAACTGCGTCGTTGTTAGTTGCGGTCCATGTCGTCGTTGTCCACTTCCGCATGTCCTCGGTGGGTAGTTTTATAGTCACTATCACTGAATAGGCACAGAACAAAACAAAACTTCAGACCTGAAGCGTACCGCAAATTACTTAAAATACCCGCCCGAGGGAGCTCACACCAAACAACTAAACCACCCTACGAAAACAACAAAATTACACGGATTCCTTAGACCATTCAAATGCAAATGCCCACGTGTGAAACCCCACATGGAAAAAACCCGCCAAGATCCTGCGGATACCACTTAAAACTGCTGCTGTAAATTTATCACTGGCGGCGGCGGAACCTGCTGCTGCGGTTGTCGCACACTGCTGAGTACGGGGCTGGAGGACGGATACCCTGCTGTTGAGGAGCCGCTGGTCTCACTCCCTGCTGTTCGGCATCCTGCATTCCCGCGGTAGGTAGTCTTGGTGCTCGTGGCGTCATATCTACATGTGCAAAGAATGCCAATTCATAAAAGACGCCAATCCCACTGCAAAACTTACACTACCCACCCGAGGGAGTCCCCACCATAGCGGGAAGAGATGCCCCGTACAGCCAAAGGACCAAGCGGCGAACCAGCAAGGCCTGAGACTCCACTCAGGTACCCAATCCCTGCTAAAACAATCACCACCCCAAAACCAGCAGACAAAAGAAAAATGCCTCCACCATTCAAATGCAAATGACCCAGGTGTGGAGGACCACGTGTAACGCCTGCTCACGGAAAATTCCAACACGAAAGCTCACGCACCCAACAAACCCTCAAAAATCTACCCCCAAAACCTCTACTAAGCTTGAGGTGCGAAAAAGAAAACAAAAAACAACACACTGACAGCCAAAACTAAACTCTCCCTCTAAGAAAAACCGAACTCACTCTAGAAGGCACGCCTGCCCTACCTGCTAACCGTGGCGCCACAAAAAACACGCCGAAAATTCTGGACTCTCACTACCGTCTACACTAGCCAAACCTTGACCAAACTGGTCAGCGAGAATCCTTGCAGTTCTCCCCCAGGCACTCCGGTCTCCGCTCCGTGCTTCCTTCCTTGTCGAAACGCTGTCGTGCTGGTCGGACGGTAGACCTCCACGACGCTGCAACTCCGACCGGTCCGGGGGGATGTTTTCAGTAAATGCACAGAGTGAATGGGCTATCAGCCCCTTATATGGGGTGTGATGACGTCATTGGCGGATTGATCCAATAATTAAGCAGTGAGAAAAGCTGCATGCCTATTGGTTGATGCCTTGCATGCCATTGTGATGACTCATGTCCAAATGTGGTAAACACTGCACACTTACACAGTAATACATTAGCTATTACACAGCCAAAAAACTCAAATAAAACCATTCTAAAAGCCTGTATCACAATAATTTAAAAAACGCCTAGGGGTATTTGCCCACTGTACCTCCATACCAAATTTCAGGACCTTAGGCCCTAAAATGAAGAAGCTGAATCCATTTAAAGATATGGCAGGAGGAGAAGGAGGAGGAGAAGGAGAAGAAGAAGAAACATCAGAAAAAGCAATATGGTTTCACCACACCACTTCGTGGTGTGGTGAACCCATAAAAAGTACTTTCAATTGATATTCTGTCACAAAATGTATGTGTTAGAGCTGGTCAACAGGCTCTCAATATATGTAGTATTCAAATTAGGATAGCAGATACTGTTATGTCATCAAAAAGCATAATTCCTGCAATAGAAGTTAAGGAGTCTGTATTTCATTTCTGTTGTGAATATTGTTAAGGAATCTGTATGTTATCTGTGTTAGTAAATGTGAATAATGTAAGTTTGTTGTCCCTTCCCATAGCGCGATGCGTCTGGCGTACCTACAGAGCGGTGGTAACGACCCGGCCGTCCTGGCACAGATGCATGACATGCAGGTGGAGGCACAGCAGCTAGAGGACCAGAACAAACGCAGGGACAAGAAGAAAAGCAAAAAAGGTACAAAACTAATACAAACTGCTGCATGTTTTTTCTTATATTTCCATATAACATTCACCATTTCTGTGATGTTGAATGGACAAGAAGCTAGGCCAACAAACATGGTATATTGGTTCAATTTATGGCACTCCTGACCAGACATTGTGACCTTGGGAAAGGCACTTTAAATGACTTTCCTCCCTCCACCTACTGGTAGGTTTAAAATGGGAAGCTAGGTACAAGGCAGTGGAAGGAAAGGGATGTGCTCCTCCTTCCAATGATAATGTTTTTTGTTTAGGGACAGCAAATTTTCTCATGTTTTTCTCATGTGGGTATTGAACTTTCTAGTTTTGTATTCTTTCTCCCAAGACAGAGCCTAAGGACATGGGCAGCCAGGTTTTGTATAGAACTGGAGAACCAGACTTTAGATGTTGGAATTGTTGGTAGGGCTGGGACTAATATGGGTGATGCAGAATAATACCTTGTTTTATGCTCTCTCTCCAATGACAGAACCTAAGGACATGGGGAGCCAGGTTCTGGCTATCGAGCTGGAGAACCAGCGCCTCCAGCGGGAGTTACAGGAACTGCACGAGCACCAGCGCAGGAAGCACCGCAGGAGAGCCAGCGACTCTGGTGGATATACATCGATATTTCTTACTGTCTCTTACCATATGTTTAGTCTCGGGCTTCCATGCATGTGTAGTGTATATACATTTTAAAAGGAATTATTTCAAGTTTATGTGTGAAACAGTGACTTGGGTGAATATACAATGTGCAATTTCCAATATTTCTGACTTGACTCTTAGTCTAACAATATGCATAAGCTCAGGCTTCCATTCATGTAGATACTTCTTAAAAGGGATCATGTCGAGTTTATTTGTGAAACAGTGTACTGTGACTCAATGCTGATACTACAATGGATGCCCTCAATGTACTTGACACTGTCCTTGGTGCTGAAATTGAGAGGAATTAGACATTCTTCTCTGCAAAGTACCCACAAAGAAGTAAAAGTTACACACCAATTTCTTTAGATGATGATGGAGAGATTCGGCAGCTGCAGAGGGACCACATGCGCAAGATGCTTCACCTGCAGCACGAGATGGAGCTGCTCAAACAGGAGGCCATGCTCAACAAGATGCGGCGCGAGCTGCGGACCCCCGGGCTTCTCCCCGCCCCCTCTCATCCCCCACCACCACAACTGCCACCACAACCTCACCCACAGCCTCCCCCTCCCCAGCCACAACCCCAACACCAGCCGCAACCTGCGCCAATAAGAAGGCCTCCGCCCAAGCCGGAGACGCCGGAGATCGAGAGGCATCGGTTCCAGCGAGACAGAGAAGGGAACACGATAGAGGCTCTGGATCCGCTCTTACCAGCTCCTTATGATCCTGGGTAAGGGAAAAACATGCATCAAGAATTCATATGTATTATATAGCTTAGAAGTAGATGTATTAAGGAATCCTACCCTTGTTACTTTTCCTATATATTGCAAATGCTTATGGCATTGGGATGTAAGGATGTAAAGAGCATGAACTGTACAGGAAAGTGTACTGGTAAACAAATAGGTTATGAACCCTTTGTGACATATGCATCTGTCCTCAGTGCTGAACACCATCCACAGTTTCCACACACAGGCAAGCATACCTGTCCTTGGTACTGAACACCATTCGTACATAGGAAATAGATACCAAACATAGTGCCTATAAAACAAAGGCACCTAATTTTGCAAACTGAGTGAACTGTAATTCATTTTTTTTTAAATTTATGCCTTTCAGAGCTGGGTTTGTGGTATTCTATGACTACCTGCTAGGCCTGGACCCAGACTACAAGTCCACCCGGCTGATAGTGGGTCTGTACAACAATGCTAATGAGATTGGAGACCCCACACCCCTGCCTGTAGTGTACACAGAGGGAGGCTACAACAGCTACTACCAGAACTATGCTGGCATGAACATAGCAGTCATCGGTGCCAAACAACCTGTGCCAAGGTAACACTAGGGATGTAGGGCTGTCAACTATCATTATACAGTCTCCTCTCTGAAAACTTTCTGACAGAACATTTAGCATCTTTTGTACATGAAATGATTTCTAAATAACTAAGCTTACTTAATGTTAACAACTCACATATTTTATAATTAGTGAAGATGTAATTGAAACAGTCCTGAAGTATTGACCCATTGAACCATTAGGCAATCTTTGTAGTCCTCATTTCTTCGTGACTTTGAATAGATAAAATCAATCGACTTTGATATTACAGTAACTATACTAACATTTCATGATAATCTTTATATTTCATTATTCACAATTCCATCAACATGTATCTTGCCTATTACTGAGAGACCCACAGGTGGCTAGGTTGTATGAAATGGTCTAATTTGAATTTTATCTGGGGAAAACATTGCACAAATCCCTTGAAAAGTGATGGCAAACTCCCTTCCAACACACATGCTTCCCTTCCAATCAATACAATTCTTAAGCTTTCATTAACAAATGTTCATCACCATCTTTTGGCATAGTCATACATATATGTCTGTCATACCACCTAACTCAGTGCCTAGAAGTGGACATTTGGCTTTGCATTGAGTAACACCATTAAAAAAAGTTCCGTTTTGAATTATATCCATCCCTTCACAATCCATTTGTGCTTGACCTGGTTGTCCAAACGTCAATTCTATCCTGACCCGACTATTCTAAGGATCCAGCCCTCCAAGAAAACCTTTTTTCAAGTACTTTATGTCCATTCACAGTCACATATGCATGGCCATCTTCCAAACGTCAATTCTAACCCAACCCGACCATTCCGTAGGATCCAGCCGTCCATGGATCTCTCCATAATAGTAGAGATGCAGGTACAGTCCGGCAGGGACGGGTACGACAGTAACCGCCTGCGCTCACGCGGCTGGAGCAAGATCGAACTGTTTGACCAGCAGAACCGCGTCCTGAGCGGCCGGTGGAAAATCCCGCTCAGGATGACGCCGGTCAAGCCTCATCTGACTGCTGTGGAGCTCAACAATGTTCCTCAGGTGCGACCATGGAAGTTTCTGAACTATTGGAAGTTTTGTTTTTGGTTGTAATGGTTTTGGTTTGTGTGTTTTGTTTTAAAACAAAGCCATTGATACTGATAGAACATGTTCAACTGAGACAACAGAAATTTCTGTGACATGTTCTCCATATGTCTGAGGTCGATGAACCTGTCAGACTGTACACTCACTATGAGACATCTTATGGCAGACGCAGACAAGGACAACAGCCTACTACTTACTATACAGCTCCTGGGTGTTTATAATAACCAACTGTAGGTAAAACAGGTCTCTTCCATTGCCCCTTGCTAGCAACAAGGGGCAATGGAAGAAACTTGCATGCCTACGTAGCAGAGCGCCAGAAATGATGATGTTTGGTTTGTTGAATCCTTCTGTCCTGTTCCAGTTGGGTCATGCAGAACTGTACTTCAGACTGGTGAACTGGAGAGACTCTGATGTCCAGTCACTCTCTAAAGTCAACCCTTCTGAAGCACGACACTACAAATTCCCACCTCAAGTAAGGAAAACAAATAAGAAAGTACTTGTACTTATTTCTTCTCTGTATTGTAGTCCAGTGTTTCAATAGTCAAGTAATACTTGAAGACTGATTAAACTTGAGAATAGACCAGGAAACATTGGAGTTTAGCAGTGTAACAGCTTTTGCTCAAATGTGATTGTAAGTTAGTAGTAGTAAGTTAAGCATGATTTCCTGTATCTTGAGATTCTTTTTACTAACTACATGTATGGAGAGAGAGACAGAGAGGGAGAGAGAGACAGTTTGATATATATACAGAGAGAGATAGTTAGATATAGAGGGATGGATACTATTAGATAGATAAATTGATAGATGTCAATAGATTATTACCTGCTACAATGCAAATATTACATACAAATAACACAATAGATTCACTCATTGTTTGTTGTTGTAACATGTGTTTTCGTTTGTTGTTATTACATGTATTTTTGTTGATTTCAGATGTCTGGTTACCCTGCCTACAACTCCCCCCGCCAAAACTATTCCTCTATCCCTACTCAGCCCATCGCCTATATCCCCCCTCCCCCTTCTGACGCTCCTCCCAGCACCGCAGGCACTATTAACGACAGGTGAGGTCAAAGTGCATGACCTTTCACCTGGCTGAAACCTACCTGAGTCACTAGAAGTCTTAGAGTTTAGATTACTGTAATTCTGCCCCTAAATTTCAAAAGTTCTTTTATCTGTACCATTCAATATAGATTCAGTTGGTTGATTTCTTTAACAGTGACAATAACTGTGTTTTAAAATGCACAATGTCATGGCAAACTGAAAGCAAGACCTGAGAAAAAAGATTTTTCATACAATGTTTCTACCAATATAGGCTCAGGTAGGTTTCAACCAGCTTTAAAGAATTAAGTCTAGGTTTAAAATTAGTGCTGACACAGTATGTATTTTTCTTTTACGCTTTAAACAATCATGAGAAATCATGTGCAGTCTTAATGAGATTATTGAATATATTTTTTGTAATGGCAATTTTTATGAAGCATTCAAACATAATTATTATATATTACATATGTAGGTATTAATTTGGTCTCAAATTAAAAAAGATCAATCAGCATATACTAGATTTTATTTCTTTTTAAATATTTTTACTGAGAAGCATGTAGAATTAATTAATTCATACTAAATCATAAATTATTTAATTGATAGATATTGCAGTGAAATCCAAATGGTTGCACTTAGTACCTTTAACCCATGTTCAAGATGCCTTTCTTTCTCAAGTTCTCACACTTTCTTCACTTCTACAAATCTTTCCACATCCTACCGTTTCTCTTCCCTAAACTTTTCCCCAATAACTTCACTTTAACCCCTCCTGGCGGGCTTGCAAAGAGTGTCGACAGAGAGAAAGGTAATCCACCCTACATAGGTGTGCTGTCCAACCAATCACCAATCCCAAATAATCGCACCACAAACTCTGATCACCCTACTGCTCAGTCTCACTGGTTCTGTGCACGTGTGGTCTTTGTGCTTGGCTATCTTTTCTTTCTCTCTGTTCTTTTTAATCTGATTCACGTGAACAATAATAATTGATTTTTGCTGATTGTGGATGATTTTTTTTGTTGGAGTGGTAGTTTGGTTTGTAGTTTAGTCCCACGCTTTTGCTGTTGTTTTGTTTAATTCAGTGTTGATGTCAGTCACTGCTTTTTTTTAAATTTTGCATTTTGGCTAGAAATAAATGCTGGAATCACTATTTTCTTAAACCTTCATCAAATTGATTTAGGATGTGTTTGGGAGCCAAAATCAAGTCTGATAAAAGATTCAAATTAATTATCACACAAATATTGATTAAAAATCAAGTTGCAGATTGTCATTGAGATACTTCATATGTTATGTTTTCAGTTGTGAGAGAACTGTTTTACTAAAGAAAGGTCATTTTTTATTTTCATTCCCCAAAAGGTCCAGTAGAAGATCTAGAAGAACTCCTATCAGTTACCAACCTGAGGTGGAGGACAGTGTGTCAGTGGGCTTCCAGGTAGGTTTTTCTGTTCACATTTGTTTTCTAAGGATTGGGCAGAAAGCAAAATGCTTTGGAAAAACGTTGTGTATAGACCCTGTCCCTGGTGCTGAATTGGTGGATGTTGGTATATCTTGCTTTCAATTTAGTTGGAAAATGATCCGTCCATTACTACATGAAGAATATTGCATGAATGTATTTGTATAACCTAATGTTATGGAATGACTATAATTTTCATATCTTTCCTTTCTGTTAAAGGTTGACAGAGTGAAAGATGCCCTAGATGGAGAGGGGAAAGTGCGCCTGACTGTGTACAACCAATGGACGGGGAATGTAAGTTTGCCAACTATTGAATCTTATATGATTTTATACAAGGCCATATTTCACTACATTTCCTTATGCAAGAATGGACAGTGGCAACCCAATGTAATATAGACCAGTCCAAAAATCTGAGAACCAACAAATTGAATTGGTGTGAATCTGTTTCCTTATTCCCCAGATTGCCCAGTCTTCCACAGCTCCCATGACCTGTACCACCTCGCCAGTCAAGTCCAACTTCAAGCATGGAGTCCACGTCTTTGGGTGGCAAGAGGTGAGGACACAGATCACAAAAACATTCAGCACTGTAGGATGGCCATATTTCTTTAGGTTTTATAAATCACAGGTGTTTGTAGAAGCTATGGGAGAGAGAGAGAGTGAGTGAGTGAGTGAGTGTGTCGACTCTATTGATCCATTCAAATAAAAAACACCACTTCCCACTCCTGCTGAGTGACAAAGCTGATTTAAGTCAACGTAATGAAAACAATACTTCTTGAGTAGTATTTCATGTTCTGAGTCAACTCTGCTGACTAGACATGAAAACATGTGACTTTTATATTATACCCTTATATATATTATGACCCAATAAATGTCCCCTCCATCCTCCCAGGCACTGTTCCATGACGTGTACCTGAACGCAGACATGATCGTTATTGTCCGGTTCTACCTGCGCCAGCTGATCCGGGACGACGCGCCAGATGACATCAGCCAGGGGGGGAGTATCCTGGACGAGGAGAAACTAGTTGCCTGGAGCTCCATGACACTTACTACAGGAAGTAAGTTTCTTTTTCTCTTCATATATGATCTTTTCTTCATATATCTAGGCTGCTATAGAGTTACATGTTAACGCAAGTGGTGTCAAATGGCCAAGTGGTAAGACTAGTGGACTTGAGACCGAGAGGTCATTGGTTTGATTTCTGGCATTTCTGGCTAGACATTGTGTCCTTTCATCACTTGACTTAGGTGTAAAATGAGTACCTGTCTTTGGTTGGGGAGGTAAAAGGCAGTGGGAGGACAGGGATGGACTCTGCATTCTAATACAGTACCCTAGACACAGTGGATAAACTACTCACTGCCCTAGCTCATTTGACACCACCACAATTAAAAGGAATCTGTGGCATATAGATAGCATTACATCCTTTCATTTGCATATTTCATTTCTGTAGTTCAATTCCACAGTTTATTTCCACAGTTTCACTTCCATAGTGTATTTCTATAGTTCATGTTTTTCTTTACTTTTCACCTACAATACCAACCACACTGTTAAAAGTCCAGTGCTTGTGTTGTTGCAGGAAATGCTGGACGGCTGAGACTGAGAACAGGGAACCACAAACTGCCCCTGTACTACCCTCCTGTACCTGAGGCTAAGGACATTCCTCTGTCAGTAAGTTTGTTTCTTTAATTGCTTGAGCCTTCCTTCAAAAACACTCAAAATGGCCTGCTGGATGCTTTTCATTGTGGTCATGAGGGAAGAGGCCAGGCCATTTTTTTCAGAATGAAACTCAAAATAATCATGAAATATCATCAAAATAATTGCAATTATTCTTAATCACAGCCAACAGGTTCTGTCCCTGGTGCTGAAAGTTGTGAGATAGGCATGATATGCTTTTTATTGCAGTACAAAACTTGTGTGAGAATGCTGAAATTTGTGGATAGATGATAAAATTACTTTGGGATTTAGTGTTAGCCTATAGCAGATGTGCATTAGCCACTAGTGCAAAAGATCAATTTCATTAGTTGAAATCGTGAGAATTATTACACTTATTTCCCCAGTCCAGAGAGAACCCGCGGGAGTGGCAGAGATTTGGGAGGTCCACGGTTCGGTTCCACGTGTTCCAGGGTGAGCCGCCTCGCTCCAACACTCCCTCCACCATCGCTGGAGACCTGGAGGATGACATTCCAGACGTAAGTTGTTGTACTACTTAAGTCCACACTTATAAACAGAATCTGATGTATTAGTAACATAAGATGGTATAGCAAGTTTAGATAAGCAAGGAATTCCTTACTGGACCAGGTGTAATTTCTATTCACCAAAAGAATTTTATAAGATACAGTGTGGAAGTATTGTTTTGGGTAGCACTTGTTTGGGGTTTCTATGTTTGGATTCCTGAGTGGCCACGGTTGGTAACTAGAGAGTAGGAGGTAATCATGACAGTTGATTTATAGATACGACCCAGAAGTCTGAATTACCCCCCTTTTCTATGCCACCATTTGACTAATTCCTGTATCCCTTCCCCCTGTTCCAGGGAGCGTGGATAGCCCATGAGAGAAGTTCCCCTCCTGTGGATGTGTTTGGGTCAGGTGACGGGTTTGACCTGTACATAGACGGAGCAAGGTTCCTGCCAGATGCTGTCACCATCTCCAGAGTAGCAGGCAGGATGTTCGACAGGCAGTTTAACCAGTATGTACCTCTACATCACATCATTATTAATATCATATCATATGTACCATATGTACCAGGGCACTCCAGCCATCACTTAACAGAGACGGTGGACAATATAAAATCCCTGGCACGTTTGATCAATTTGATCAATGTACCAGGACAGTACAATTCACATTTAGAGTGGTCTCAGTCTGTAATCTGTAGTTAAGAAATCCCATTGAAATGCTTGCTATTATTGACAACTGTTTGATCTAGATCTTGGCTATAATGAGTCTGAGTAAGCTTGAAAGTGCAGCTATACAGTCCAACACCTTTTTTCAAGTGCTAATGCTACCACAGAAAAATAAGTTATTTGACGTCATGGATTTGCAGTTAGAGTACAAAAAAAAATGAATGTTATAAAGTTAACATATTTTCCACATTGTTTCTCCAGGATTGGACCAGACATCAACACTAGTGTAGACCTGGACAGCAACATATTCGAGCCTTCCTACAACTTCAGGATGGAGTTCAGAGAAGCAGCTCTACCCCCATCATCAATACTGCTGCTTAAGGTCAGACTTTTTACTCAACTATTTCATTTTGTGGTATTGAATCAGGCTATAAGTTAGCATACACACGATCAAGATGTTGTGGTTTTGATGCATGGCAATCCTGGCTGGACGTTGTGTCCTTGGGAAAAGCACTGGGCGCAACTTTCCTCACTCCACCCAGATGTAAAATGGGTAGCAAACTTATTTGGATGGGAATGTAAAATGCGATGGAAGGAGAGGGATGGGCTCTGCCTTCCAATACCATGCCCTAGACATAGTGGATTAAAAACCCACTGCCCCATGACCCCAAAAAAGCTATCATTATTAATACTACTTTTACTTTGTAGTGCCCAATCTTTTTCCAACTCTCTATGAAACTGTAGTGTTACAGTAGTAACTACTAGTAATCAAAGCTAATTGTTTTTGTTTTTTTGACCTGAATGCAGGTATACGCTACAGACAGGTTCCGTAAACAGTTGACCGTTGTTGGCTGGGCGACACTGAATGTGTTTGTGGAGACAGGCACTCAGAGACAACCCATGGTGGACACCCCTGGACTACAGGTAGGACCCATGTTTACCCCACTTGTACCATGTTCTAGGCTATAATTCATTGGCACATTAAAGCATTTAGAATCAGTCTATAATGGCTACTTGATTGTGCTCACAGACCAGGTTTTCTTGGTCCCTTGAGTGGTCTTCTTATTAAGTTTTGAGTGAACTAAATGTCTTGTACTTTGTGCCCCCTGCCAGGTATCTCTGAATGAAGGAGCCCACCAGGTGAGGCTGTACAATGGAGGACCAAATGCTCTGGACCCTCTTACGGACAACACGCTCCGAGCATCTAAGAGGTACAGCATGCAAATATGACCTGCTTCTAGCTTACAATCTAAAGTCATTTCCTCATTTGATATAATTTCAGGCAAGTTTGGAAAATAGATCCTTTAACAAGCAATGCTTTAATTTTGTGCTTACAGAATATTTATGTCATACATACTGCAGCACCCATCAAGCAAAGCTACAAAGAACATGGTTGTTGACATTGTCATCATTTTTTTTTACCCACAGACACATCCCCTGTGCCAGTCTGTTGCTGAGGTTAGTCAAGGCTCCTAAAGATCAGCATGGGAGGCCACTAGAGGTGGGTGATTCTTGCTGAGACTAGATAACTTTTTGCAGTAGTCTCACAAAAAAGTTGAAGACCTTAACTTAAGAATTCATCTCTCTCTCTCATACTTTCTCCTCTCTTTTCAGTACCGATGCCTTTATTTACATGACATCCCTTCTCTTTGTTAGAAAAAGTACATTTCCATTTTGCCTTACTGTTGCTGTTTGTTTGGAAATTGCCTAAAAAAATCAATAAACATTAACACAGAACAATTACCTGTACCTTTCCCAGGCTGAGAGAGTTCCCCAGGTAGACTGGCCCAGACTGGGTCTGACAGTGCCTAAGCCTGCCTACAGTGAGGGAGTGTACTACTCCACCAAGTGTACACCTACCAGGGGAGAGAGTCAACTCTTCCATGCCATGGGAGACAGGTAAAATCATTCTTCTTCCTCCGAAACATTTTCATATCATACTGTGAATGCATTTACTTTTGCTGTATTTTTCTGTATTTGTGGAATGAGAGACAAGGAAGTTTGGTCTTCTTCAATAGACTGACCCACCAGAGACACATGTCATGTGGCTTGTGTGATGTCAACACTGGGTCAAAGGTATCAGATCATTGTTTCAGTTAGTCAGCCTATTGAAGGTCAGACCAGAGTTACTGGTTAAAAGCTCTTGGTGAGAACAATCTCTTGTGTTGGAACAAAAGTTTTCACTTTAAGCAATTATTATGATTGCCACCTACAGGAACGTGGTGCTGATAAGAGACTCCCTGTCAGTCATCTCAGATGGACAGGAGCAGAGACTGAAAACTGACAAGGCTACAGAACAATGGATCAGGGTAAGCATCATAGTTTCCAAATACAAAAATGTTAAAAGTCAAATAAACCATTATAGGTCCAATTATGAATACCTCCTAACAATAACATGGTCACGTGTGTCAGTCATCAGGACTAGCAAAAAACATCATGCAAGGAACAGTACAGGGAGGAAGAAAGAGGGATGGCATTGGAAAAGATTGGAGGATGATATCAGAGAATGGACAGTCACAACATGTTCAGAACAGAAAACTGAGAAAACTAGTTGTCATATCTTCTGTGGTGCCCTAATGGTCAGATGATTAGACTAAGGGATAGATGTAGATGAGAGAATAACATGCATAACAGGTTTTGTTAGCAAAGAATGAACAAACATGCACAAACTTAGTATCCAGTTTGACCTCTGTCCGCAGACCCAGCTGACCCGACTGCTGGACACCCAGCCACCAGAGTTAGACCTGACACACATCTCCAGGTACCAGCCTATCCATGGACTCAAGGTGGGAAATGCTGTTTTTATGATCATAACAGTGTTGTTTATTAGAAAAAAAACTGTGTTGTTGGTAGATTGTTGACACAGAGGTAAAATTTTGTGTTTGCATTATGTACAGTCTAATATAGCTGAAGTACAGTCTTATAGTTGGTATTGTTCTTATAACAGGTGGCCATAGATGGAGCCATGAACCTGCCCTGGTCAAAGTTCACCCATGTGCACTACTGCTTCAACCCACCCGGGGCCTTCTACTATGTAAGTACACATGTTTCAATCTTCAGTTGCTTTACAGTTGATTAGAATCACCTTTGCAGAAGGAAAACATATTTTATTTTTCCTCAGTTTCTTCTTCTTACTCTTCTTCTTTCCTTCTAAACAAGTAAGGTCAATGATGGAATGTTTTTGAGTGAGAATAAACAGAGCAGTTACTGTAGTTTATTAGTCTGGATCATGTGAAGATAAACCTTATGCAGTTGCTTTGCAAATGTTACCTAGTTGATGTGTATTTTTTGTAAAACACTTTCAGTGCTTATTTAGTCATGCATAATCACAACAGCTACTGTGTTAATTATTTTCCAGGGTAACCCAACAGCAGCGTACGACAAGCTGACCTTCACTGAAAACCTGGACCTGAACAGCAACCAGAAGGCACCAGTATGGAAGGATGGCTTCACGGTGAGACAATACCCAACTGAGGGGAATATATAGGTTTATCAATGTCATAAGAGGGTCTGCATGGGGGGATCCTTAACAGCAATGTTTAATGGTAAATTTAGGAAGGCTATTAAAGCTGAACAGTAAATGAAGTTGTTCCTGTGTAATTATATATTAAGGATTTTGGTTGATGGTGAGTGAACATTAATGCCTCACAGAAAATAAATGCAGGATGCAGACCCTCTTATAATCATCAGTTTTTCCAACTACCAATGCCAACATTGAGAGAATCTTCCTAAATCGTGTTTTTTTTCCAGTGGTTTCCACGGAGGTCCTTGCACAGATACTTGGTGCTGATTGTACATCTACAAGAAGTGGCAGTCACCGTTGCCAGGGACAACTACAAATACGGGCTGCTGGAACAGGTAATGCTTATTGGTCTTCACCAAATCTTTATTGGCAGAATAAAAGACCTCAGAAACATGTGTTTGTCAACTCATTTAGCGTGTTTACATTTCTGCAGACTATGAATGATAAAAAAGTACGTATTTCAAGCTAACCGTAAGTCTGTACGCCCACAGGCATGGACAGCAATGCAGATCTTCAAAGATGGCTATGCAGTCACCAGTGCATACCAGCTGCCACTGTACCAGGGGGCACCCACTCAGGTTTCACTACTCTTCTGCAACTTGTTTTTACTCCAGGAAGTATTTTTTTTTAGCCTGAGTGTCAGCCCTTTTAGCTGTCATGGAGGCAAATGAGAGCTAAAAATGCTGACACTCAGGCTATTGTTGAAAAAGGAAACTTCAGCTGAGGTTTTTTTCTCAGCCTTTTATTTCAGCTACATGCATTTACTGGTTGTGTTTCATTCATTTGAACCTTAACATGTGATATTATGCACTAATTCTTGTAACATTGCAATGATGTTTTGCCTCTTACAGTCATATAGTCTCTGAAAACCTTATCAGAGTAACTGAACTGATTTAAGTGTTGTTGTTTTTTTCAGGCTATGCTGACAGCTTTGTCTCGACAACCGTGCAAGGAGATTATGGACGACCTGACGAAAACCAATTCTGTGAGTGACAGTACTTAGATGAAGTGATTAAAAATTAACCGATCATTTTCTTAGTACCTGTCCATGGTGCTGAGATTACTGTTGAATCTATTTTTCCTTTTTAAACAATTGTGCCAGACATTTGGTGTAGAAATCTTCATAATGCTTGACATTCACCCACTGCAAACTGTATGCCATGTAGTATAGATTTATGAAGTATAGGCATGATGCATGAATAAAGTTTCCAAGTTTCAAAGAGCGTGTTATTTACTGCATTTCCAGATTAAGCTGGCAGAGGGAGCTTCTGTGTTTGTACGCGTGGCAGATGCCAGAAGAGATGAGGAAATCAGCACCCCTATGGTACAGTACATTGTGTTATAACTAGATAAAAATGTATGTAGTCATGGAACTAGATTGAGTTGTCAGATCATTGTATCTCTGTATAGCCTGTATACAGATCTCTGTATAGCCTGTATGACCATCCTTCAGTGTAACACTCCAGATTTGCAGGCACGCAGCATAGCAGCAGCTAACTATATTACACCAAACAACTCAACTTTTTACACCCAACCTTTGCACAACTGTAGAAGTTGTTTAAAGCTTTCTAGTGATGATGCCCCAACTGTAATTTGGGGGCAGCGATTTCCACTCTACGATAGTTCTTGGAAAACACAAGTTTTTGAACACTTGAATTCTTGATTGATTTAACTCTCAGACTGATATTTGAAGGCATGAAGATATTTGAAGTGCTTTGTTCCTTTGGCAGCTCTAAAGAGTGATCTCTAATCCCCTCCCAGGTTGATGTGGACACCTCCCTGCTCCCCCAGGACCAGCTGGACAGGTACACCCAGGAGATCCCCTCCAAACCCCTCAGACAACAGGTACCACAGGGCAAGACTCCTGAACAGTTCCAAAACAGTCTGGCCAGCAAGTTCAAAAATGTAAGTTCAGCACTTTAAAGTAGATCACATACTCCGTGCAATCGCAATCTGTGTGCATACTTAGCTTGTGATAGTCATTTGCTTGTGAACTGTTCCATAACAGTCTTGGAAGCAGGTTCAGAAACGTAAGTTCTGAACTTTACGGAAGGACTGGTCACATACACTCTATGTACATGTATGCATACTTGGGATAGTCATGCATGTGAACACTTCCATTAACAGTCTAGCAAGCAAGTTCAAAAACGTATTACTAAGTTCAACACAGATAAGAGTAAAGAGACTCTTTTTACACAACCAAGATATTTATTCAGTCAATGTTTCTGTGACTGTCTGTCACCTTCTTCAGGGTAAATCTGACTGCATTGTAGATGCTGTTCCTTGTTACCATTGCTTGGTTTTTCTTTGAAAAAAATGCTATATATCACCAGTACTACCAAAAGTTCCCATTTCAGTTCTTCTAAAATGCCCACCCACTTTAAATGATTCACACAGACCTCTGCTTCATAAATGTTTTAATAATTCATTTCTCCATCTTCTACAGCTTGTGTACAAGTTGTACATCACAGACTGAAGTGCTGAGAGAGACAGCGAGATGAGAAAGGCATCTAAGATTCTTCACTGGGTTTCAAGACATCGGCTAAGAGCAGCTAGTACTGAGACAGAGAGTTAGGGCCTGATATCTCTATGTAGTAGTATGCACTACAGTAGGCACATACAGCAGGGTTTATATAGCACATACCTTTCAGTTCATGGGGGATCTAGCCAACAATGAAGACATGCATTATCCTATGTGATGTCTTTGTGAAAACACAATGTCATGCATGTTAGTTCTTTTGTAATGCAACCAGAGTAGTAGCAAGGAAATTGTTGCCTTTGATACAAAGTTCCTTTTACATTGTTTCTAGAAATGGTAATGCAAATCTTTAGCAATTCATCATTTTAGGGTTTATAGCAACTGCTTTGTCATTGATGTGAAGGCATGGGAAAAAAGGGAAGATCTTGATTTAGAATTATGATTACATGTATTACATTCATGACCAAAGATAAATTAAACTGCGGAATGTTTGATAATGCTTTATAAGATCTCTGATCCTGTTTGTATAAATCTGAACATTTTCCCTTCAATGTACTTTTTATATGTTGTGTGGCATGGTACTAAGTAGTAAACTGAAAGATGTTATCTGAAATCTAGCCTGTAAAAATCTTTTTCCTTTACTTTTAGTATTTGCACTTCCAAATGTTTTTCAGCTTTGACCTTCTACAGAATGTACAAAGAAAAATATAGTTAACAACATTGATGTTATGTATATTCTCAATAACTGTTACAATAAAAGTCTATTACACATTGTTCTGAGTTCTTTTGTATTTGTGATAGCCCTTTTTTTCATGTTATCTATGAATGAAATGTTATCTATGAATGGCTAATACGCAATCAAAAATATTTCAATTAAGATAGAAACTGTTTAGGACTGTGTAAAGGAGGTATGAGAGTTTCATTTTTTATAAATGGGGCGTTTTAGTCAGTATTTTGGATACATGGAAACTACAAATTGCAGACGAAAAAGCTCCATATTCAGTCGCTCGCAAAAGTCGTTCTAGGAATGGTTGTCTCCAAACGAAGAAATGCAGCACTAAAACGGTTCTTTTCTGATAAATTCGTGATACTTTGGTAGTCGGGGCGAGTTTCAGTGTCAAGAACAAGAGCAGGAAAGACCTGAAGTAAAACCCCCATAAGAGCCCATCGCGTTTCCCCACTCGCGAAATGGCCAAATCTGGGAATGAGCGAGGCTTCGTTAGCGAGATACGGACCTTTTCGAGACAGGGACTCGAAAACGGGGGTGTGATAGGGGATGAATATCCGTGTTTTCAATTTTAGAAAAATGAAACTTTTGACATTTTTTCGCCTCCCTCTTTTCAGAGTATACTCCTTACTGTCTCTATTGTATTCCTACTTATTACCTTCCGAACAAATTGCTTCATTCTCGAGTTATACGTCAAAACGTTTTTTTGCGATCAGCTGATCGCTTGCAGAACTGGTCACATCCTTTGCAGAAGCGAAATTTTCGGTGTCGATCTCATTACCATATGACAGAAAACCAAGCAGATGGTGGGAGGCAACGGCGTGACTTGCCTGGCATTGCCATAGTACTAGTATAGTGCACGTCTGACATCTGCTTGGTTTTTATTCACATGGTAATGTCTCCGACGGCGAAAACTCCGCTTCTGCAAAGAAAGTGACCAGTTCTGCAAGCGATCAGCTGATCGCAAAAACACGTTTTGACGTCTAACTCGAGAACGAAGAAAATTTGTTGGAAGGCAATAAGTAGGAATATAGTGAAGACTATCAGGAGTATAGTCTGAAAATAAGGCGGCGGAAAAATGTCAAAAGTTTCATTTTTCTAAAAATGAAAACTCGGATATTCATCCCCTATCACACCCCCGTTTCAGAGCACCCGTTCCGAAAAGGGCCGTATCTCGCTAAGGAAGCCTCGCTCATTCCCAGATTTGGCCATTTCGCGAGTGGGGAAACGCGATGGGCTCTTATGGGGGTTTTACTTCAGGTCTTTCCTGCCCTTGTTCTTGACATTGAAACTCGCCCAGACTATCTAAGTATCGCGAATTTATCAGGAAAGAACCGTTTTAGTCCTGCATATGTTCAGTTTGAGACAAACATTTCCAGAACGACTTTTACGAGCGGCTGAACAAGGGGCTTTTTCGTCAATATTTCTGTCATTATAGTTTTCACACATTAAAAAAAACTCCCGTCTTTTTTAAAAAGAAACTCCCATGCCTCAGTCACACAATTCTAAACTTAGTGATATTTTATTGCACTTAAAATTACCCATGATTAAGTCTTCATTGCTGGAAAAATCGTCACCGAGGATACAAATCTTATTTCAGAACCTTTTTTAACGGCTCCTCAAAGGAAAAATGCTCAAATCTTAAGCAAGGGACTCAATCGAAATGACTCACACAGACCTTCGTTTCACAAATGTTTAATTCATTAATATCCATTTTTGAGTCTTCTACAGCTTGTGTATAAGTTGTACATCATCAATTGATGTGTGGAGAAAGACAGTGAGATGAGAAAGGCATCTAAGATTCTTCACTGAGTCTCAAGGCATCGGCTAAGAGCAGCTACATTTTGTAGTACTGAGACAGAGAGTAGGGTCTGGTACCTAATATACTAAGTATAGTAACTGTAGGTGCAAAGAGTAGAATGCTTTCGTTTTGGGTGTCTTTCTCTGACCAACAGGGAGAGGGCAAAGTCTGCCATCTCTGATTGCTTTGTTTCAGCATACATGTAGGTACCAGACACCTTACCCTAAAGTCCTTTCTGTGCGATTCTTTAACATGATTCTCTACAAGACACATCATATAGTATCTCGTTTCTAGCATGCACCTAGGCAGCAGCTCATCTTAATATATCTGATAGTAGATTTAGTTACCAATGGCTAAATAACATGGTAATACTATTTTTATCATTATAATAGTTCTACTTAAACATTAGTGCTGTGTAGATTGCAAGTAACAAAGCTAGTCCAAACAGAATCTGTGCTTTTGTCTGTCACAGGTACACATATAGGTGCATAATGTGTAGATGCTTAAAGTAAAAGTTTCTCAACAAAAGCAATATACAATACCAAACAATCTTGTCAACAAAAACAATATACAGTACCAAATATACAATCTACCTTATACATAGTACTCAAGCACTGACAATCATTGAGAAAGAGCTACATACACTATGGTAGAATACCCCACTCTGTGTTGTTAATGTTTTCCTTTCATACATACCAGTAAGTCTGTGGTTTCTCCCAATATCTCTTGAAGCTACAGGCATCATTCATTCATTGAGTATTAACAAAAGAGAGTGGTAAATACAAATGTCTACAGAGTAAAGCTTTGACAACATTAATCCTCAAAGTACTGAAGCACAGTCTAGGTTATATATAGCTGCCACAAAACAAAACAAAACAAAACAAATCACATCTTTGTTACAAACAATGGTTTTCTAATTTGAGCTTAACTGTAAATATATACATTCCTGCACACAGTTTAAGTCACAGCTCAATGGCTAACAAGAGAAAAAAATAACTGAAACTGGAGTTAGTTTCAAACAGTTTTCAGAACAGTACCTACATGTAACTGCAACAGATACAAATTATCACTCAACAACGTCAACATGTATGTCTGATATACTTATAAACATTCAAAGTTAGAGATTACGGATAAGCAAATCTATATTGGTCCAGTACTATTATGTACAAGGAATGGAATAGTAAATCCCACATGATGCAAAAATCATTTCTAAATGTCTTGAAATGAATACTGAAGACATTAGTCATAACAAAGCACACATCTGTTTGATATTTCTTTAAGTTATCATCTATTATACAGTCAGAAGCATCATTCATAGTCAGAACAATGAATCAATGTAGGGCTTAAACTGTTGAATACTGACTTGGAATGGTAACAATTTACTCAAATTTTCCACCATCAACTAACCTGACACATGTTCATACAAAAAGTATCAGGGAGAAGTGACTCTGGAATGAAACAAACCAACTTTTATATGCATTTATCATGCCTCAAAATAAGCTTCCACAACAAGAATATGAATGCAACATGAGTTGGACATGTGTATGTCTGTGTTTGTATTGCCTTGCTAAACTTGGGTTTCTTCATTTCAAACTTTGAATTAATTCTATCCAACTACTATCTCTCTGGTACTGAAGTCATACCACTCCTCCACTTCCTTTGTTTAATACCAGTAATGCCCCCCCACGTCCTAATGGTCCTGTCTTTAGGCAGTACATAGTATGTGGCACAGTTTGCATGGGCCATACCAATGTTTGTATTGCAGAGGGTAAACTGTAAGTGACATCACACGCTGTAAAAAGCCACATGTTTGTGTATGATGTTACCTTTGCTCTTCCTTTCAAGCCATGAAATGTGCTCCCAACTTGAAGATTATTTCTTTGAACACTTGGGTGACTCTGACATGCCCTTACCAAGCTACCGAGCATATTCCTCTCTTCAACACTTCAATCAACTAGAGACCGGATTAAAAACTGCAATGAAATCTTATATTCTACTTCTAGGCACAGTTAATGTTACAATCAGATCCGTATATTCCTAAGACACCTAGTATATAGAAGCCTATTGTGTTTCTATGAATTTCTGCATAGTATAGGGGACTACGCATCCCAGCAAGGTGAACAACAGACTGGTCCTATGGTCCTGTCTACCTTGGTCAAATGCGAAACAAAAACACAAAAATGCACACATTTCATCAATGTGCATCTGCCCTCTGATTGGTTGAACTGTTAATTAAGATTGACAGCCAGGACACATCTGATTTCTGATTGGTTAAGCTGCTAATTACGATTGAAAGCCAGGGTGTATTCAATCTCTGATTGGTTGAATGCTAATTTTGATTGACAGCCAGGACCAGTCTGTTGTGCAGATCAGTTTGCAACCCCTAGGTTGGAGCAGGCACGATGTATAGCTCTCTGGCTATATCGCTGCATAGGTGAAGTTTGCTGTTGTGTGCGAATGTGTGCAACAGTTCTGAAGGCAATGGTTTGTACGTTCTCATCCCAGCCATGTATAAAGGCATCTGGTCTGGACCACAGAGTCTACACTGTCGTCTTTCTGTAGCCAGTAACTGCATCTCTGTGCAGAAAGAGTCATTTCATGTAACAGGGAAACATTCTTGTCTTTGATACAGCTAGTGCTAGTAAGTAAGCTACAGAAGAGCCTACAATGTACGTCTACAGTCTACGGTGACTACAAAAGAGCAGGCCAGTGAAAAACACAGCAAGTTTTCAGGTGATATTTTCTTGTACAAGTGCATCAGCTCAGAAAAGCTTGTTCTACTACATACAGCACACTATATGCTGCCTACTTCTAGCTTGAACATCTATTAAAGCTAGTGATTCTAGTCTATTTTTCACAAAGAAATTAGGTTCTCAAGTGATATTTTGGTGTACAAGTGCATCAGATCAGAAAAGCTTGTTCTACAGCCTACTTCTAGCTTGAAAATCTAACGCAGCTTCTAGTCTATTTTTCACACAAGTGCATGTTGTTTTTTCTCAGCAGGCACTGCAAGCTGACACACATGCACCTCACCTTCTCGTGTTCCTCATTATGTTAATGATTCGTTTGTCGTTGACCAATGGCGTGAGTCGCTCCGTGAAGCGTCGGTAGTTCCTCTCCAGCTCATGCTGGTACTCCTTCTGGTCAGGACCGATCAGGCTGCGGTTCTTCTTCAGCGCATCGCTACATCTGATCAGGAGAAAAATATCTTATTTAATTATGACATAAATTTATTTGATAAGGAAAGATTCGAATACCACATCTGCATACTAATAGTAGTAATGTGTTTCTCATTCCTTGACAAAGACTGGAGTTGTTCAGTGGAAAATTTGGGTAAGTCCAAATTTCATGTGTTGGAAATTAGTTTAAACTTGCTTCATAATGACTTTAGGGGGTCATGCTTGGACCACTTATTATAAGCCACTTATTGCCATTGACAAAAACATGACTTGAAGTGGTGTTGAATGCTATAATAATTATCTGATAGAATCAGGAGACAATCATTCATAGAACCTACTTCTTGGAGAAGTCCTTGAAACAGAGCCTGAGTTTGTTGTAGTGCTTGGCCAGGGACAGATCATCAGGCAGGTCCGTCAGGAACGCAGTGGCCACCTCGAGAGGGCCCTGTGGAAGGAAACACACATCTTGATCAAATAACATTTACTGCTAAACCACCATGTACCCGCCGCATATTAGTTTTGTGATTAGAGCAGTCAGGGTTCTCACCAGGGTTCTCATAATCCAGATACACTATATCCTGCTTACTGAGGGACAGTTTTGTAAAGTTATGTTTTTCCTCTGTTATAGCTTCATTCTAAAGTCAAATATTCATTTTTCTTAAAGATTTATGAAGGGCCACAAGGTTCTCCCACAAAAGAAACACCTCTACACTGGTTGAAGGACAGTTTAGAGGGCTAAATCACAGTACAAGGGGTCCAAATCACAGCATAGGAGGCCCATACAGCCTAGTGAGAACTATGGAGCTAGTGAGAAAAGGTAACTGATACATCTAAAAAGCAGTTATTTGTCCTAATCTCAGCCTGGTTAACAGTGGTGCAGTGGTGATCCCTACCTGGTTAACCGTGGTGCCAATACAGCCCTGCAGCACCATCTGTAGCATCTTCGGGTCGGCTGGGTCCTGAGTCGTGGCCAGGAACAACTCTTTTGTCTTCTTCTGGATATCTTCTATAGCAACCTCCACTGGAGTCAGAACAATCTGGACAGCAAGAAAATAAAACAAATTTTCATACATTTTTGTATACTTTTGAGTGGACTGTTAATCCACAGTGTCTAGGACATAGTATATGAAGGCAGAGGCCATCCCTCTCCTTCCACTGCCTTTTACCTCCCCAACTGAAGTCAGTTACCCATTATACACCTTGATGGAGTGAGGAAAATCATCTTTCTCAAGGACACAACATCTAGACTGGAATGCCAAGAATCAAACCTTCATCTTGAGGCCTAACCATTTAGCCATTAGAGAACAACAAAAAAGACTCCAAAGTGAGGAGAACTGTACCTCCACTCTATAGACCACGCTGACTCTGGTCTTGACGTAGGGAAAGGCGTTAGCTGTGGTGAGGATAGTTTTCCTCTTGTACTGTTCTGTCAGCTCTCCGTGGGCACGACCGTCTTTCGTGAAGGGTGTGGCAAACATGAAGCGCCCTGGGGTTGGCAAAATAGAGAATACAGTAATTGAAACAAGAAGTCAGAGACTTCAAACTTCTGGGCAGGAAGTAGATATAGTTTGCATTCATGAATTGCACTTCCTTTTTATAGAATAATTACCTTTTTTATTACTCATGCAATTAAATGATGAAATATGTCTCATACATTCCTAGTGGGAACATCCTTGGACCCAGGGCCATCGTCAAAACCCTGTCAATCATGTTAAACCTAATCTCTCCCCACCTATCTATTTCAGAAAACTAAATATTATATAGCATGTTAGTCTGTTTTAGAATATACCTGGACCCTTCAATTATTTAGTAAAAAATTCTGTTGCCCTGAAAAGAACACTGAATTCTAATAAACTTGAGAATTTCAAAGAAAGAAAAAGACTGACTCAGATTGTAGTTCTTGTCGAAGTACGATATCCTGTCCTTCATCTCGTACAAGTCGAAGTACGGCTCCACGTAGGTGAGCTGGATGTACGCCTTGTTGGGGTGGAGTCGGGAGGAGTCCACAGGGCTCGAGTCTTTAATCACCTCCACCAGGTCCTGACCAAACCTGTCTGCATAGAAACTCTGTACGGACAAGAACGAATAACAGATGTTGAAATCTTACTTTGGGTAAGACAATCAATACCTCTTCAAAACTATTCAAACTAAAGTTTGGGTTATGCAGTATATAGTAGAGGGGATTCATTCCTCAAGCTACCGAAGGAGAAGACTACACCTCGAAGAAGATGGATTTCTCTTTATTGATTTTTCGTTTTGTGTAACATGGTAAACAAGACCTTTATGACATGTTTAATTGTTCTAGAACAATAGATGACGTCATGTAGTAGGTCAACCAAGGTCAAAACGAACTATGTAACAGGTCAAGGCATTCTGAACGCCATGTAACTGACCTGAGGGCACTATGCACTGGAAAGGTATATAAGTGAGAACTTCATGCACTTGTGTCATTAGCCTCTGTACACTTGAAGAAGCCACACAGGCGAAACCGGTCGTGTGACAGGCTGAATAAAAGTTCTAAACGGGAACTATGCGGCTCCAGATGTCTTACTGAGGGACGACTGCGTCTGCAAGATGTCGGTAGCTTGAGGAATGAATCCCCTCTACTATATAAAGTTTGGGTTATGCATAACTTTCAATATTGTATAAGAATGCATCATCTTTTGATACCTATGTCCATAGATAAAATATCAAGGGTTATTAAAAAATGCTGTATCTCAAATGGATTTTTTCCTCAAGCTAAATCAACATCTTTAACACTGGTTGTCTCTCAGTAAGACATCTGGAGCTGCATAGTTCCTGTTCAGAACTTTTATTCAACTGTTAACTCTCTGTCACACGATATATCTGATTCAATAACTATAAAACCTCATAGCTCCTGTTCAGAACTTTCATTCAACCGTTCAGTCTCTGTCACATCTATGAAAATTATAGAAAGTTATCTCTTATCTGCGTGAGAAATGTTACCTCCAGCCTGTGTGCGATCTCGGGGAGTTTAGTGATGGCCGGCTCCTTGTACACAAACTCCTCCCCATCCAGGTCTCCAAACTTGCTGCCATAGAAGCCCACTCTGAAGAACGTGCCAAACATTCTCTTCCCAGCCTGGGGAAAGGGAACACAAGCACACTTATCGAAAAGAGTAGGGGTCCTTCCCGGTGTGAGTGGTTCAATCCTTACAGTCTTATGGCTGCACCTGGGGTCTTAATGCGGTCACCTGATTTAGGGCCGAATGGCAGCTGCTCCAGACCCTTGCGATTAACCCCCAATAATTGCTTAGCTCTTCTCAATTCAGCCCTTGGCTGCAAGGAAAGTAGCCACCCAACAACAAATGGCCCACCCAACATCAAGAAGGTAAAATATTGTACAGCATCATTTACATGTATGAGTGAGTTCTACAGTCCAAGCTGTACTAATGACCACTAGAAAAGTGTATGTTGCAAGCATAACATTATGCACAAGAGAGCAGACAAAAGCAACAAAGATTTATGAAAAAATTGTGCTACATGTATAATTTATGATGATTTCCTTCCACCCCGTACCTGGTCCTGTTTGATAATCTGTTGGAAAGCCTCCTGTAGTTTCCCATGGATGGTGGCCAGCTTCTTGTGACTCCTCTCTGCCTCGTGGATGGGGATCAGGATCTTATAGGTCTCATTCAGGGCCTCGTACATTTGGGCCTTTAGAAACACAAGGGAACATTTAGCTTTATCAAAAGTCACAGAAAGCAGACCCCGATTTGTTAAAGAAGATGATCTACTTTGAAGGTCATATCTTAAATGTGGTAAGCTGAATCAACTCTATCCTGTAGCATCTGTGGGGCAAAAATGTGATGTCATTGATGGAAGCAGCTGCTTGTTTTGGGCTAGTTCAGACACTTCAAATATAAACGAATACAGAAATGTGTTAAGAAATGGCAGTAAATGTTGACATCAGACAGACTTGCTGCCCTGAAATTGCATTGGATGCCTGTCTATATCTGTGATTCTGTACCGGTATAACTGCCTCTCAGAGTAACACACCAGCTTCCCAGGCACGTAACATGGGAGTAGCTGCCTTTAATTTAAAAAGCGTGCATTCTCACCATAGAGAATGCGTTGGCAGCCTGTTCCAGCAGACCGACCAGCCCCAGCTCAGTGAAGAACTTCCCTGTACAGATCCCCTCCTCGTCTGGGGACACCACATCATCCGACACTGCACTCTCCTCCAGCACGTTGGACGATATGTTCTGTGACATGAAAGCGAAATAATGTTCTGTCAGAAAACAGTTACTCAAGCAACTGGATATGATTTTGAAAACGTCAGACGTTTCTACTAGTATCCACTAGCTTTCGTCAGTGACTGAGAGACCAGAGGGGAAAGCAGGTTTATATACACAACCTGTTGATTGATATGCTCCTATGCCCTTTGCATATCAATCAACAGGTTGTGTATATAAACCTGCTTTCCCCTCTGGTCTCTCAGTCACTGACGAAAGCTAGTGGATACTAGCTGAAACGTCTGACGTTTTCAAAATCATATCCAGTTGCTTGAATAACTGTTTTTTGGCATATCGTATTACCTGGATGTCTAACCTTCATCGACGTAATGTTCTGTCAATCTTATCTATTTGTTGAGCTCATGAGATTTACCACATTTCTAGAAGATGTGACGTAACAGGTGACTTTTTCAAGACGTCAACCAGGACCCTTGCTCTTTTCAGTTAAGTGTTGTGGACTGGTGGGATATTTTACATATTACTGGATCTGGAGGTGTGGTTCTCTTCAAACACAGGGTCCTATTTGTGAGGACATCCGTAACCAAAATTAGGCACTCATTTTAGCATGAGTCAAGTGAGGAAATGCATGTTGCTGTAAAGTGACTTTTCAAAGGGCATAGCACTGGGGCCTGAGGGCACCAACATACCTGGAAGGAGACACAGCCGATGGGCAGGTAAGTCTTGTCCTCCAGCATGTTGAGATATTCTGCCACCAGTGCTGCTGAGTGGACCAAACACTGGGCTGCCTCTGCATGGTTTCCTCTCTGTGAAAAAACACAGGGATCGGTAATTCAAGAATGATATATCAACAATCGTTGCTGAGGCCAGATAGGCATTAAAAAGCTTAAGATAGTCCAACAAGATCACTAAGTCTTGTAGTTTACTGGTTATACTGATAAACATAAGATGTAACAAGTAAGTTAGTAACTGTTGATCATAAATCAATACAGCAGTTGTCAAATAGTTCAGAAAATGTTCATAAGTTTGTTGGCATCTTATTGTTTGCATAGAAAATATTGTAATCAATACAATGTGACTACAATTTACCTCAGTATGCTTGCCAGCCATGTTCTGTAACCAGGTCAGCCTGAGATCTGGAGAGTTCTGGTATCTGGAACAAAAAAAAAGAATTGTCAGCTGTACACGCATACAACACTTCAAAATCTTCTAGCCAACTTTTGACCAAGAGAAAAAGTCGTTTGATGCCATTAGACTTCTTGTAATGACTGATAATCTCTCGTCTGTATGATGAAAAAATGCAGTACATTCTGTACTTATATGTCTAGTGTGTACATAACGTAGCCTACCCCTTGGCTATCCTGTACATGAGGTCCAGCAGCATCTCAGGGTCCTCCTGAAACTCTTTCATCTTCACCGTGTCTGACAGGATCATGTGCAGGTTAAACACCAGGTCTCGCACCTGTGGTTACCATGGAAACAGTACAGGTAAACAAACAAGCAGCAAAACAACAAACAAACATGAACCAAAATGTATTGAAGTGAACAAGATGGTAACTTGAGTTACGTGGTCCAAACATGAATCAATGGGATTGAGAACACATTACAGCCCTTCTACACTGTAGGCAAACTTTCCACACACGAAATGGGTAACCAGGCACAGCATATAACATTTCATTTAACAGTAAGACAAAGAATCTGATATGGATCTTTATGCATAGAATTGCTGATTCTACCAGATTGAAGCCTCTACCCTGATACATACATGAACAACTATAAATGTACATAGAAAATGCAGACTCTACTTCTCGATAAATTACGGAAATCCCACAACTTCCAGAAGTTCTCTAAGTGTAATTTATCCAGTAATAGAGTTTCAATTTTCTATGTACATTAATTTATAATGTATGCATCTACGAGTACTGTTAACCTGGATGTCTAACCTTCACCAATTTAACCATAGATATATACAATGTACTGTAAGTAGAAGACACACACACACACCTGTTCAGGGAAGGTGGTTCCCTGTAGCTCAGCATCCTCCTGTGCGTACATGAGGATAGTCTTGAGCGACCTGCGCAGGTATTCCTCGTTAAAGGACTGGGAGGACCCCACCAGGGACGACAGGGACATAGTTACCTGCATCTTCACTCGAGCAAAGTTCTGAGGAACAAAATGGCATGTCTTGTGAACAAAATGACAAAGTTCTGGGGAAGAAAACAGCAGTTCTTGTAAACTGACTTTTTTTTTGCTCTTGGCTGCCCCCAATGGACTCAGATCCTATAGTCCAGCCTATCTCGGTCAAATATAAAAATCAGAAATATCTGATTGACATGCAGCCACTCTCTAATTGCCATGTTATCATTGGTTGAACTGATAATTGTGATGGACACTTATTTGTAAAATTTGTATGAATACTTTGGCACCCCTGACGTATATCATGTTCATGGTAAGGTATAAGATGACATATTTTCCCGTAAATGATAAATATGTAATTTATATATATGTATATAGGTATTTTCCCGTAAATGATAAATATGTAATTTATATATATGTATGTAGGTATTTAGGTAGGTATATAGGTAGGGTAGGCCGGTAGGTATTTGGGTAGGTATTTGGGTAGGCCGGTAGGTATTTGGGTAGGTATTTGGGTAGGCCGGTAGGTATTTGGGTAGGTATTTGGGTAGGCCGGTAGGTATTTGGGTAGGTATTTGGGTCGGCCGGTAGGTAGGTAGGTATTTGGGTCGGCCGGTAGGTAGGTAGGTAGGTAGGCAGGTAGGTAGGCAGGCAGGCAGGCAGGCAGGCAGGCAGGCAGGCAGGTAGGTAGGTAGGTACTGATTATGGACTTTTTATTATGCTGGCTTTTTCTAGTTCCTTACATAATACATATACAACCACAATATGTGCTGAAATATTTGAACTCACGTTTCCGATCTCAAAGTTCTGTCTCATGAGCAGGTAAAGAGAAGCGCTGGAGTGTGAGCGAGTGTTACTGATACAGGAGCTGCAGTGTCTCAGCAGTCTCAAACACAAGTCTGCACACTGCTCTGTCTCCTCTTCAAACAACAGCTCTGGGAACTGGACAACAAGGAACATATCATAGATAAAGTTGGAAATTTAAGAGATAAAGGACACATACATGTACAGTTCAATAGCTTTTTTGAGGCTGTAGGGGCAGTGGGTTGTTAATCCACTGTGTCTAGGGCACAGTTTTGGAAGGCAGAGCCCATCCTTCTCCTTCCACTGCCTTTTACACCCCAACCAAAGTCAGGTAGTACCCATTTTACACCTACATGTAGTGGAATGGATAAACTTTAAAATGCCTTTTGCAAAGACGCAATGTCTGGTCAGGAATCAAACCTGTTACCTCTCAATCACCTGTTTTCTAGCTTAGCTACATTTTGTACATGTACTTGGCCATTCGATACCACTACTAACAGTAAATCCTACACAGAGGATACTGGCATGTTACCTTGAAGACAATGGCCCTCTGAGTAGCAAACAGGTTCTGTAGTACGTAGGTGCTCTGGTGACAGGCCAGGGAGTGAAGTAGAACCCTCAGCACACTGCCCAGCAGACTCTGCAGGGAGTCCGACACTAACACAGTCTGTACGATCAGCTCCAGGGTGTCCAGGATGATCATGTTAGCCTCCGCTGCCAGGTTACCCTGCATAAAGGCTTGGCTCTCCGTGTCTCTGGGTCTGGAAGAAAGGCAGATGATATTTTTAATTTGTCTGTGTTAACCAATTGTGGTTAAAAAGACTTTCTTCAATGTTCTTTGTCATCCCCTCAATGGTAAGAAAATATATTGATCTTAAAACTTTAATAAAAGTGGTCCCAACATAAATCCCTGAGAAACATAATGCCAGCAGTGGTTGGCAGTCCAATTGGACTGAAACAAATTTAACATAAATTTGATTTGATTCTTATTGAAAGGTAGGCATGGCCTACACAATGTACATCTGGTAAGACTGCTCCCAAACCTCAGTCAGTCTTGTCTTACAGGTACTTTACTGTACTACAGCAACTACCAACCTGTCCGCCTGTTCTGAGAGTTCCTTCCAGTGCGTGAGGTCCTTCCTCCACCTGAGTCGTGTGTCAGCAGCCATGCCCCCTGCAGTGGGCGAGGTCACTCCTGCTGGAACTGGAGCAACATAACCACATCTCAAACACATTTATACACTGAGATACACAGCGACAGAGTACATCAGATTCTGTATCTGTATACCTGGTATAACCACCCTTGTGTAAAACACCAGCTTCGCAGGCACGCAGCAGGCTATATTATACCATTTGTTACACCTAGCCTTTTTACATGTACAAAATGTACATGGTGAACTGTCAGACGTCATACTAACATCAGAGGATGAGAATTAAATCTTAAGATTCCAAGAACAAGGCTTAGAAATATCAACTTTCATCCAAAAATTGCAGAAAGATTTTTTACATATTGTAAGTTGCCATATTTACAGGACTTGGTATTTTTAAGATAGCATTGAAGAAAAGGTAGATAAGTCACAACTTTGCAGGCTAAAAAAAATGTTCAGGCTTGGCAACATCATTTTTATTATGAAAAATCATCTACTGGATTTCAGGAACAGTTATATAATTTCAAGCCCTGAACAACCCTGAGTTGACCCTTAGTGACCTATGACCAGGACACCCACCTCCAAGCCCGCTGACTTTCCTCCTCATCAGCATCTCACTCCTGGCCCCCACACCCCCCAGGATAGCCTCCTCCAGACGGGACTTCACGTCTTGGGACTTCTTAAAGGAATGGGAGGACAGGTTCTTCAGCTTTCTCTTTCCCTGGTTGGAAATAACAACAGATACAATGTAGGTTTGAGTCAACATTGAGTACTGCCATTAAGAACAAAAAGATACACGTAAACATCATAGCTAAGGCCATATGGCCATTAAAAAGAGTACAGTAACCGTAGTATGCAACCTTCCATCTCAAGAAACTGTGAAATATTTTTCAGGCTTTGGTCATTCTGAAAATGTAAGCTTAACCATGGGGGAGAATTTGAAGGGAAAAATTTCTACCTTCCCGATGTTGCTGGTAAAATTTTCCTCAATCGACATCATCATTATTGGTAGTAGCTTGCGTCCGAGCATTCAATGTTGCTAGTGAAATACATGTACAAAACCTACCATATAACAAAAATTCAAGTCTTCCAAAAATCATATTAAGTAGCTAAAAATTATGTGGGCCTCCCTAACAGAAAGTGTCCTTACCCTGTACTCGAAGCATGACACAGCCACCATGAGCACCTCCAGCACATGGCTGAGCCTCATGAAGGGCATCTCTGACCACCACTGTCTGAGAAACGAGCGGTCCAGGTTCTTAATCACCCACAGGAAACACATCAGCAGGTTACGCGTGCACTCCTGGGTCAGCTGGGTCGACGAACGACTCTGCAACAAGGAGAGGGATGTTTTCATACTTGTGTTTCTTGTTCCTTGCTGGGGAAAACTGTCTTCCTTATGTATTTTTTGACAAATTTGTTCTGAGTGCAAGGTCTGGAAACCTGGTCTACTTCTAGGCAATGAACTACGCTCGGGTTACTGAAACATCTTTTCTCCCTCAGAAACAAATGCTTGAAACAAGCTCGAAACAAGCTCAACTCACTGAGATTGAGAACTTCTGTTTGTTTAATTGTGAAACTTTAAAATAAGGTGTATTCCTTTTGCAGAGAATTTTTCTGAAACCTTGCTGACAGTTCTGTGTCAAGTGTTTGTCATACCGGTAGGAAAAAAATATCAACATTATTTCCATGGCCGATGTTCCTGACCATACAATGTACCTGTTGTCCCATAGAGTCCAGTGAATAAGACGAGGCCGGGCGGTACACTGACGTTCCAGCTATCGCCATGGCAACAGACTGACTGATGGGAGCCGGCTGGTCCTCCTGTCCCTTGTTGTTGTTCTTCTGCTCCGCTGTCCCGTCATTCAGCTGGGTCAGGCTGTCCAGCACGATGCCGATCACAGGCAGGTAGAGTTTGGCCACGTGGGAGCGAACCTGGGTCACAGAAATGAACAAAAAAAATCATGGATTGCATTACATACTGTTGGGACACCGCCTGGCTGGCTGGTGAAGTTGCTGAGACTCTAATCCACAGGGGTATTGACATTTTCTGTGCACCAGAACCACAGGACAGAGGCAAATTGCGAGCTACCATCAAGATATGCTAAAAAGATAAAGATACAGGTACAGGTACCTCTGGGTCTGAGAAGCGAGGGTCACAGTCGTGGCTGGCGATCAGGTTCAGCACCGCGTTGATCGCCTGGCGATGCAGATTCTGGTTCCTGGAGGAACAATAATTATGTCAAGCATCACTTAAGCTACCTATGTACCAAAAATTTAATCATGATCCATCAACTGTCTTTCAAAGCAAAGATGACAGCACAGGGTTAGCATGTTTACTATATGGGGTCAACACCATTGACATGTACATGTAATAGCATGTCTGCAGAATGTATTCTGCCTGTGCGAAAGAAAGGTCTAGGTCTCATTTAAGGTCGCGTTTGTGCATTTAAGGGTGGCATCCTGTCTGCAGTTTTCAAATATTGTGTCAGAAAAGATATCTTATGCAATATTGACCAAACATCCTGAATCCTGAAATTGTGGCAGCCAACGTGCTATGAGTACTCACTCTCCATCCAGTACTACTGACAGTTCTGACAACAGCATGCCGACAGGAAAGTGCTGCTGTCTGAACTCCACCGACAGTTCCCCCACCCCGCCCTTGTTTGTCACCGTACAGCTACCGCCCAAAAATCGCGACTACAAAATGCCTAGTGCACGAGATATCTGCCGACGTGCTATGAGTACATTGTAATACTTACTCTCCGTCCAGCACCACTGACAGTTCTGACAACAGCATGCCGACAGGGAAGTGCTGCTGTCTGAACTCCACCGACAGTTCCCCCACCCCGCCCTTGTCTGTCACCGTGCTGCTGGAGATGTAGGAGCTCTGGGACGTGGAGCTGGAGATGGAGGGGCAGGGCGAGGACGGGCGCGAGGCGGGCGCCACGAACGGGAGATTCAGCACGACAAAGTGCTCGTGGCTGCAGATGATGCGCAGGAACTCCAGCTTCAGGGTGGTCAGAGTCGTGGCGTTGGCCAGAGAAGCAATCTTCCCTGATACCTGGATGTGACATCGAGGTATTAGCCTTACACTTGAAAGTAACAATGGCTAAAAAAGCTGAGAATGAGTCATTTCACAGTTCTACGTTGGCATATAGCCTGGGTACCATCCTCCGTAGACATTAGGGAGCTGGCGGAAACTAAAGAGGATAGCACCCAGGCTAGTGTGCATCTGCAGTTGTGATGCGTTGTGTTCAACGTCAATGACCCCTTCACTAGTAAACAATTCCCACTTGTCTAGACCTTTTGCAATGTTGTGCTGTTTCACAGAAGATTACACTCATTTTATGGACTTAAACCTTACCCAAATTTTAAAAAATAAGCAAGCATGAGGATAGTAAAAAAGTAAGAAAAAAGAAAGAAATCACAGGACTGACCAGGAGACCATTGCTGAGAGCGAAAATGTGAAAGAACATGGAGAGAGAACAGAGCTAAAAACAGAAACAAAGACGCACATGATAAAATATAAACAGTCAACCAAAACCATACATGTAGCTTGCTAAATACACAATACCAGGGTATACCATACGTACAATCATACATGTGCCATAGGACAACATTTTGAAGATAACAGTTCCACATTAGATACAGTACAACAGTGGCTTAAACTACAGACAATGTATGATGATGTACAAATGCTAATACTTCAAATAATACTTCATACAGCTATTGTACGTGTACATGTAAGTCCTACCTGTTTACAGTATGTCTTGATGAGATTGAAGACGAAGCCCCTGTCCATGAGTGATAACAGATCGTTCAGGAAGAATGCCAAGCTGGCATTCAGGTGCTGGATCAACTGGAGATCCTAGAAGAGTGGCAAATTTTACAAAATAAATTTCATTTATCATCCAAACCTGTTGCTATAACCCTGGATGAAGATTGCTCTCACCCTGCACTTTGAAAGAAGCCCTTCCCCAACATACAAATGTATATATATTGAAATTTAGTCAAAAGTGTGAAAGTGAGTGTGTAATGAATCATGCACACAATGCCACCTGTTTCCATCTTTGTCATTGACCACCTGTTATGTGTTAGTCACCTTGAGTCCTAGAATGATAATATCCTTCTGCTTCAAATGCAATCCTTTTTTTAATGGCTTTGGACTTTAACTTGTCTTCCACACTTTCCAAACAAAATTTGGAAAGGCAATTCTATTGTCATATTCTGATTAAGTAACAAAGTGGTAATTTTTTTTTTACACTGACTTCATTTTTGCCGAATGAAAATGTGTAATTTAAAAAAAAAAGACCTGTATTTGAACAGAAGGATTGACATTTTTTTTCTCACTGTATAATAGTGATCAGGGTGTGTGGTCCTTTGTTGCATTGTTTCAGCCTGTAAAAAATACATGTATCATAAGATTCTGAAGTTAGAACAGTTGTCATCTAATTATGTCAAGATAGCAATGCAAAGAGTGGTTCTTCTGTATAGAAAGAAAGTACTTCTCCTGTACTTCAGATAATACCATCACCGACATGTACACTGTATTCCCCACCTTGCTGTATCTGGCGATGATGTCCCCTGTCATCATGCCGATCAGGGCAGACACGTCGTCCAGAAAACGCTCAGGGAAACGCATCTTCCTGGGAGTCTCCAACTTGTCTGAGGCAGCCAGGTACTGGGCCATGCTCTTCACCTGTGGAGACATGAGAACAAGTATGTTAGGCCTAGAGAAAAATGTGCTTCTGGTTTCCCGACTAACACTGGCAAAAACTGCAGACCCTGGCCTTTTTTTGATCGACCGCTAGTAAGGTTATAAAATTTTTGATCTGACATCTGAATTTCGAACCCTCTGAATTCTGAAATGTCATTCAACACCTTTTCAGAAGCAATTTTTTTTGTAAACTGGGTGAAGTATTTGTCCACAAGCAAACGGGTCCTTGGAACAGGTCTGATGCATTGTTTAAACTTATAAAATATAAGGCATTGTGTATTACTCACCATTAACTCGAAGAAGAACCATGAGTGAGACAGAGCCAGCTCCCTCACTGAGCCACTGGATACAACCCACTGCAGGGCTAGCTCCTCATGGAAAATCTGGCAGGGTCAATTTCAAAAGTCAGGTCATTTAATTATTTATTTCTTAGTTTTATCTTCAAGAGCATGCAAAAGCACTGTTCTTTTCCATTAGCATTACTACATAATTGTTACCTTTGCTTAGAATGTTCTGTTGAGTAAACATCCAAACACTGGTACTACTTGGATGTTTAATCAAGAAGCTATGGATGGAGATAGTATCATGAAATTCAGTAAATGAGTAGGTCATCTAGAAACTCTTCTCTTCTTCGTCCCTCGTTATCATTGTCGGGTAGGTCAACTAGCAAGACAGTTACGTGTATATCATAAATTATACACTCAGTAACACTACAGTAGTAATACCGGTAGGCTAGCCTACCTTCTTGTTAGGAAGTCTCCCTCCCAGTCCCTCTACCTTGGGACTCCCCTCGGCCATAGACTGTCGGAAACTGGCCCGCAGCTGGCCACGCTCTGATTGGCCCTGAAAGTGCCAGCAAGTAAAACGAAGAGCGTCATTGGTCAGCACATGGTGTATTTGTCATAACCTGATCTATGGACATTGAAAATATTGATACCACATCCCTAGTCTTCTGCAAGTCTACAATACAGAGCAATACAGTACAGTAATCATAATATAATAAAAAAAGGTACTGGCAGAAAATCCTTGTACAAAGTAAACCCAATGCACATTTGTAGAAGGAAAAAACCTTTACATACTAATCAAGTCTATCATAAAAGTATTAGCTACAACAATGAATAAAATAGCAACATTTTGTAGTTTGAATTGCACCACCCATCTATTGTGGTACTCATGAGACAATAGTTGTAAAATTCACAGAGAGATCATCAATAAAGAAATCTTAACAGGATAGCTATAGAGAAAAAAAGCACAACATAAGCTTTCTACAGATGCACTACGTAAAAGTAAGAGTTGCCCCTGCAGCTGGAATATTACCCGCTTTTTCCGTACTCGTCTCTTTTGAGGAGTCTGTAAGCACAGGAGCACACAGAACAGAAAAAGTACAGGAAAAAGAACAAGTTTAAGACTTAAAAGTAGAAAAACAAAGAAAATTAAATCAAGAAAATAAAAAAAAAAGAAATGATAGGATCCCTCTTCATATTTTCTGATATATTTATTTATAGAATCTGATATATACATTGTAAATCAAATTTCTTTTTCTATGCTTGCACTGTTTATTGTGCTGTCTACCAAACACATTCAAGCAACACAAGTTAGTGTGTTAGTCAAACCATACAACAACAACAAAATATTGGAAGATGTTAGTCTAATAATGTTGTTAACAAACAAGTGTGACAAAGTGTAACTTTTAACCTCCATGTTTTCATTCTTTGGTATCTTGAATGTTGACTTCACGTCTTGCCAAAATGCCAATATTATAAACAGTGAAGGGTGCATTTGAAGATGAAATCGTGTAATGAATTTTCATAAAGTATAAAAAAAATTGCTTCTGTTAATTTGTATTGGTGGTACATGTATTATGGTTGGTGGTGGAGTTATGAAAGTAGATGTTAATTTTATGACTGAGACTTTGAACATTTTCCCATCATGATGATTATGAAGAAGTATGAATATTAGTGTGGAAAGTGTGGAGTAATGACAAACACACACAGATAGAAGGAAAGACAACCCTTAAAGCCACGGTGAGCACCTGTGAGTATTGCCCTGTCCCCCGCCTGTCAGTGAACCTTGCACTCTGAGACCTATCCAGCAGAAATCCCTACATACAGCACACAAACAGCAACAGAAAGAAAATCAAACTAAAAAGGCAAAACTACCACAGGGCTCGAAATTCATTTTTGGGAATAGGTGCACCGGTGCACCCAACCTTAAAAATTGGGCGCACAAAAATTTTTGGGGTGCACCATACAATATAAGTAGAATGTCAGCAAAAAACTAATTGTCGGCCATGTTTCATTTCTAAAGAAATTTTACTAAATTACAATGATTTTTTTATTTTTCTGACACTTACTTAAACTTAAGACTATGCAGTGTACTACTAAACATTTAACATGTTTACATACGTAAACCTATGAGAATATTTGGGTGCACTACAGAAAAAAATTGGGTGCACAGCTCCAAATTTGGGTGCACTAAGGTGCACATGCATCCAGTATTTCGAGCCCTGTACCATCAGCAAAAACAAATGCAAATTCGCAAACAAACAAAAAGAAACAATCATGCATTCGCATAAATGGAGCAATTATGATTCTTAGCATAATGTGAAATTCTATGAAATGTCTATACAACTGAAAAGCAGCTTAATAAATGAAACTTGTGAAATGGCAAAAGTCAACCGAACATTTATAGAATATGCAAAAAAAAAATGGTGCATTGCAACATCATATGGCTAAATTGAAAATAAACATATACGTGTATAGTGACCTATAGCTAGTGCAGGTTAGGTACATGTACAGGTACACTAGAAAAATACCTGCACAGCTTCAATTTTACCTGCACTAACCTGCATGTACCCAGTCCATGGACCAGTGCAGGTTATGTGCGGGTAGACATCAGAAATACCTGCATGCCTCCAATATTAGTGCACTAACCTACAAGTGGTATTTCGAGCCCTGTGATCACATATGCTAACATTTGAACAATATGCTGAAGATTTTGATACAGAACAACAATTGTAGCCTGTGTCTTAATTTTACTTGCTACAAGTACATAACCTGACCTTGCCGGTGATATCTGACACCTCCTCGTCAGGACTGGGTGTTGCGGTGAGGTCAGGGTCACTGTTACTCAGGCTGCGGTGTTGAGGCATCAGGTTCAGGCTCTTCGGACGAGGCACACCGGATCGACTGATGGTGGCGTAACTTCCCGGCCCTGCCATGGCAGCAGGCATGTTGCCAGGAGAACTGCCTACAGGGTTGTACGTTCAAATATGATACTTTTGAGGTTTTCTTACAATTTGTAGTTTTTGACTGCTGAAATGGTACAACAAGTACAAACAAACATGTTCATTGAACATTATGTCATTAGAAATAAAATGTCACTTTTTTTAATGATCTTACTAAGAATGCCCACTTCTGGGCACTGAACTACATGTAAGTTGTGGGTCTCTTCAAATACGTGACCTGCATGTAATGTCCTATCCGAGAGATGTTTCTAACCAAAGCTATAATATAGGTACTCATTTCCACATGAGTGACGTATGTGGAAAGTTGTGGCATGTCGGGAGTTTTCAGGGGATTTGAACACAGGACCTCTATCTGGATCCTGGTCTTAACATTTTAATCATTATAACAATCACAATCATGATGCCACAAACCTTTCTAGCATCTCACAAACACTTGGTATAGGTGATTGACCTGTTGGCAAATCATCAATAAATCTAAATCTATCGTACCTGGAGAAACAGTCTGGTCCACGTGCGGTGTACTGAAGACGTAGGAGATGTAGGAGGCCAGCAGGGAGTTACGCCCATGTGCATCCTGGGAGTCCAGCATGGTGTGCAGTCTGGCCACAATCTGAGCCATGGCCTCGAACGATGACTGACCAACATTCACTGGAGGAACAAATATTCTCATGCTATAAATGCTTCAGGGGCATATAGCTTAAATGTTAACTAAAGGATACATTTCTTCAAAATCAACAACGCATAACATTCAATTCAATTTTCATGCAACAAACACGTGTGTCCTGGATGTAAATGCATTTACCTGAATGCTACAACACAAAGACACTAGCTAATCAAGAAAAGATATGGGACTTCAGCTATGCTCCGATAAAAAAAACATAATTTAGTGTATTTATAAGAGAGAGAGTGCTGCCTTGCCAGTGTAGACCCACTGGATAGAGTCACGTGGATATGTGGCATGAAAAGTTGCCAACTGCTGTCCTTTAAGTTATCGTATGATGTGGGATCCCTCACATTTTAGCTGCACCACATTTTTATTTCCAAATCCTACCTATCTGTCCAGCGATGATGGGTGGCCTGACGATGAGACTGATGAGTTTATCCAGGATGAGGTACAGGAAGGTGACCAGTGGTTCAGGCTGGGCCTGGCTCAGGGCCTGGACACTGTTCTTCAGCTCCTGCTCCAGGTTTGACTCCTGGATCCGCACCTCCCCGATCCTCGTGGGCAGCACACGGTTCGTGTCCTCCACGGCATGGCACAGGCTCAGGAACTTGTCTAGGAACGGGTCCTGGGAAACAAGGCAGGGGGGAAGGTGAAGCCGCAGTGTTTTTCTATTGTAATATAAACCTTTCCCACATGTCAGCACTGATAGAACTGAAAACGCAGCTGATGTGGCAAATGATTTCATGTTCGACTGAAAGCAGGGATTTCATTTTCAGAAACTTATACTTCATTGAATTTGACCTGACCACCACAGTTCATTTTCTAAATTTTTGTATTTCCAAAAAGTTTCACAAGATGACAAAATGATCATGATCGAGGCCATCAAATGAAAGACAAGCAGTCACATACATTTGTACATGAACATTTCATCATCAACACCACTTACATGTAAGCCTAGTAGACAAGTACAAAATAACCTGTACCTGTGTGTGGACCGATGAGACAGCATGTAGGGTGACAGTGAAGAGTCCCTTGTGTCCATCTACCCACTTCATCCCAGGCAGCTGCACCTGTGTGAGGAGGGGGAAGGGTGACATCCATTTTACTAGAGTTGTCTTTCTATGTTCATTTGCAGGTAGTCTTCAAATTTGATCAAATGTAATCCAACTCATGAAGAAATCCAAAAAAAGAACTTAACTTTCCGTGAACACAGTGTGGTTTTATAAAGATTTTAAGCTTCTCTCTACTGCCAAACCTTGTAATCATTTGAGAACTGGTAGCTATGAAAAGGTAAAAACCAATCTTTACTTTATGAACTGCCAATAGAACTTTCTTGTTGTTAGAGCAATTGCCAACGTACAATGTAACAATGTCAAGAGAACGGTTTTAAGTTCATCCTTGAACAAAGGTTGAACAAACCTTGGTCTCATCATGCTGAAGCCAGAACGTTAGGAGGGAACAGAGGGGGTCAGTAGCAAAATAAGACATGTTTTGTACTCTGCACAAAAACAACAAGAAATTGAAGATTTCAGACTTCAAATAAGGGTTTGGGTTTTTGTAAATTGTAATTGGAACTGTGGAGGTGACTTTTTGCTAGTAAATTTCCATCAGTAGTCCTGCTATAAAAACAGACTAACACTTGGCAAAATCTTCTTCATAAGTGGTATTAAATATAATGGACAGTATCAAATTCCTTGCAGAAATCCAGCTATTTCTGTGCAGAGTGTTTCATGTACCATCCACCAAAAGACAGAACCACAGGACCAGAACAAACTAACACCCATGCAAGCTGATCTAGCCCATAACATCACCAGCCTCATGCTTCTTCACCTGTCTATGGAGAGAGGAACTTGAAAGATCACATGGATGTCTGAGAACAGGAATGCACTTCAAATACAGTATTTTTGTATTGGCTGTTAGTTTTGTTGGGTTTTTAATTTTCACCCAGTTTGTGTCATCATCATTTAGCTTCAAATTTCTTATTGCATTTTAAGCAGTACTTCACCCATATGAATTTCAAGCCCCTTTATCTTCACTACCGTAACATTGGAACAAGTTGCCTTAAGCCCAAAAAGCCAGTTTCAATATAAACATGAACCAAGTCTCCATAGTAAGTGCTAGAGACTGGGTTGACATTTATTTTGACTCCAGCATACAGAACTACCGCTGACCACTATCTCTGGGCTTACCCCAAAATTGGGCTTGGAGAAAGACTGCAAGAAATACAAATCACATAGTCATGCAGAGCAAACAAAGAGCAAAAAAATAAAAAAAAATAGTCATTCACATGCTCAAGATTTAACAGTCAAAACATACAAGATATGCCAAGCATGGAAGGCGAAAACAATGCACAACGAAATTGGAGCTTCAAGGCCACACCAATTTGACTTGTTGGTTTCCAGCATTTTGGAGAAAAACTGTGAGAAATACAAAGACATGGACTTTTTCAAATATCAACCAAGTGAATCTGCAAACCAAGGAATTAAATATTGGTGTGGCCTATGATGCAACTATGACAAAGAATATAGCTTCTACACAATTGCAACAGTACACTACAGCATTACACACAACATATATACCACACAACAAGACCTTACCGACCCCTACAGATATACATTGTGTAATATGTACATGCAAAACAATAGAACTTACATCAGGTGAGAGCATAGAGTAGCTCTGTGGCGGCTTCTCCATGGAGACAGGGAGGCTGAACTCTCCCACCTGGAGTCGACCGTTGGCCAGGACTGGGATCCACTACACAGGTGTACAACACATTCAGTCAGTGTGAGTAGTACGGAAGGAGACATACAGTTCACATACTGGAGGAAGCATGTTGCTGCTAAGGGTTAGCCTGGATGACATCCTTTTTAGCTTAAGCATGTTTTTATGGTCACTTCCCTGCCTAAAACTGGGCCTGCATATTCATCTGGTGATGGCATCAAGTAATGTAATTCAACCATTGCATGCTGAGTGGGGCCTTTGCTGATTAGATAACCCCATACCAGGTTTGGCCAATCAGCCTTCTTTTTGACAGGGAAGCAACTACCTGTAAGACACTATACTTAAGCTCAAGAGGCTGCCATCCAGGCAAGCAAACAATACAGTAGTGGGGACTGGACTCACTGGTGATTTGGTAGTTGGATACCCAAACATTCAGGGAACAATGGGTATACAGTACATACAGCACTGGGCTACTACATGTATAATGTTGATCTTTCCTCTAAGACTGTATGAAATTATATTAATTTTCCATGTAAGATCAGACCAAGAAGGATTTTAGTCTCCATGTGGCAAACAATTTTGTAGTATTTGTCGAGCCAGCAGCCTTTTTGTCAATTTTCATCCTTTTGACAGCAAACTCATAACCCTTCTTGGTCTATTCTTCTAGTCTTAAGTATTGCATGGCACGGATTGTGAATTGTCTGTTGGCACAGATTAACATTGTGTCATTATCCAACATTTTGCTGCTGCTGCATTATAAGGTGGGGGAAGGTAAAAGTTATATAGATATTACTTTTAAGCTCTAATATTGCACAATTGAAATTTCCATGTATGCTGATGTATCTTTATATAGTTTAAGTTAGTCCTATAGCTGAAGAATCAGAGAGTAAAGATCAAGTAGGTCTAACTAAAGCACAGGATCACAGGGATGGAGGAGAAGCAGTGAGCTCTTGAAAACAGAACAGCAAAAGTCAGTCTTCCTTCAACAAGACTGTACACCAAAATAGAACCCTGAAGAATCAGTGTTTGTTGGAATTATAGAGAAAGGCCAAGTTTCAGTGAAGAAAAAAAGCCCAAGAGAACTCTGAGAGATTCATAGATGATGGAGAACAATCTTGTCCTCAAGAAGCTATAATTAAAAGTGTTAAAAACTAGTCTTAATGTCTTAATCTGTAAAGTTATTATCGTAGAGTCTTTCCTCTCTGTTATTCTGTGTCCAAGAGCATGCACTGTGGTTGTCCACCATACCAGTCCCTCCTGTACAATGTTACGTCATTAGTGGCAGTGTACGGTACATGGAGGGTGGAAGTGGTCTGGGTTTATCCAAGCATGCAGGGGTTCCTCTCTAGCAGGAGACACAAAACCGAGTCTTACAGTGTATCCTATGGGCGTCTCGATGGGCCCACCGGTCTCCTGAATGGCCTGAGCCAGTTTTCGAGGGATCAGCTGTTGAGGTCGCTGTGTACGAGATGCATTAAAGAAGAGGGTGACGCTCAGATCGCGTGACTCTGATCATCTCCCCGTGCGTGGGAGCTGGGAGGTTTTTCGCATTTGATGCACTGCACTTTGATGGGGTTTAACATTCAAAAAGGTTTGAAACATATGCCATGAAAAAACTTATCCAGGTGCTGTAAAAAAACATTCAAAAACAACTTGGATGTCTTAACATATTCACAAAAAGTCTGCTATTAAGCAATGGACCAAAAAAATCATTCAATGCGCTAAAGAATAGCTTGCATTTAGAAATGGAGAAAAAAATGAAGTTTATAACTTTTGCCATTAAACAAAAATGTAAACTTAAAACTGAAAACTTTTTAAAAAGGAAAAAAAAGGAAAAACTATTAGCAGTCAATATCTGTGGTAAAACTGTACCATAACTGTGCAGTTACCTTCATGCATGTGCATCAAATACGACAAACACAATGTCCACGATGACACATTATCTTGTCATTATGTGTACACCTGGTTAGAAGCCTCCACCACTTTTTGTCTTTCTTTGTTGTTTGCTGTCCCTCCACCAGACTTTAGCACCTGCACTAAAGTCTTGTTATACCTCCACCTTATACCCTGGTTTATACCTTTATATTGCCTTTATCAGGCCACACTGACTTGATTATAATTTTGATGGATGACATCAGCTTTCGCCTCACCCCCCAAAAAAAGTTTGCAACCACTTTGTTTCTTTAAGTGGTCGACGTGGAAAAGAGGAAGGAAGTAGGGCTTGCTTGCACTACCAAGTTTACCAAAGTTAAGGGGGATGTGAAAGAACAAAAATAAAGAATTTAATGTTGGATGCTATGTTGTATATTATGTGTAGATTAACTAACAAGGAAGGCAACCCTTTTTTATTTGCATGTTTGCATTAGTTTTATGGAGAACAGAGGATGTCATTCAAGGCATATAATCAAGTCAGCGTGACCTTATCCAAGTACGGAATGTTTGAGCCTTTATTTGGAGTCTTTTTAAGCCATGCAGACTGCTCTGTCAGAGACTGGTTAACCGACCGTGTATCCCACGGGAGTTTCCACAGGTCCTGTCTCCTGCTTGCGCTGACAGCTGATGTGGTAGAAGGTGAAGAGGATGTGGTGGTTGTCTGACAGGTGAGGAGGCATCTTGATCTTAACCTCCTCATAGAAGTCTGGTGACCTGGGAAAAATGGCAGACCATTCGATCATGACATACAAATCAGTTAGTAGAAGTAGCAATCAAACAAACCTGCACACATAATCAATCAGTAGATTCTACTTTTCCTGGAGCTTATACTAGACAATTTAAGTACGCATTCAAAAAAACAAAGTATGCATTCAGGCATCCAAGTAGTTTCTTTACAACACTGACTTCTTGAAAAAACAAATCTTTAAGTCACCTTCTTTCCTAAGAATATACCAGACCTGATAGAATTGATCATCACTAACAATGAAGACTAGATAGAGAGTTTGATGCAGAATGGTTTAATCCTTACTTGTTGTGGTAGGTGACAGCAGTGTATGCTTCCTTCAGGAACTCAGGAGAGCTGGACTTTCCAAAGATAACCTGATAGACACACAGAATGAATCTTTCATATTGTGCAAACTAACACTCAATCTGATTGCTGGTTGAAAGACAGCATAGGGTCCAAATCACAGCATAGGGGGCCCTTATGCTTAAAAGACCTGGCGCAAACACTGAAGACTATTACTGACCTTCAGGGAAGAAGCTTCATCTTCTCCTGACATGAACTGCACCTTTACAGCAATGTTCCTGGACGATCCCGGACGATTGCTGAAGTTCAGGCTTTGTGGGTAGATGTACAACAGGTTCCTGAACAAGAAATCAGAGATTTTAGACTTCTGGGAAGTAAATATAGTTTGTGCTAATAAATCACATCATAGAATGCATTATATTCATAACTCAGACTCATACGATTGTATGATGAAACTTACTCCGCTATTACACCATGGTTTATGCTTCACATATTCCTGGCAACTACATTGGATATATGTGAACCAACGAAGGTCAAAACCTGGTTTTACCATTATCATTACCTGGTCAAACCCATGTTAATCAAGTGAAACCCAATCATTATCTCTGCCCACTCACTTTGGAACCCAAACATACAAACCTAGCATGAATTAGTGCCACCCAAAACAATAGTTCCGTCCTGGATCCCCAAGTCTTACTTGTATGTAGTGTGTGGAAGAAAGACTTCTCTTGTGGGAAACTCCTCAATCTCCTTCGTCGGCCTTCCCCTGGCATCAGGGTAGGGGTTAACCTTATGCAGTTCCGGGGTCAGGCAGTAGGGGGAGTTCTCTGGAGCTGGGGAGATGTCCAGTTTCAAAGCACCTGGGAAAAAAAGAGGAAGATTTTTCAATTGTTTTGTTTTGATAATCTGCAACATACAAAGTACATAAAAAAAGAGATCACTTCTATGCATGTATCAGATTCTAGCTGGATATAAAAATTGCTAACATTCATAATAAGAACTGTCTCCACTAATGAGACAAAGCCAAAAAATTTGACAAAATTTTACACACATAGATACACAAATGTATGAGTTTACCTGGGATGCACTTTAGCTTCTTCAGTACAGAGGAGGGTCTCTTCAGGTCCATCAGAAACTTGTACAGGTCCTCATCTTTCAAACGATCTCCCTCCTACAATTTGAAAAAAAACAAAAAAAAAAACAGTCAAAACTGTCCAAGAGGAGGCCAATAAAATCTAGTCTATGTGGAATGGTAGATGTAGTCACTGCAATATTACCAGGATTTTTAAAGGTTGTGTCAATGACAAAAATTACCTAACGGAACACCAAATAGTCAACAATTTTGTATACATCTATACTATGGGCTTAGGTTGCAGAAAGTACAATGTATGTCCTAATTGCAGAACAAAATTTTGACATTCTGCAATTTTGCAGAACTGGAAAAAAGTATTTCTACAACAGTACTGTGTACCTGTTTGAAGAAACTGGACACGGTGAGTGTGACGGCCCTGAACGTGTCCAGACTTGACCAGTCTCCCTCCTCTCTCCAGGCCGTCCTGCGGTCCAGCGAGCTGCTCCTCTGCAGACCAGAGAACCCCGCGATGGCCGTCAGACTCTTCTTACGGAAACTGTCTTCCAGCTTACTGGTACGCCGCTGCTCTGTAGGGGGGAAAATAATGCAAATTTTTAAAACTGAGGCTCTCATTTGCATCTTTCTTTTTTTCATAGCAATGTGCAGCTTTCTGACTTTACTTAACTTCCAAATGCTATCAATTCTGTAGCACAGAAGGTAAGAGACCATCACGAGTATCAAGAAGTTACATGTACATGTACATTGTATTTGACTTGTTCCTAAGGAGAGCTATTGTACAAATGTATACTTACCCTGCTTCCATGAAATGAGCAGACCTATACAAAATACAGACACGACAAGCAAAAACCACATGAAGATATAACAAGACAGGCAGGAAAATAAATGCCAAGACTTGGCTACAGAAATGTGCTTTGTCTTCCCAATTTGTTCTGCTGGTCACAGACATTTTAGAGAGAATACAAAAGTTAGGATTGTCAAGCAGATATGACCACATTGGCTGTAAAGAACATTCAATGGACAAAGATAAAAACTACATGACCAAGACAAACATCACGATGTGTTACTGTAAAATGCACACAAATCCAAAGAGATTTCATAACTTGGAAACTAGATCTGATCATCTCTGTCTGTATCTGTACAGCCGGCGTAACCGCCCCTGCAAAGCATAACACAGCTTTGCAGGCATACATACATGTATGTATCTACCCTAACTGACTGATAGTATTCTTACCAAATGAAGTACCAGAGGAGTCCTTATCAGAGGCTCCGTCTGTGCCCCTCTCCAGACTGCCTGCCCCGTTCACGATGCTCATCAGGTTGATGGCCGTCCAGGCAAACGGCATCCGGTACGCTCCCAGCTTCTCACAAAAGTACCGTGCCGTCTGACGGATTTTCTCACGGTTCTGAAAACAATTTAAGGTCAACTTTTTAGGGCATGTACGGAGGTTTTTGGTGTGTGTTTGTTTGAATGTGTGTTTGCTTGTGCTTTTGTAAGTACATATAGTTATTTCCACATGCTCAGTATGTTAGGGACCCTGACAGGAAGTTAGGTCAAAGGTCCCAGCGAAGGTTATCTAAGTTCCTGTTTTCTGCTAAATGCATGTCTGTTGCCTTATGGGAGACAGTGGGGAAATGCATTATATATAGAATCAGTGAGAAATTCAAAATGATAAATAAAAGAAGACATTCCCACCAAACAAGAAATATCAAGGAGGTACATGTAAGAGATCACTGATTTCTTGTTTTCTTGAGTGCATTCTCTTACCTTTGGGCTTTCTGCCTCCTTCATGTATGGTTCTGCCACATCTGTGATCTCTCCTTGTTGGAGAACCTTCTCCAGCTGGAAGAACAAAATAAACAGGCATGATTTCATCATGAATGCAAATGTTTTGTATAATATATTACTTACATGTACAAGTTTATACTTTTCACAAAGGTAAAAAAATTGATGTGCTCCTGAATGTCATCCATGTACAAGTCAGTGTGGCCTTACTGTGCAAAACTGGTGTGTTATGCCTCAAGGTGGTTTACCAGTTATGCAAAATAAAGTAAAAAACCCACCTTGATGACGAGAAAGACGTCGCTGGATGGATATGTGATGGAGAAGATGGCAGAGCGACTGAGAGTGGAGATGTCAGGATACGTCATGTGGGGCTTCAGCATGCTCTTCACCTGGTCTGAGTTCAGGTCAAAGTAAAAGTTCTCCGAAATCTGCAAGAAAAACAAAACCGTCAGGAAAATGCAAGATCCTTCCAGTACATATGTTATAAATTGGTACATGCAGTTTACTGAAAAATTGTAGAAATTGGTTACTTTACATAGGTTACAATATCTTAACAAGATGTACCAAAGGCTTTAAATTGGGGTACATGTACTAGTATACAAATGAAATTCTCAGTCAAAAAGTACCCAAAAGTTATCAAGTATGAGTTAGGTTGTCATTCTGCACTATTTAGACAGTAAAAAAAAATCTTTACCTTTCTCTTCTCTTTGGCATCGTAGAGAGCCATAATTGCAAATATAGGCTCAATTTCTATCTCAAACCTGTGGAGAAAAAGAAAAAATTAATACTGTAACAGATCTTTATGAGTCTTTTATGAGTATGAAACACATACAATAATGCCTGCAAAAATTGAAAAGATTTGACCTTACTGCTCTTCAACATTTAGTACTGATACCTACTTGAGTGTAAGGCACTTCACCAGAAGTCGGTGACCAAAATGTTCCTTTGGTACTTCTGCTATCGCTCTCTTCTCCAAAGGCTCTTCCTACAAACAGTACAACATCATGAACAGTGATTTTAACTGCTTGAAAAGAAAACAGAGATGCAAAATGTAGAAATGAACACAGGAAGAACATCATGTAATACAAGGAAATAAAGATCATTCTTTCCTTAATACGTTGGTGAAAGTTAGCCATCCAGGTAATAAGATCAAGATACGCCAAAAAACAGTTACTTATGCAACTGGATATGATTTTAGAAACGGTCAGACGTTTGTCCTTTTGGACTTTAAAAAAAATTCGTCTTCATTGATTTGCATATCAATCAATTATTTGTGCTTATAAACCTTCTTTTCTGACAACTTTCCAGGTCACCAACGAAAGGTAGGCTAGCGGATGCTACCTGAAATGTCTGACCATTTCCAAAATAATATCCAGTTGCTTGAGTAACTGTTTTTTTGGCATTCATTCCCTACCTCATCATTATAGGGAAAGACAGTGAATATGTTGTTGTGTCGCCCCTCCACCCTTTGCTGTTCGTTTTGTCTGTCTATCTCCTCTGCTGGCAGTCTGTCCAACAGGGAGGGGATGAGAGGGTCCGACTGAGAGTTCTGCAGGTCGAAGATGCTGGAGGCCCAGCTTCCTCTCGGTGTCCCTTCCATGTCAGAAGAGTTTCTCTTGGCTTGGTCCTTTGAAAGAGATGAGAGAGAATTCACAACACGGCTCCATAATTACAGTTCTGTAGATTTCCACATTTTTGCTACTCCAGGCAAAAGGATTTGATTTTTCAGTAGAACACTAGGAGGGAAAGGAGGTTTCCACTGTCAGGGCTCAAAATACTGGGTGCATACATAGGAGGCACCTTAGTACTTGCAAAATTGGGGCTGTGCACTGCCAGTTATTTCTGATGTCTACCTGCACTGCATAATGTGACATCACAGAAGCGGTGGACTGCTCCTTCCTTGACAAAGACTGGGGTTGTACCGTAAGCCAAAAATTTGGGTAAGTCCAATTTCTTGCTGGAAATTACAAAATGTACAGTTTAAACTTGCTTCTTGACAACTACCAACACAGATAAACTTTCAAGATAATGTGTTCACCTCATCATCCTGAGGGGTTGGTGTGGTATCATCATCTTCGTCCACCTCAAACACCTGCTTGACCATCCCTGTGGTGTTGGACCTCCGGCTGAGCTCACTGTCTCGCATGAACCCTGACCCATATTGCTGATACCTGCCGAGGGAACACAGAAACATGTATAGTAAAAACTTCACAGAAAAGAGGCTCCAAAAGCTGAGGAAGCTGGTGAGACACAAGACAAAGTGGAAGAGTATGAAGAAAGACTGTATGCAGCTGCAGGATGTCTCTATGAGACTGTAGGTACAGAACAAACACTTGGGAGAGAGAGAAAGATAGTCACAAATCACTACTGCCTACTCAGAGGGCTGATAAAATCTGACCATACCTTCTCATCACTTCATTCCAGTCCTGTGTGTAGACACGAATACAGTCATTCACATGAGGGTCTTGCTCGTACCTGCACAACACAAACATATACACGTAACTCGTAAAACTTGGTCGTATGAAAATGTATATCTTTTCTAGAAAAATGAACTCTGAAGTTGAACGGTACAACACAACCTTGTTTTCGAATTCTTGTGCTGTGCAGAAATACACTGATTGAACGGACTAAATTATTGAAAACTTCACAAATATGTACCCATTCTGAGGCACACATGGTTCCAGAGTCCTGATCTCGCGGGGGACCACGCCGATTTCCAGGTCGTCCACGGGAAAGTCGAGAAACTCTCGGAGCTGTTCCTTCTCCAGAGTGTGCTGGTGCTGGGAGATGAAGTCCTCAAAATCTAGCGGCTCGACTACGTCTGTCAGAGCAACCTGTGAGGGGCAATACAAATCATGTAAACAACAGGTACTAAACAGATCTGCTAATGTTACATATACTAAGTATATGAATAGAAAAACGACAAATCTACACAGTGTTACAAGTATAAATTGCAGGGCTCGAAATACTTCATTCCTTTCTTCAGCAATGCAGCCAGGGCTCGAAGACATCAGAAATACCTGCACAGCCCCAATTTTACCTGCCGAAGGTTCGTATACACTCAGTATTTTGAGCCCTGAGAAATCGGTTGTGGTCTAAAGCAATGACTTATTTTTACTGTTTTAATTTATACTAGGAGTTTGCTTACACTTGGACTTGTGGCTGGCCCCTGGTCCCCGGCTCGCGAGTCACGGAAACTTGAGGAAACTTGGCGGCGCGCCTCTCCAGCAGACTGATTCCTAAAAAAAAATTGGTAAACACAGTGAGGGTCTGCATGGGGGGATCTTGTACTAGTAAATTTGGGAGGGTTGGCAATGCTTAACAAATAACATGCTATGTCAAATTAAAGCGACCGTTCACAGATAATTTCCAATTAACGTTAAATTAAAAGCGCTGGCTACAATACGAATAACGGTGACTTAAAATTGCTCCCTATGCCTCATGCAAAAAGGCATGAAGACCCTCATCAGATAATCTGATAACAACACCACTGTATGGACACCACAATTATGTTGTTATTATCATGTAAATTGTTGTTGTTGTTGCTGTTGTTGTTGTTGTAAATGCAAATTTCTGATTCAATACCCGAGCTGGTAGCCTCAATGAAATCATACCAACACTAAGAGCTAGTTACAGTATTCCTCTAGTGACACTTCTTGGTGATTTGTTCTCATCTTCCCACGCACCAAATTATTTGAGGACCGGATGCGCATGATCATCATCGATCAAAAATTATTGTATGGAACCAAAGGAAAGAAACGGCAAAATCACATCTCATAGACTTGTTTACCAAAATTTTGGGTCATATTTCAGTCGATCGAAGTCTAAGAGGAAACATTTTCCCCACCACTGTACACAGATAAGCTGGATAGTTGTAAATCTGACCAGACAAATACTTAGTATACAGAATGTGTCTAATTGTCATATCATAACAAGCCTAGGGCGGATTGGCAAGCTTCCGCTCGAATCATGTGTGTTTTTATGTCAAATATACGGCGTTTTATAGGAAGGAGGGCTGTAATAAACAACGTAATTATCATCTCTATATGTTAAATATTAGTAATATGCACAGTTTGTTTTAGTAAACTTGAGTATATTGAAGAAAACCGACTCACTTGTTGATTTTTAGCGCGAAAGCCCGCTGCTGACCGGAGGCCGCCATTTTCTTTGAGTAAAACTGAGCTGCTTACATTATCGTCCTATCTGAGGGAAAACTTTTTCAATCATTCGATTTCCGTCATATATAGAAAATTAATCTTTCCAAATTTTGTAGTAGCTATACATTTAGCTTATAGTTATCGTCATAGTCCATTGTTTTTTGTATATTTAAACAAAATGATTTTTTTAAGATTTATCAACGCCCCTTCAGAATCTCAGCTTATGGACGAATCCACCATCAGTCACGTGATCATTTCTCTGCCAAGTGCACCAAAATGGCGACCAGAATTCGGACGTCAACACGGAAGCATCGAAGAATTCCTCCTCTATCCTCTTCCCCCGGACATCCCAGTGGCAAACTTTAACTTCTTACGATTCCTGGAGTGACTGGAAGGACAAAAATCCGCCGAGTAGGCCGATCGGAGGCAACACGACGGAGAAACAATGGACAAACTTCGCGAGCTCCGTGCAGGGGGAGGAGGCGGGGTGCCCGATGCCAGACGAAGGCAGACCAGCCAGCCGCTGGGTTCTCCCGTCAGAAACGGGCTGGTCATGAGGCCGATAGAGGGGGACGCCTTCCCGCCAGACATGTCCGATTCCGCAGACTCGGGAGAAAAGGTTAAAACTAAGCTGATGTCCATGTGGAACAACGTACGCTATGGTGAGTTTTCAACAACAAAATTTTCCGATCCTAGATTGTGAGATTTTAAAAAATTATATGTAAAGCTTGTTTCCAAATATTTATATTACACCATCAAGGATGCATAGCTTTTTAGTCCATGTAGTTTGAGAATTTTCATTTTATCTATATAAGGCACGTAGACATCTCATGAATATGAAAAGAAATCCCAAGTGCTTTGTTGTGTTATCACTGTATAAGATCACTGAAGCACCCAGCAGGGGTCTTTAAAATCAGGACATGTGTGGTTTATTGTTTCTTCTGTTTGAAAGAGTATTGTTTGTCGTTTGGTTGAAACAAGATTTTATCGAGTATGATTTAAAATCGTTGCTCATTTTGTGACAAATAATGGATTGGGCAGAAACTAGTAGTAATCAAAGTTGGAACTGGCCTTTGATCATTTGGTTCATCACATGATGAAATCATTGAGTTGTTGTTTCTACCTCCATGATGAAATCAAGAAAAAGTTTCAGTTACATCATGTTTGTTCTTATTATAACTTCCAGATAGTGGGCAATTGTGAAACTGATTGCTATGGTTTTCACTACACAGAATTTGTAATCTTCCACATACGTGACCAGTTCCACCAAGGACATTATACACAGTGTATAATGTCCTTGGTTCCACTTATTCTTGCTTCTTTATAAGGCAGTTGTAGATGTATGAACATACAGAGCTTATGATTCACATTTTGTACATACATGTGTAGTTTGCCTTGTTTCATAACGTGTACGAACATATTTTTAATACAGAGAAAGTTGCTGGACCAAAAAAGGGACGTTGGCATTTGTTTTGGGTCATGAAGCGACAGAAATGTAGTTTAGACTTTCAAGTCTATTGTCCAAACAGAAACATGGCATTCGCATTTGAAAAGGAGCAGTCATGCGTTTGTATACATATACTGTAGGTAATGGTGTGAAAAATGGAGCATACTTTAGCCTTGTACTCTGGTGGCTGACTGTTGAAAACCATTTATTGTACCCAGGTTGGACCATCAAGGTGAAAACTAACTTCAGCTATGAAGTTCCCATCTGGCTGCAGGGAGTGTGTTATCACAGGAGAAATGAAGGTACATTTAGAAGTACTTACTTAAGTTTCCAGATATCAAACATGCTTGTAATGCCATCTTATTTTTGCACTTTCTCTCCCTGAAATTGAATGGCACTACATGTATGAAATGGGCAAGGGTTGATTTAACTTATCTGTGAAGAAATGATCAGAAACTTCTTGTTTTGTCCTTGTACAATGTATTACGTCATAATGTTGTTTAACTTCTTCCCCTAGAGCTGACAAAGGAGCTAGAGCCCCTGACAGACTCAGACAGAAGACTCTACACGATGGAGCTGTTCAAGAGAGACTTTGCCTCCAAGATATGGCTGACATACAGACGGGAGTTTCCCCAGCTAGCCGGCTCCATGTTCACTACAGACTGTGGCTGGGGCTGTATGCTGCGCAGTGGGCAGATGCTGCTGGCTGGAGGCCTGGTCATGCACTTCTTGGGAAGAGGTGAGGACTTTAAAACTACCTGTACTATAGAAGTTGTAGAGAGCGGCTTAGCCTGTGTTAATGTACAAACAACTCAAAGGACCAAGCATAGCTATCTACAATGATAGCCTGGTGGGTAGAGAGTCCTCTCTGCATGTGACATTATGGGTACCATTTGCTCGTGAGTACTGTATATGGAAGTTGAACACATGGTGCCACCAGTAGACTAGCCCCCTGCTGTAGTATTATCTGTACTTGCACAGCTGCATAGCAAAAGATGGAAGTTGGGCTATGCAAATTATGGTGTCAAAAGGATATCAATTTAACTAGCACATTTGTAATTTTAGTAAAAAAAAACCTGAAAGAATGTATGTAAGAATGTACCCAACAAAATGTGGGCTAGGGTTTTGTATGAATGTAAATTTTATTACCTTTGTGTAAGTTTGACAAGTTAGTATGTATATTATAATGTATGTTTTATTTTTCCTTTCTTTCTAAGCCTTACACATGTATCTGATGTTTTATTTTTCCCAGATTGGAGATGGTTTGGTAACCAGACGCGGGAACAGGAGGCGTTCCACAGAGAGATCATTGGTTGGTTTGGAGACAGTGAAAGCAGCCCCTTCTCCCTACACAGACTGGTACAGATAGGCCAGAACTTAGGCAAGAGGGCAGGGGACTGGTACGGACCATCGTCTGTCGCACATATCATGAAGTAAGTTCTACAGATAAGGGATTAAGAGTTATATATAGATTCAATTGTTACTATATTGTCTTCAGTTTGGATTATTGAAATTTGACTTTGAATGTTACATGGGGACCACATATTGGTTACTGAGAAAACTGCAACATTCTGAAGTTGCAGACGCTCATGTGAAAATTACAGTCAGCATTTGAAGATGATAAAATAGTCTTTTTCATCCTCCTGGAAATGCATGTTTAGGTTTTATCAGGCTAATAAACTCCTAATAATCATCATGAAATCCTAATGATAGTAATTAATGTGAGCGGATTTCAGTATTTTAAGTGTTTATGACATGTTGTTACAGAGATGGTATGGACGGAGCTCCTGAGTTCCACCCACTGTTGAGTCAGGTGTGCGTGTATGTGGCACAGGATTGTACAGGTAAGGAACACAAACCTTGTGATTAAGATTTTTTGACTGTACTGTAAATGATTAGATGTTTGCCCTCCTGTTGGCTTTCCTAGGTGAAACTTCTGGTTTTCATATCTCATGTTCTGGACATGCTATGGTCACAAGTTTTTGGATTGTATATGTGCAAAAGTTTAAAACTTGTTCCATTGCTCTGATATCTTGTTGGAAAACCTTACCAGCAACGTACAATGTGCAACTTTGCACCCCTAATTTTCTGATGGCGTACAGATAACTTAGCACACTGAAGGTTAATGTACACTTACTGTTCCAGTGTATAAGCAGGACGTGGTGAACCTGTGCACCAAGAGAAGACGACTGTCCAGTACCACGTCAGACAGAGAGGGGAGTACAGAGAACTGGTGTTCTGTTATCATACTCATCCCTGTACGGTTAGGGGGAGAGAGTCTCAACCCTATCTATGAGCCATGTATAAAGGTGAGACAAGTTCTTATGTGTCAAAACATTAGATACATGATACAGCCTTTCAGCACAAGTTAACATGTGTACTGTACTTACTGTGAATTTCTGGTGTAACATGATTCAAATACAAACAGAGGACTTTTCAAACCAGAGTTTTTTATTTCTTTTTCCAGGGACTGTTCACCATGGATCACTGTCTTGGAGTGATAGGAGGCCGACCCAAACACTCTCTGTACTTTGTGGGATTCCAAGGTAGGCTTACTCATTTCTGTGTGTGCTACAAAGTGTGTTACAAAAGCCATTGCCCAGTGCTTAGCAGCCCTGCATCTAGATCAAGAGGTTGGACGTCCGAATCCCAGCTGTAGTTGCTCACCAGGAAGTCATATCAGAAATACCTGCACAGCTGGTGGTACATGTATCAGCCCTGACATGTTTCTTTTGTGTTTTTTCCACAGAGGACAAACTGATCCACCTGGACCCTCATTTCTGTCAGGAGGTGGTGGACATGACCCCACGTGACTTCCCCCTGGAGGTAAGCTGGCTCTTGAGACTGTAGTTGTTGCTTTAGCTGAGTGGCTAGGACAGGAGATCCAGAGGTCACAGATACAATCCCTTGCATTCCTTTCTCAACATTGTGTTCTTAGAAAAAGCACTTTACAAGACTTTCCTCACTCTACCCAGGTGTCAAATGGGTACCTGACATCAGTACCTAAATTCATGCAAGGTGGCTAGCCTGCTGGCAGTGTTGTGTGTTTTACCTTCCCATACTTTCTCAAAGATGCTGAGTGCTAAGCACTAGTAAGCAGATAAAGCTTTATGTAACCGTTTTTAAATTTTTAGATAAAAGACATGCTGTATTTCCCTCCCCAGTCCTTCCACTGTATGAACCCCCGTAAGATGTCCATCGCCAGGATGGATCCCAGCTGCACCATTGGCTTCTACTGCAGAACCAGGGACGACTTCAACAACTTCTGTACAACCGTCACAGAGGAGGTCAGGAAAAACACTGTCTCCTAAAGGTTTTAGAATTTTAATAGAAAGTTAGCAGTCCATTTAAAAAACTGATGCCATGTATGCACTATGCAGACTTTTTAAAGGCATAGTTTTGTATGGTGAATCTAGTACACGTGTATGTAGTTCCAAAGGGAAAGGAATTCAAAGTAGATAGACCACCCCTCTGTCTTCACACAAATGTGTGTCTTTGTGCTACAGTATAGTTTTGACCACAAACCTCATGCTCCTACCATAAGGTCAAATCACTGAAAAAATAAGTGAATTTCCAGTAATCATGTACACTATTCTTGTTTCCAGATGCTCCGCCAGCCAGGCCCTAAGGCCGACTATCCCATGTTCATTGTGTCCGACGGGAGCGCAGAGGACTGTAAAGTAGAGGGAACGACACAGAACCAACCGGAACGGATCCTCCGAGTGCAGCACCTGGACCGGGAGGGTCAACTACGGCCGCTGGGGGGACCACAGGAGGACTTCGTGTTCTTGTAATGATGGTTCAAATCTCTGTTTAAAGTTAAAACTTTAGGTCCAACACAAAGAAGTTCTCTCACCCAGAGCTTTCGACCAGTTGCTCTGGTCTTCTTTGGTAGACTGACCCAGTGAGGCTTGTCACGTGGCATCTACCAGATACATTTGACCCAGTGTTGACATCACACTTCAGAGAAGCCATGTGACAAGCCTCACTGTGTCAGCCTACTGAGGAAGACCAGAGTAACTGGTTGAAACTCTAGGTGAGAGAACTTCTTTGTGTTGGATCTTAAGTTTTAACTTTAAACATGTAACTACCAACACCGATGAACCTTCATGATGGTTCAAATCACTGTCCAGCTGATGAAAGAGTGTACAGTATTAAGTTATTGTCTTACAGGGGTACAGTTACAGTAGTGCTGTCAGATACAGTTACGGCATGGTGTGTCAGGGAACCAAAGATACTATAGAAAAGTTGCATGTGCTGAAATTAAGTCTACAACACTAACCTGTCACCATAGGCTGCTATACTGTACTGAGCATGAAACAATCATGCTGCAACAAGGGGGGGGGGTAAATATTCTCTGTCTGGGGATAATTTCATGGAAGAATGTGCAATTCTTGTTGGTTATGAAATGTGTAGGTAGAATTTCAAAGGATCATTTAGACAAAGAAAATGTACGTATAAATGAGGTGCTACGGGTAAACTTAGTGCATATGGTCTGCTATTTCCTGGTGTTTTTTCTTCGGTGTAAAGAAATTTACCCAAAAGTGTGGGAAACTGCTAAGTTAACATTTTGCAGGGCACACTACGGTAAGGTAAATGTTACTGTCCCGTTTCCAATCCAGTGCCCAGTCAGGTATTTCACAGGCTGTGTTTTCAGACAGACCCCACCCAAAAGTGAAGGGAAACAGCTTGAAAACAGCCCATAAACTACCCGATGGAGCACTGGTTTGGAAATGATACCAAGGGACAAGCAGCTTGTATAGATAATATACAATCATGAATGATGATGATGATGTGCATATGTTGCAGATATAGGCACATGTATTTTTTATGTAAATAATTTATTGCCATGCAAAAGTAAAAAAAAAATTGATGACAAGCAAATTCTTAGATAACGTTCCACTTTTTTGTACATTGCTAAATCTTTTCTATGGCTTTGCCTCAAAGTATACCTACTTTGTAAAAAGAGTCAATTCAGCTTTATAGAATAGTTAACTTGAACAATGCATGCTCTCAAAGGTAAAAAAAATTGTCTTCCTTGTGACCTTAACACCAAGTATACACATTCATTTGTGTCCTACAATGTTGTCCTCAATTCCCACAGAAAAACCTTCAGCCATATAAAGAGCTCTTAAAAGTCTATGATTTTTTATATTAATGTTTTGCAGTAGCAGCATATATTTTGCCAATAAGATAAAAATTATATTTCACAAGAAACATGGGATTGTGCAAGACTCTTATAAGGACAGAAGATGAAATATGGGTTTATGTTTTTTGATAGATGTAGAGCTTTTTTTGGTTTGATTTGGTTCCTATGGAACATTGCTTAGGTCTATAGTTAACCAATGGTGATTCTGATTATGAAAATTCATGAACGCAAGATGATGTACATTGTAGTATTCATTGGTGATTGCCAGCTGCCTAGCATTCAAATTTCACAACTATACAAAGAATTAGAAGTATGATTTGTTGTAGCTTAGCGTAACTTCAATGTTACAAAGTGTGGAATTGTACAGAGTTATTAAAAGCTTGTTTAAGGCTTAAAACGGGACAGAAAATATATATTAAGCATCTTTACATTGTGTGCCTATAGACTGAGTTAAAAACTAGTCCATGAATTGGTCTGCAATTTAACTTACTAAATTAGTACAATGTCATGTTGTATGTAGAGAAAAGCCACACAAACTATGTTACTTACTAGTAAGTGTGTGAGTAACACTGAACAATACAACATAGAGAACAAAGTTTCTATTGCATCCACGTTTACTGATACAATGTATAACTTAATAGCGAGGAACTTACATCCTTGGTTCTTGCAGAGCCATCAAACATTTTTCAATCATTTTTTCAATGTGACGACCACTCAACACTTTTTTATGATAGACGTTAAAACCTTTCATCTTGAACTCTTCTATTTTTTCTTTTACTGAGCATGGCAGGTGACTCCGTCGTCTGCCAGTACAAATCCTTCCCCGCATGCGCAGGTGAAGTCTCTCCGACTGTTGAAGGGTTTTGGGGTGGGCAGACACAGGTCTGAACAGCCGCCATTGTTCTCACCACAACGGTTTGTCCCTGGGAAGGAAATAATTCAAAGTAAGAATAGAATATGCAAAGAAAGCAAAATAAGCACCAGCATTATGGAAAATGATTATGCTAAATACAATACATAGAAAAGTTTAGGTAAAAAATGTCTACCATTAAACATCATCACACGCACACAAATATACCTGTCCTTGGTGCTGAACACTATCCACACAAGCACACTCACCCCCACACAAGCACACACAAACAACCCCCCCCCCACACACACACACAAATACACTTGTCCTTTGTGCTGAACACCATTCACACGTATACAAATATCCCTGTCCTTGGTGCTGAACGTAATACCCACTCACTCAGTCTTTCTCACATACACACAAAGAGACTAAAAAATGTATTTTATCATTTCACAAAAGGGAAAGGCAAGGTTTAAGTTCAATGCTAACCTTTAGGCTGTTTCCACCCTGCATGGACCAGCATGTGTAGTGGGTTGTCCAGTGTCTGAACCCGCAGTAAGGATTTCTGCTTGCCCGTGTTCTTATCCACCCGCTTCACAGAGTCAACATCCCAGTCCATCCAGAACAGGGTGTTCTACAAGTGAAAATGGAGGAGAAACAACAACGTGTGACGGATCATCCAGCCTTTGTATATCAATCCCCTTTGTACTGATCGTAGATATATTTGAACACAGCAGAGTGGCCAGAGTGGGATTTGATTGCCTCAGATCAATTGGGGATGAAGTGATGTTTCCACTGACCAAGTCATCAACTTACTGTGACTACTGTGTACCCTAAACATTTCATGGAGGTATGAAAACTCCAATTTCTTGCTTTACTTTTTGAAGACTTACCACTTTTTGTGTACATGTACCATAATATCATAGCCTTATATAATTATGTCAATCCCTGGGCATGTTAACATCCAAATTTACACCAAAGAAAGAGCAGAAGGGTCATTACCTGTAGGATGTCAAGTGCCAGAGGTCTGGACAGACGCCGGCTGCCCACGATGATGCGTCGGTTCTTCCCGTCCATGTCGCTGGACCAGATACTGTTGATCTTAGCGTCCGACCAGAACAACTTTCTGGAGTGGAAGTCTGGAGAGTGGAAAGGCTGATAAATACCTGCATAGCTCATACGAACTTAAAACATTACCACCAATAATACTTTTATGCATGAAAATACATGTATGGATAAAACTGTTATAAAGAGAGCCTTTGATAATTACATGTAGAAAAGACTTACCAATAGCCAGCCCGCTAGGCCAGATGATCTGCTCGGTGATGATAGCCCTTCGTTCCCAGCCATCCATTCCAACCCGCTCTATACTGGCGGGGTAGGCCCAGTCTGCAAAGTACACCCAGCTGAAAAGGGAGTAAAAACGACAGACCGGATCAGATGAATATATGAAAAAAGGTGAAATGAAATATCATATTAATGACAAAACATACAGTCCATATATTATCTTCTGTAACACTGCTCAGAGCAGGAATGCTTCAAAGTTTATCAAGGTCATGAGTCATGTAACATTACAAGCACATACTAGAAATGATTAAAATCAAAACCTTACTGCGGACTTAAGTTTTTCTAACTCATTTCCCAGGATAGTAACCTACCCATCAATGGGGTCCAAAGCAATAGCGAACGGTCTCTTAACGTCTTCCTTAATGAGAGTCCTCCAGCGGCCGTTCTGTAGGTTCATGACACAGATGGCCTCGCCCATGGTCTCTGTCCAGTACAGGTTCTGGTGGATCCAGTCCACAGCCAGCCCATCAAATGTGGAGTTCTTCCCAGTAAAGATCCCCCTGGGTGGGTCTGATGAACCCAACTTGTGACTGTGTGTGGAATATTAATGGGATCTTAGATTCAATTTTGGAAAGAAAAATAGACTATTCTTCAAATATTGAGCCATAATTAAAATCATGGTAATAGTATAAACTTAAAATTTGATTCAAAGAAACATGCTACAGATGAATAAGGACGACAACAAAATACATGGCCTTTTGTACATTGTTTAAAAATTTTCATAACTGCTCAATTATGATATTCTAGCCTCTACCAGGCTTTGAGAAGCAGCTAGAAAGAGTAGAAATAGACAAATAACATGCCAGGGATGTTGGTCTGCTAAATAGTACTCTCATTGCATGTTATCTGTCCATTTGGCCAAATTTGGCTTTCCAGTTGCTTCCCAAAGCCTGGTAGAGGCTAACACTATATATTTGGTACATATACTTTGAATTAGTATGCTAAGAGTAATGATTATAACAATTGTTATCATGTCAATAATCATCTTAAGTATGCTAACCTGTAGATGCCCTTGAACTGGTCGGACCAGTAGACGGTTCCCGTCTGCACGTCGCTGTCCACCGTGATGATGTTCCTGCCCTCCTCAGGAGGCACCACCACGTTGTGCCCGCCTGTCTTGATGCTGACGGCTCGCACCTCCGAGCTGCTGGGGATCAGCAGGAACTCGTCTTCATCTGAGGAGAAAGATGATATGGCAGGCCGGGTTTAGTGAGTTTGACACCAGAGTTTGCTGACTTCAAAGAAAACTGGAAACTAAGGTAACATTTGGAAATTGTAATGTTTACCTTCGCATATGGTCTGCTCTGTTACTCAAACATATTCATATTATATGGTGACAGGGGTCTAAGTCCCTCCTGCTATAAAAGTGCAACATGATGTAACCCAACACTGGTTACCATGGTGACAGATGTCTGGTTGAAGTCATTGACCTTATAATAAAATTGTTTGGAGAAGAAGAGGAAGAAGAGAAAGAAGGAACAGAGCAAAAACAACATGTTACATCAGAACATGGAGGTGACAAATTGTGAATTTTTTCCTTACTGCAAACGACTGGTCCCTCGTCGTCCCAGTCAGCACAGTCGGTTGCCCCATCACAGACGGCCCGCCCCTCCACACAGCTGCCAGCCGTGCATAGGAACCTTCCCGGTCCCCCACAAGACTCTCCTGCCGTGGAGTCTGACAGGACCCCATGCTCTAAAACAGGGTTACAGTTATGGAATGATATTCAACACCAATATGATTGCTAAGTTATTGGACAAAACTGTGCTTACTGCTTAATGCTTTCAGCCTCTTGCCGATGCTCCTGTACATCCTTGTGTGTCTCTATGGCTGATAAACCTAGTCTTGGCAGACAGGCCTGTCCGGACATGCCACAACTATAGAACTCAAAATGAGCACTATATACAAGTGACTATTTCCGATTTCTGTTGCAACGTGATGTTTCTAGACTTGTTCTTGAGAAGACCACTTACTTCTAATGATGTTGATATCTTCGTCTTCTGTGGCATTGAACCGACTTTCTTCTAAAATGTTAGAGTCAACCTCTCCGTTAGTGTGAGCAGTCGTGCTAGCAACCAGTGGTGATGAAGGTGTTGTTGTTGTTGTAGGTATTTCTGTTTTAGATGTCACCGGGGCTGTTCTTGCAGTTGGCACTGAAGTTGGTGTCACTTTTTCTGCAACTACAGATGGCGTTTTCATCTCAAAGTCTGAATCTTGTTCCACAGATGTGCATGATTCGCTCTCTCCCTTCGTGTACCCATCTGAGCATGCGCAGGTGTAGTTTTTGCTGCCTTCCTTCGGAGGCACGGGAAGACAAAGATGCGTACAGTACGGCTGTCCTGATTGGTCAAGGCAGTAGTTTATGGCTGTATAGGAGAAAGAAGGTTAGTCTTTATATGTTTCTAGTACATTAGACCGGGCCACCATACATCCATTTCCTACTCACTCTAAAAGCTAAATCTCTTCACCAGCTATAATTATTGGCATTGGTGTCCCACAAAAATCATGCGGTCTCATATAACTTTATTTTCAGAGAAGTAAACCTCTAACAAGAATCCCTCTGTTGAAGATTTAAGACTCAGCAAGCCCGTAAGAGAGTTGTACCTTTTGCCTGCTTGAGTGGATGGACAATGGCTACATCCATGGGCATGAAGAAGTCGTCACTCAGGACATGTTTGTCGCTGCCGTTGAACTTGCTGGCACCGTACAGGCTGAACATCTCCCAGTCAGAGAAGTATACCGTGTCCTGTGGAGAGGAGGAGGAGAGTTTAGCATAGGTCAGGTGTCAAGGTAAAAAGGTGTACAATAAGGTATAGTCCCATAGCCTTTTGTGGTGGTAGGGGCAATGGGTTGTTAATCCACAGACCACTGTATCTTAGGGAACAGTATTGGAAAGCAGAACTAGCCCATCCCTCTCCTTGCAATGCCTTCTACCTCCCTAGTGAAGTCAAATACATGTACCCATTTCACACCTGGGTGAAGAGACAAAAAACCGTTTTCTCAAGGAAAATTTGGCAAATGTAAGGATGGTATTGACTAGAAGTTGAGTTTGAGTGACAGAGAAGACGTTTTACCTCAAAGACTTCCAAGCCAAACAGATGTGAGGCTGGGTGCTCGATGATGACCATCCTGTCTCCACCTAACAGGTCGCTGCTCTCTACTGTGCCTTTCTTCCCATCCAGCCAGAACAGCCTTCTACTCACAAAATCTAGAAAACAAGGAAACTTACGATATGAAATGCTTCTAAAGCTGTCAGCAATGCTAAGTATAGATTCATGTATTGTGTAATACTACCAATGGTTAATCATATACACCTTGAATACTGATCAAGACTTAGTGGAAGACAAAAGTCTTGGGTGTTCCTGGTGCATTCTGTGGTTGTCTCTAGTGGTACTGTCCTATACGAGGTGTATTGTTGGCTGCTGTCCTTGTTGCTGAACATGCATTACTGTTAATTTTTCTACAACTTTATCTACAGTTGAGTTTTTAAGTAGTTTATCCGGCTCACCTATGGCCAGGCCGTTGGGCCAGGTAATGTTGTCTCCCACGATGACTTCCCTGTGCTGTCCATCCATCCAGGCACGCTCGATCTTAGGGTCAGATCCCCAGTCTGTCCAGTACATCAGGCTGGAGATAGACAATGTTAGAATATCGTTCAATGTGTGTGCATTTACAATATGAAGGCTATAGATTATCCATGTAATCCTTTTAAGCCTTTTTAAAGCATTTTGCACTGCTGAAAGCTCACAGCAATGAAGGGGGTACATGTAAGTGTCGAGTGTAAAATCAAAATTTTCTGGATAATAGATGAGCAAGATGCCTCCATCCCTGAGGCGTTATGATCGCCCTACCCCTGTTCAGGATCCACGACAATCCCCCTCGGTTCCTGCAGGCCCGTGTCCACCAGTGTCCTGCGCCAGGTCCCGTCCATGGTTCCCACAGAGATGGTGTCCAGTCCCGTGTCTGTCCAGTACACGTGGCCGTACACCCAGTCCACCGCGATGCCGTCCGGGATCAGCACGTCCGTGGAGAACACGACCTGGATGTCGTCGGCAGTTGCTTCTTTGGCGTCAACAGGTGGAAGGGTTGCACTGTTCACACAAGGATATGTCCATCAATGCCATGATATGATAAATATCCCTAGCAGACTTGCAGGTTGCCTCAAATGAAAGAAGAAGATACATAGTATTACATAGTACATATATGTTCATACATGATGCTGTAACCTTTGCAGATTTGGGTTTCTTAAGAATTGCCTTAATATTGTCATGGGTACTAGTTTTGTACATATGGTTACATTATAAAAACAGAATACTTATTTTGGAACTGTCTACACAAGTAATAATGTTTGTGTCATCGTTACATGTTCTATTTTAACAATACAATTGATTGTTCCCACACAGTTGGGGGCATAGCTCAGTGGTAAAGCATTTGACTGCAGATCGAGAGGTCCTTGGTTCAAATCCAAGTGCCCCCTATTTATATTTTTCAAAAAGATGTTTTTGGAAATCTTTCACAAAAATACACGTTTAATAACTATTTTCCTACAGAATTTGTAGGAAACTTCTCATGAATAAATAAACAAACAAACAAACAAACAAACAATCTTATGAAGGAAATGTGTAACATACAGTCCTTTGGGAATTAAATCAGGCACCTCATGATTCTTTGTGTCCCAACATCAGTCCAGAACAGCCTCCCCCTAGCGAGGTCCACATCAACTGCAATGACGCTGCGAAGGTCCTGAGTTAGAATCGCGGTTTTAGCTGAGGATCTTACGTTGAACCTCACGATTTCACGTCTGTTAGAAACAATCAGGTACGGCTCTTGTCCTTGAAAAGGGAAGAAACACAAAATCATAACGTTAGGAGCCAAGGACACTCTATGTGTGCACAATTGGATAGGCAATAAATTAATGGATACTGCCTGGCAAATCTGATACTGTCCAGCAGCAACCAAAAGCTTGGAGATTAAGAAACTATTCTAATATTAGAGTGCATATGGCACCAAAGTTCTTTGAATACAGAGAATGTTGAGACATCATCACAGCATACATACAGCCGTACCTGACGCCACACACGTGCCACTAGCCTGCATGTGATACCCGCTCAGACAGCTGCAGCTGTAAACACCGTACCCATTCTCACACAGCTGACTGCAGTAGCCGGGAGTGGCGCACTCGTCAAGATCTGTAAGGTTGGAAAAGGCAGATGGTAAAGCCATATTTAAAGAGGTAGACTGATGAAAGCTCTGTCATGTTTGTTGTACTATTGTTGTGCGAATATCAAAGTGAGGGCATTCTTTGGATAGTTGTGCCTATGTTGTACAAATCCAGCTGTCTTGTCTTTTCATGGACAAAATGTTGCCTTAGAGCCTTGTTGGCTGTTGTTTATGTCACAGACAGCCTTACAACATCAATATCGAAAAACGACCTACAATGAATGTGACGTCGTAAACTAACGTACAGGGTTGTCAGACGAATAAGTTCAATCACTGAAACAATGAAGCTAACACAAGGATATGTCATCTTTAATAACATTAAGAATATAAGAAACATGACCGTACCTACACACGTGGTGTTACCCTGTAGACGGAAGCCTTCCTTACACCGGCAGGTATATCCAATGCGGAGGTTCTGACAGAGATGTTCACATCCACCGTTGTTATCCAGACATTCATTCACACCTACAGGCACAGGGGATAATGACATTAGTCTCTATTCACTCTATAGGTGCAACACTTATCTGCAACAGGCTGAAATTGATGATAAAGAAACACCATGCATGATGTGTCTGAATGGATAGTGTTCAGCACCAAGGACAGGGAAATGTATAATTTGTTGGTGGTATGTGCGCGTGTGTGTATTTTTGTATGCATGTTCGTCTGTGTGTGTGTGTGTGTGTGTGTGAGTGTGTGTTTGTGTGTGTGGGGGGATAGTGTTCAGCACCAAGGACAGGGCATTGTACGTATCTGTGTGTTTGTGTGTGTATTGTGATTATGCATCCTTAAAAGTGGCATACCGCAATCTTTCTCATCTGAAGCATCTTCACAGTCTGCCTCCCCATCACAGATCCTCTCCTCAGAGATACACCCGTTCGGCTCACACCGGAAGTACCCTGGGCTGCAGTCCTTGTTCTCTGGAGTAGGGGGCTCTGCTGCACAGTCGGTCTCGTCCGCCAGGTTCCTACAGTCCGCGTCTCCATCGCAAACCCAGGACTGGTGTATGCACTGTCCGTCTCCGCAGTGGAATTCTTGAAGAAGGAAAAAAGTAAAAAAAAAAAAAGTGATATTTCTTCTTGGTGGTATTGTCTGTGTTGTAAACTGCAATGCTTTTCGATGCAGAGATATTGTAAAATCAGATTTGGATTTTCACAGTCTATTGCAGAAGACCAGAGTGACTGGTCAAAAGCTCTAGGTGAAACCATACTCTCCAAGCAGAGGTTGATGGGGAAGATTGTTACCTTTTGTACATATGGCCCTTTTTTTGTCACTACACGTATTGCATGTATTGGACCCTCTCTGGCCAATGGATACTGCCTGGCCAATTTGATACTATCTTTTTGCCACCCTAGGATCTGCTTGGAGATTAACTAAAACAGTATATTTACCATTTGGTGAGCACGGGTCTGGGCGGCTGCTTGACGTACAGTCTGTTTCATCTGACCCGTCCTCACAGTCCTGGTCCTCGTCACACCGCCACTTCTTAGGCAGGCAGCGGCCGTCCCCGCACCGGAACTCTGTATCACTACACTGGGGGGCCTCTGTGGGGCAGACATGTTATATTACGGAAACAAGAAATCAGAGATTTTATACCCCTGTGATTTAAAAACGAAATTGTGAAGTTCTCTGTGTCCGTGTCCATGCATTTTCCCATTGGCACCCGGCCAACAGACTTCCTGCCAACTTTCTGACAGCTTCTGGGACCTAACTTACTGTGCCTGACCTTTTGTGGTCTATTTCCCCTATTCATGTGCAGTCACTAAATCGTATACGCACATACATGTAGACGCATGCACACACACACACTCACTCACACACACCAAATATACATGTCGTAATAGCTCTATTTCTTTGCACAAGAAACGTTTAATAGCACAGCTTATATTCAGATTACTTGGATAATATAGCCAGAGACAGATAAAAGAAACAAACCGCAGTCTTTCTCATCTGACCCATCCGGACAGTCTTTGTCTCCGTCACAGCGCCACTTCTCCTGGATACACCGTCCGTTCTCACATCTCCACTCACGGGGCAGGCACTGTCCTGTAGCTGGGAAATATTTGGGATATTTTAAAACATATCTGTGAAACACAATCAATCATATATTAACGTCAGGCCCAAGGATTTTACAGAAACATGTGTTGCCATCTTTTCACAGTGTTACCGTTAGTAGGTTGATTTTACTTCATTTGGCATCAGTGATAGCATTTTTAGCCTATGCTACATAACCATTTTCATCTGTAATTGAAATATTGTCTCACCACAGCCTGCCTCGTCAGACCCATCACTACAGTCTGTCTGTGAGTCACACCGCCAGGCGGCAGGCAGGCAGATCCCGCTCTGGTTACACCGGAACTGGTCCTCACCACATTCAGATGCTGGGAACAGAAACAGAAATAAACATCAGTTAACATATAACCCATACATGATCTGTATCTGTATAGCTAGTATAACGACCCCTCGGGGTAACACACCAGCTTTGCAGGCACGCAGCGCGGCGGCAGCTGGCTACATTACTCCGAACAACTTACACCTTGCCTTTGCAAATCTAGCTCTTAAAACAACGTTTAAAGTTATCTATAGTCACCAGGATACCATTACAAAACTACCGTAGACTAGAATTACGATGAAAAAAGATACATGAAAAAAGCAGACAAAAAGGCAGGAAAGAGAAGTTGTACCTCTCGGTCACCGTACATAACATCAAGATAGATATACCGTACACTAATATTTACCGCATCGCTCGTTGTTCTCATCGCTTCCGTCCGCGCAGTCTGCGGCTTTGTCACAGAGCCAAGAGATGGGGATACATTTACTCCCGTCCCGACACGGGGTCTGGTCACTGCTGCAGGTTGTTGTAGTCTTGGGCGAAGTCTCCCTCGGCCTCGTTGTTGGTGTCGTCGAAGTTGTCGTGGTGGTCCTTGCCGTGGTAGTGATGGTGGGTGGGATAGTAGAGGCTGTGGTAGGGGTTTCGAGTGGTCGTGGCGTGCTGTTATCGTCGGGTTCGCATCCCTCCTCGTCAGTGTTGTCCTTGCAGTCGTCGACGCCGTCGCAACGATACTTCTCGGGAATGCAGCTAGAATGCATTCAGAAAACATCTTTTTGGTCATACCCGATCAGTGGGGGGCTGGTAGTGGAACATAGCTGCACCAGCTAGGCTTTTCTTAAGCCGAGAACCAGACTTAAGCTTAGCAGTTGGCACTTCGCGAAAAAGTGGAATTTCAATTATGGTAACTGCCGGATAAGTAGGACGATGGTTACTTTTTGTATTTGATGTTTTAGGCAACCAAAATCTGTTGCTATTGTGTCTATGGCAAGGTTTTGCTGAATGTTACCGTGCGGCATGCACCAGTCCATATATCTAAGGACCTCTAGTCCTACCTTCCGCTGCGGCACAGAAACTTGCCGGGTCGGCAGACGGGGCAGGAGGACTCGTCCGAGTTGTCCTTACAGTCGTTCTCGCCGTCACACATGAACTTGAGCGGGATGCAGCGGGAGTTCGCGCACCGGAAACTGCCGCCCTCGCACGGCTTCGACCCTGAGGAGGTCAGAGCAGATATCGATGAAGACAGTGATTTTTTCTAGCCTGGTTACCAAACCTATAATAGCTCCCGCGTCCTACATCCTCTCTGTAAATAGGAGAGGAAGTAGGACTCTGGAGCTATAGTAAGTTTGGTAACCAGGCTATGACCATCGTCATTATCATCATCGTCGTCGCCGCTCACATCTGTCGACGATGCAGGCCACCACTGCTTTACATTCTCTTCTTTCTAGCAAGCGCTTGTCTTCGTGCTGCCAAGGTGAAACCCATCTTCCATAACTGTTTTCTCCATGTCATTTGTTTAACTCCCCTCTTCTTTTCCCTTGTGGTATCTAGTTCAATGCCATCCGAGGGAGGCGCGTTCTTAATGGCATCATTGCAACGTTGCCAATTTTTGCAAACAGATAACGGCTGGATTTTGGACTTCCTAGCGGATTTCCAGAACCTCCGGTTACTTACTTGAATTTTATCTAGTTTTATGACTTACGTCGTCTGAACCACGTGCAGGCTGTGTTAGCCTCGTCCGACGAGTCTGCGCAGTCTGTCTCCCCATCACAGGCCCACCTGGCCGGGATACAGGCGGGAGGGTCCCGGCACTGGAACTCGGACCCAGCGCAGAAGGACGGAGCTGCAAGGACATATCAACACATCGGAAATCCGCGAATAAATTCACTGGGTTGGCAAGAGACTGTATAAGAAGCTTTCATTCAACAACCAGTTGAGTTGCACATCCAGCATTTTGATGACCGTTTGTCCCCTTCTTTGCCCCTGTGAAGGTGACAGGCGGTCACCAAAACATCGGATGTGAAAACCCACGTGCACTGGTTGTTGAATAAAGAACTTCCTTATACAAACAGTCAGTGATTTTAGACCTTCTCGAAGTGTTTGAGTTCTTCAGATAAATTTCTGGCCCAGAGTAAAGAAGAAAATGTACGATACTGTAGGTTTAGTCTGGTTACCAAACCTATTCTAGCTGCCGAGTCTCTTTCGTCCTCTCCGCAAATCGACGAGAAATTCTACTGCTTCTTAAGTATGACGCTTTACAGCTAAAGTCGGTGTTGTAATTATGCTATGAACTTATAGACTTATAGACAGGCCAGAGGCAGAGAATCCCGACTTACGGCAGTCCCTCTCGTCGCTGGCGTCGGGACAGTCGTTCTCGCCGTCACAGCGCCAGGCCTCCCGGATACACACGGCGTGGGACGCGCACTTAAAGTCACCCGGGGGACACGTGTCGTCAACTACAGGGAGAAAAGACTTCTGTCATTCTTTAGTCTACTTGTACGTATATGCTAGGTCCCACTCTAGACTTCTTCACCGCACTTGTATTTAGAAGGCAAGCCAATCTAACTTTCTCCCCTGAATTAAATAAGTTTTTGATACACACGGCGTGAGACGCGCACTTAAAGTCACCCGGGGGACACGTGTCGTCAACTACAGGGGGAAAAGACTTTATTTGTCTTCTTGTTCATCTGTGGTGTATGTGTGTGTGTCCGTACTTGCGCGCTTATGTGTGCGTGCTTATATATGTATGTGTGTGCGTGTGCATGTACATGTATGCATATGTAATACTATGTACGTAATATGAGGTCCTACTCTAGATTTCTATTGTATTCATAAGGCAATCCAACGTAACGAACTTTCTACCTGAATTAAAAAAGTCTTCGTGACCCCAATCCTAAGGACAACGAATTATCTTGTATTCTTTAGAAATGCGATGTTAGCAATCGTAATATCGGACTGCTGTTGTCTGGCTACGACAGTCGAAGGTCATTTCAAAGGACAAAAATGCCTAAGCAATGCACGCAGGTGTCACGTCCTGTAAGCGCTAACTCCATTTTCGCTAGAAAGATCAACCAAATATACTACTGTAGGGTAGCGGGAGGGCGACCGGCGGGGTCTTGTAGCCACTGGCGAACTTCTCTGATGGTTGCGTCGGCTTGTTGTGCAGCGCGAAAGTCAATGGCCGGCGCGGTGGCAAGTTGAGCGGCGGAGCAGATGGCTTCTTGTAGGGGATGCTGGTGACTGTGGCAGACACGGGTGTCGCGTACGACGTCAGGTGGCGAGGCTGGCACAGGAGCAGATGGGTCGTCATCGGAGATGACGTTAGCAGAGTCACGGTCGTCGCGTACGACTTCAGGTGACGAGGCGGGCACCGGAGCGGGTTGGTCATCAGCGGAGACGACGTTAGCAGAGTCACGGTCGTCGCGTACGACGTCATGTAGCATTTTAGGCTCAGTTGAATCATCAGCAGAGATGACTTCAGCGGGCTCGGCGGTGTCGCGTACGACTACTTCCGCGGAGTCAGGTGTGTCGGGCGCGGCGTCGACGTTGTCAGGCGGTGGAGAGGGTGGGCGGCGCGATAGGGCATCAGCGTCCGTGTTGGTGGGACCAGGTCGGTACTTGATGGTAAACTGATATGTACAGAGTTCAATGGCCCACCTCGTGCGTCGGCCCTGCGCCATTCCATCTCCAAGTGGGGCTTCCCGGCAGGACAGCAGCGGACGGTGGTCTGTCAGCAGGGTGAAGTTACGGCCGTAGAGGTATGGGCGGAAATGGCGAATCGCCCACACCGCTGCCCAGAATTCCCTGTCGTACGTACTCCATCGTCGCTGTGTCCTTGACAGGGTCTTGCTGGCATATGCGACAACGCGTTGGGTGCCGCCATGAGTCTGCGTTAAGACTGCGCCTATCCCGGAGGTGGACGCGTCGGTTGCTAAGGTAAAGTCACTGGCAAAGTCCGGGAAGGCGAGGAGCGGAGGGTTGGTCAGCTGGTGCTTCAGGGTGTCGAACGCAGACTGGCAGGCTGGGTTCCACTGGAAGGTGTGGTGTTTGTCAGTCAGTCGCACCAGAGGTTCCGCCACAGTCGCAAACGCTGGGACGAACTTCCGGTAGAAGGAGGCCAGGCCCAGGAATGACCGGATGTCGGTCTGGTTGCTCGGAGTAGGCCAGTCCTGGACTTTGGCGATGTTGTCTGGGTCAGGGGCGACGCCGCGGCGGGACACCACATGTCCCAGGAATGTCACTTCCTTCTGTGCGAAGCGGCACTTGGCCGGATGTAATTTCAGGCCTGCTTGCCTGAGACGAGTAAACACCTCCTGCAGGGTGTGCAGATGTTCGTCGAAGGTTGGCGTAAAGACGATGATGTCGTCAAGATAGGCAAGACAGACATCCCAACCAACACCGGCGAGGATGAGCTGAACAAGGCGTTGGTACGTTGCCGCTGAGTTGGAAAGGCCAAATGGCAGGACCTTGAACTGCCATAGCCCTTCCGCCGTACAAAACGCAGTTTTGTGTCGGTCTGCGGGATGGACGGGAACTTGCCAATAGGCGCTCTTCATGTCCAAGGTCGAGAAGTAGTAAGACCCGGCAAGTGCGTCGATTGTGTCGTCTATGCGGGGGAGAGGGTGGGCGTCAGGCACTGTGACGGAGTTTAACTTCCGGAAGTCCACACAGAAGCGAGGCGTGCCGTCCTTCTTGGTTACTATGACGACAGGGGAAGCCCACGGGCTGGTGCTTGGCTCAATGACGTCCTGCTCCAACATGGATGAAAGTTGCTCTCGCAGGGCGTCGCGGCGGTGGACAGGTGTTCGGTACGGTTGTTGACGGATTGGTTTAGCGTCTCCGGTGTCTATTCTATGTTCTACCAGGGTCGTACGGCCGATGTCGGTGGCGCTGGTAGAAAAACAGTCGCGGTTGGCCTCTATGAGGTCCGAGAGTCTGGTCAACTGTGGCTGAGGAAGGTCAATGTCGGATAGGTCGACTACTGGTAGGGACGTCTTAGGGACACGCACCTTTTTCTTTTGCACTGTCGGGGCGGCGGTCGCTGGGTCGGCGGCGTCCTGGATGTGGTAATCCGAGTCGGGGGTGGAGGCTGCGTGGAATTGTCCGACATTGCACTTTTCCGGGAGGCGAACTGGGTGGTTGTTTGTGTTCATAATTTGAACCACAGCGCGGCCATCTTCAACGTGGGAAACTGTCCTGGCGGCGGCTACTCCATCATACGTAACGCGATGCAGCTGGGGCTCAAAGACGCCGTCGAAGTGGTGAGGGACGTCCACCCCGGGTGGTGGAGAGTCGGACGGGCACAGTACAAACACTATTAGCGGGCAGGATCATCGTTCGGCACACTGTGACGTCGGAGACACGAGGAGCTAAAGGAGACCGCGGCAGCAGGGGTAGAGTTGTCGATTTTATCTTCACGGTGCCAGATGCTGGGTTGATCGTTACATCATGAGAATGACAGAACTGCCATCCAAGAATAATATTGTTCGTCGCATGGCGCATAACATGAAACGTCTCTAGCACGGAGGTGGGACCCAGATGGACGAGAGCGCGGATAGTTCCCACGATGTGGAGTTTCTCGCCGTTAACCGAACGAACCGTGTTAGATGTTTGACTGATGGGCAGACAGCGTAACGAAGGAGAAGAAAGTCTAAAAGTGTCACTAATGATAGAGATGCACGAACCTGTGTCAATGAGGGCTGTGGTAGGGGCGCCTTGAAGATCAACGGCAATAAAGGGCGAAAAAGTTGAGTCCGAGGTTGGGTTGGGCGGGGGTGTAGCTGGCTGTTGGCGCGTACAACCAGCTAATGTCCGTTTCCCGAGGGTGGGGTAGGGGTAGGGCAGGAGGCGGCGTAGTGCCCGTACCCGTGGCATTGGTGACACTGCTCGTCTGGGCGGACGGGACGGCGTGGAAGACGGCGGCGAGTCTCTGAGCGTGGCGCGGGGTCATCTCGACGGTCGCTGCCCCGTCGGTTGGGCGGCTGGTCACGGTCGTCGCGGCGGCTGCGTTGCTGGTGCTCGGGTTGGCGTTGGTTGGAAGCCTGAGCGTGTAGCAGGTCGACGACCTCTGTTAACTTGGATGCCAGAGTTGCGACGGTGGCGGTCAGGTCCGGCGTCGGGGCTCTGGTCGAGGTGATCCTCGCGGCGGTGTGGTCTGCCGTGGGGAACTGGAGGTCACGGGCGGCGGCGTGGCGGGCCTGTTCACAAATGGAGGCCTGACGGATGGCTGCATCGACGTCAGCGGGGCCGAACTCCATCACCCTGTGTCGCAGGTCAGGGTCCAAACCCGCGAGGAAGCGGTCCAGTGCAACGCCAGCCCGTCCGGCATCGTTGTAAGTCGGGTAGGCGAGGCGGACCAGGCGTTGAATCTCCGCTGCATACACGGACAAGCTCTCGTTGGGGCGACGGGGCCTAGCGTTGGCGGCCCGACGGAACTCCTCCAGCAGGGCGGTGCGGCCGAAGGGTCCGACCATGGCCGCTCGGATCAGGGCGAGGTCGGCCTTCGTCGCGGCTGGCAGCTCGGTGTAAAAGCCGAAGGCTGGGCCAGTGAGGTAGGTGGGGAAGTGCCTCAGCCTGGCGGCCTGGTCCAGCTGCTGGGCATCGGCCCACACATCGAACTGCTGAATCCAAAGCTGAAAATCGTCGGCCGCGGTGCCGTCGAAGGAGGGGGGAAGCCGGGAACGTGGCTCAGCCATGGCGTGGGTCGTAGGTACTCGTAAGTTAAGTTGGAACCGCTGCCACCAAATGTAGGGTAGCCGAGGCTAGCGGGGTGAGCCGAGCTGTCAGAGAACTGCACAAGACGAGATCTCACTCTAGACTGACTCCTGCCACATGGCCGGAGGTACTTTATTCCTGTTAATGAAGACCATATGTCTTGACCGCCCGTGCGGTCACAGTCTTATCTACTCCCATATCTACTCCTAACACTACTATCCTGTGTTTACACAATCTCTCACTGGCAGGGGTATTTTGTCCACCTCTGGGGGCGGCAACTGTAGGGCGGGCCAGCAGCTAGGAGCCCGATTTAGTCCGGATAAAAATACTAGACTGAAGTATTTGACAGATGTCTTGACGAATCCCATAGACAAAGAACTAGTGCAAAAGGACGTTATCAGTCTTCACGTGCATAACACATGATGCCAAAATAAACTGACATAAAGCATTGAAATCTAACAGCTCAGTCGATCTATTCACCCGCTGTCAAATCAGACACGACGAAAAGAATCTCCCCTCAGCCCAGGTGCGTTTTATCTGTCTAGACCCCAAGTTCACCGGCAACTGTATCAGCCGTGCTATTTCTGGTCGCCTGGTGACAGAAATCATACAGGAGGGACATGGAGGTCCTCATGATCACGGCAGGCAGAATAAACTGCCAGCTACGCTGCTTGAAACACAGTGATTCTGAAGGCTGGTAAAGTTGTAGATTGAAACTTTAAGATGACTCTTTTGTACAGCCGTCTCCCAAAGAATGTTTCTCCTTCCTGTATAACTGAATCGTTTACACTAGAATGAAACTCAAGGCGGAGTTCGGATGTTCTGCCTGAAACTTTAGTTCAAAGGGAAGGAGATAGCAGAGAAAAGAATGCGTGTTATTAAAACAGCAAAACATTTGGCGGGAAGTCGTTGTTTGTCATGTCGGATATCAGGACCAACATTCACCGCCATCTTCTAGCATATTTATACCGCCCACCAACTTAGCTCAGTGCCTAGAAGTGTGGTCCTCCATTGAGCAAACTTATTACAAAAGTAATGAATACAAACTTATGCTCTTTTATTTACATTGCAGAAAAATACATTTTAAAGGGTAACCTGGTGTCCAATCCTATCTTTTTTTAAATAACTGCGAGTGTTTTTCGTGTCCTACTGAGCCATGACCTGTGCTTAGCCTATAAGGGCATAGATGTGCAATAGACGTCTTTTATTCACTACTCAGGACAACCCACAGGCTACCTTGTCACAACAGAGCTTGTTTATATCATGGAAAGGATGGAGTGGAAGTGAGGTGTTACTGAGCCCTGCCTGCCAGGCGGTGCGTGGGGTCTACTTACGGCTGTCTTCTGGCAAAAACAGGAACCCCTGAAGGACGGAACTGATGAAATCTGCAAGAGAAGAAATAAACAACAACTCTGAAACAAACCGGAAGTGTCCCAAGACAAAAACAACGGCTTTCTCGGAAAAGCGGAGGACTGGGGTCATCGACACCTCTTTCCTCTGAAATCTTAAGAAACAAATACGCTGTGTCTATACAAGAGGAGCGCATTTTTGACACAAGTCCAAATTTAAGGTCATTTCAATGCTTTCAAAATCAAGCATTACTTTACACATTATGAGTGCGTTATCCGTACAATGTTTTCAAAATCACGTAAGAACTTACGTCAATGAAGGTAATGAGATTCAAATTAAAGGAAATTGATACTCAAGCAATTGGATAGGTTTTGAAAACTGTCAGAGGTTTCAAGTAGCATCCACTACTTTTTGTCAGTGACTCACAGAGCAACAATTTCCTTGTTTACGTAGGAATTTACGTTGTCAATGACGTTAGAAATGACTAAATCTGCTGATACGTAATCAGGAATATGATGTAAAATGATAAAATATCCAAGGGCATCACAAAACGACTCACACGTCACTGACAGAGCTAGAAACGGGTTACTCGGGTACAACCACTTGTACACTTGAGAGCAGCAACTTATGTAACTTCACAAGAGAAATGTGTCGTAACTTGGGGAAAATGAGAAGAGTAACTGTGTAACAATGAGTAAAGCATAACGTAAAAAGGTTTAAACCAGCATGTCATAATAATGATACGATATACTGCAATCTGTTCAGATTAGAATAACCTCGATGGACAATGTCATTAGCAACTACATTTTTGTTGGTAGAATGGGACCGTCAGTGTCTAACGTTTAGTAATTAGCCTTAGATTTATCTTGTTCGTAAACTATAAGATTCGCTGGCTACCAGGAGGTGTAAATACTGAGAGAAACCGTTCAATCAGGAAAGAATCTTTGCGCTTTGGGTCAGCAAAGTACAGAAGCAAAACCAAAGGCGGGGTCGGGGCTATTGAGAGGATGTCACAGCTATACGAAGATCGCTCTAGAAGAACTTGACGTACTATTCCTATCCTTGTATCCTTACTCCAAGGATTAAGTAAAGAAACACAAACATACCTGCTTTGGCAAGAGTTGTGCCAAGTAGAAAGAAGAGTTGGAGACAGTTCATCGCGGCGGCCTTCGTTTCGCTGCTGAGCTTCGAGCGCGTGTTGAAATGAACGATTCTCGCCCAGGGAGACGGTCGGAAACTGAGGAGGTAGGAATGCGCAACCCCGAAGTGTTCTCCGCGAAGGTTAGCGATAGTTGACAAAGGCACGTGGGCAAATGTCAACCCGTCTGTTGACTGAAACAAGAAACATGGAAGATACTGTGTGTGGTGACAGTGTGGGGGCCTGGGGGAGGGTCTGCATGGGGGATACTGGCTACGCTTGACGATAAATTTATGAGGATATCGGCAACGCTTAACGGTGAATTTACTTGTTCTTGCCAGTTTTGAGAACGTTTGAAAGTTCATTGGATAGTTAGCTACCTTCGCCAAGAAGGTTATTCTATCTGATGATGTCTGGCACTAAAGTATGCGAACACTAACACGCCATGATCCGTTATGACTCTTTTGACAATCCACGATAGGAATAATTTTGTCATTAACGATTAAACGATGAATTAAGGATAACAAACAATGATCCACGTGAACAAATTACGCTTCACGGTAAATTTACAGACAATGCTTAACCACGTTGAATCAAGATAGGATATTTCTTTATGCCTTGCAGAAAGAAACGAGCATGCAGACCCTCCGAGAGGTCAGTAGAACTGGGTGATGAATGGTTCGACACTCGTCTGTCAAGACATGAACCAGAAGGGCGGGATGTACGAGAAACAGTCGTTCCGTCTGAAGATAACACTGGGGCTCCTCTAAAGTAAATAACGGCTGAACCCTACATTATACATACATCAGTGGCCAGCTCAAGCGATAAGAACATAGTATACTGTAGTATATAGTATGGGAAACTTAGCCTGGGAGCCCCGGCATACAAACAGGATGGCACCCAGGCTATGGGAAGCTAGCCTCCTCTGCAGACTTTTACAGCGGTCTACGTAAAATTGTTTGTATGAGCGCGGTGGTTCCTTTTCACTGAGGCTCAACTGTATCGGGGGTATAGCTGTAGCGACTGATGTACGGCTATCCCTACACAGCCCTTCCCATAGGAACGAAACCACTGCACTCGTAGAAACAAACTCGTTTTCTATACTAATTAAAGTCATATCTGCCACTTACTTTGACTCGTACACAGTCCGTCCAGATGTAGAATCGAATAAGTGATCGATCGCTTTAAATCTACCCTTTCTTATCTATCATTGCTGACTCGGTATAAGACGAAGAAATGCAAGGACAGTGTTGACGATGGCATGTTTACTGATGTGACGTAAACAATGGATGTCGGCAGGCCTCAGATCAACAGATTTAAGGTCACAGGCGGGGTCAGACGTTGTTTTAAGATACAGTTTAGAATCACTTTACGTTTGAACGTTCACGGTGATATACATTCATTGTCACATGAACAAGTAAGAACATTAGCAAACTTCAAGTCCTTGGGTACGTTGTAAAGACAGATGCCTTTTTTTTACATGATCTGGTTTCTGGATAACATTGGTAAGTGATTTTACCTGGCTGATAAGAAGCTGTATTAAAAGATTCTTTATTCAGTAAACAGGGGGTTTCATATCCGACGTTCTGCAGATCAACAATGACAAGTTCTGATTCGTACTGCAGGTAGGTGTCGCTGCTGCAGTATTTACAAATGCGGTCCCAAACGTACATGTACATGTCATCATCGGTCGACCGTATTGGTCGGGGTTATACCGCCCCTTACGAGGTGACATACCCTTTCGTCAGCTTAATACAAGACGGGGTTCGCCACGCCTCCGTCCGGGTGATGATGTACATGTACATATATTTGTGTTGTTACAATGTTAGCTTAGGCTGTTACATGCCTCCTTATCCGATTATTATGTATGTATGTATGTATGTATGTATGTATGTATGTATGTATGTATTTATGTATGTATGTATGTATGTATGTATGTATGTATGTGTGTATGTATGTATACGTATGTATGTGGCGTATTGGATTGTGGCTTATCTAGTCCCCGTACATGCCCATAGCGAAGGCCAGCTTCCTTGGTCCTGTGTAACTGAGCCTGGCGTGCTGACAGTACACGTTGTTCAGCACCAGTAAGTCGCCCTTTTTCAACTGGAACCCCACAGCGACCTACAGGGCAAAGATAAGGATGGTTTTCAGCTGTTATCTGTCACACATAAGGTGACAGGAGTCTAAATCCCTCCTACTATAAAATTGCAACATGATGTAACCCAACACCAGTTACCATGGTGACAGACAGTCTGGTTAAGTCAGGTCAGAGGTCACTGTTTGGAGAAGAAGAAGAGGAAACGTAGCAAATATAATATGTTTTCCTTCAGTAAACATGATGAAGGAGTTACTACCTGCCAAATGACGTCCCTAATATGCTGTAAGACCTCTGCCTCTATTTCCGTGCCGTTTCCATAGAAGGTGTTGGTTGGATGACAGTGATCGGGGATGTCCCTGTTCCGCCAATGGGGATGCAGCTTAAGGCATGAGATGTTGTTGATATGCGCAGAGTTGAACCACACCAGGGTACCTGGTAGACAATGCATAAACCTTGAGATGATTTACAAATGCTGGTGTGTTACGCCGAAGGGCGGCTATACCGGCTATACCGATACAGATATGCCTTCTTTTCCGTTTTAAAGTTTTAAAGAGATGAAATATCTAGATATTATGGTCGAATTTCAATCAGAATAGAATGAGACAGATAACATGCTGGGGGAGTTAAAAGTACAGTTTCGGGAGCGGCAAACTGTACTCTTGAGCGGACCAACTCCCCTGGCATGTTATATATCTATTAGACCAATCTGTTCTTTCCAGCTGGTTCCCAAGTCCTGGTAACGGCTATGGAGATTAAACCTACCCCTGTACATGCGAACTGCAGGTAGGGTAATCCACCACACGAGGGCGCTGCTGTCCTCCCACGTCCACTGGATGTTGTTGGTTCTCAGGAACTTCTCAACAACAGAGCGGTCTTCAGTCTGGAACATCTGTAGAGGTATAAGATGTAAAATGTCAAAACTATGCATGTAGTAGTATGCAATGTAGTAACAGTAGTAGTAACAGTACAAAATGACTAATTAACTGGTGGATGTACCAACTGCTAAATACCTAATACCAGCTTCGAAAAGAACAAGAAATAGTCATGCCTTCAAGTACCAAAGTTATCAACGTTAATCAAGGATTGAGGAAATGCTCAAAACTCATTTCTTTCCCCTAAAACTATCGTAGATTGGAACTCACTGCCATCAAGTGCAGTAAAAGTGTCATCAGATACTTTTGACAATGTTTAGAGTTAGATGCTCAAAGGTTAGGTGTAACAAGTCGTTCGGTGTAATGTAGCCAGCTGCCGCCGAGCCGCGTGCCTGCGAAGCTGTTGTGTTACGCCGAGGGGTGGTTTTACCAGCTATATAGACGTTCATTGAAATGTTGGCTCTTGTTAAACAAGTGGTTGTGAATAAAGAACTTTGATTTTCGTTAAAATTCATCATCTGAATGTCTACACAACAGACGTACGTCTTGCCAGCACAGATATTCCCCTGGTCCACGGGAGGGTATGTAGTGTTTGTACATGACCCCCAGGTTACTGAACTTCTTCACGACGTCTTTGTCGAGACGCGGAAGGATTTCCCGCACGTCGGTAAGGACCGTTTCACCGCCAGCGCCAGGAGACGGTGGATCTGCACAGAAAAATAGCACCTACACAGGACAGAAAAAAGTATACCGTACGATGTTTACTTTTGGCACATGCGAGGGAGTGACTATTGATAGTATTGTAAAATGAAGATACCCTCATATGATCAAACCTTACTGTTATCGTGGCAGGTATAATGGGGTACTGATAGATTTTACGCATGTCAGTCACGTTGCGTCTTTGTGCCAGCTGACAACAAAAACGACTAAAATGGAAGCTGTCATTTCCAGAGAAAGATACGTACAAATAGGATATCATTTACGGTAAACAAAACAAGATGGAATACAATTCTAGTACGACACGCTTAGAAACAGAGCTACGATGCATTTTCAGGAAAGTTGATTGATTGGTTGAGGTCGTTGTGAAGAGAGGTCTTTACGTCCAACAAACAAACAAACAAACAAACAAACAAACAAACAAACAAAAAAGATGGCATGAAAACTACAGTACAAACTTTCTGATACGCTTGAGAAAGAGAACAAAGATGATCATGACCTTTTCAGGAAAGTTGTCTGCGCGAGCTCGTTGTGCGGCTCTATACACCATTCCGGCGGCTCGTCGCTCGCCGTGTAGACCGACTCGTCCGTTTCCCGCCTGATCCCGATCCCGCCCCTGTACCTCCGGACCATCCTCAGGCCCAGGTTGTTCACAACTCTGGAGAAATCCCGTGTCGTGGACAGCGGCAGGCCGCGGAACAGCACGGCTCCTTCGCCTTGCCTTTTCATCAAATCGTGGACGACTTTTCGAACCTCGGCGGCGCAGGCTTCGGGAGTGGCGGTGCTGACTCTCCCCGCCGGCGTCGGAACGAAAACTCGAGGGGCGTCGCCAGCTCTAGGGGGCGAGAGGAACTCGGGAAAGTTGGGGCTTTCTGACCCGGGGAGCATGGCTCTGCCTCGTATCTGCGGGGCGGAGTTCACTGCTTCAGCGTTCCAGTCGATCTGTGTTTCAGCAAGCTGAAACGTCGTCCTCTGTGTGGTGACGAACTGACGTGTGCATGTCGGCGTCTGAAGTAAAGACCAACAAGATCTACTCAAAATGAAGAGCTGTAAACGTGTTGCCCTTACCACCGCCATTATGATAAGCCCCGGGCCCTGTCTCACATGCAGAACTTTAATTATTACCCCGACCTTGTCCTCAACCAAGGTTGAGACATACATGTAACGCTACATACCAGATTTCTAGCCCACGTCTATCTATTAAAGATCTTATCGCCTCTACGGAGATACCCCCAAGGTAGATTTTTGAGTTAGCGAATTTTAAAACTGGTAAACTGTAAGGGACCAAGGTACAAGGTACAAGGTAAACTATAAGTTTTAGAGAACCGTACGTCTCAACTGTTGTAACATTAGACTAGAAGTTAAACCTTAAACCTTAACGTTAAAGTTATCAGTTTTCGTAAAAGTTTTATCTAACTTTACCAATTACTTTGATGGATTCGTGCACAGTCCCAAGCTGGATCACTTTGCTGTGTGTACTAACAAACTGACGTTTGGATGTTGTTTGAAGGAAAGACCAACTCAGAATGAAGCGCTGTAGATGTGTTGCCTTCACCATCGCGGCGG